TTCATGGTCTTAAAAAACTCTATGAGACTATTAGAAGGTGTGGTAGCTTGAAAGTTGTAAGGCTGCAAATATAATGCAGCAAATTTCTATTCCAATTTTTCCTAGTGAAACAGGGTTGTTCACTGGTCCTAGTATGGATCTAAATGTCTTATGACTTTTCTCACCTCAACTAGTATACTTATCAGGAGGAAAAATTGATGCCACAGTGATTGATATTTTTCATTTCATCTGTTTTTCAGAAAGAAGTGCTCTAAAGCAGAGAAGACAGAATTGGTTGAGAAGATACTGAGTCTAATTGCTGGTCATACTCATGATGTGAGTACAAGAATTTAGGGATGAATAAGCAAGTTATATGCATTTTTCCAATTTCATTTCAAAATATGTTAACTTTAGTAATTTATTTTCCCCTCTCTCTATTTAACTGTAATTCCAGGTAATTTTCAAACATGACACAGGGCGTGTGATTCAGGCTTGTGTTAAGTTTGGTACTGCAGAACAAAGACAGAAGTTATTTGAGCAGTTTAAAGGTAATTCATTGTCTTGGAGAAATATTAAACTAAAAATTTGTTTCAATCAAAAATGATTTCATAACCAACTCAAGTCATGTTTGAATTTTTGTGTTAAAGGTGATTTTGGAGAACTTATCAAGTCAAAATATTCCAAGTTCTTTATCAAAAAATTGTTAATTTATGGGTAGGTACCTTATCAGCATTCTTTAACTGAACTCGGCACTTTTGTTAATGGTGTAATTTAGCTAACTGGACAGAGGTTTTTCATTTTCATATTCTTAGTTCAGTCTGAATATAGACAGTAAACTGAAAGTAAAACAGTGTTGTTGTCTGATTTCTGTTCCATCATTTTGAGAAATCACTAATTTTAATAAGCAAATGTTTTCCACAGTCCACAATCATGGACACTACCTTTGATAGATTCTATTGGAAAAGACACTCTGGTTTTTGTGGCTTGAAATGATTAACTCTCAACATTCATACCCTTTTATATGATTAACTCTTTAACTTCCAAGATCTGATTATTAACCCTTTAACTCCCAAATCAAATTTGTAATTCTCCTTACTGTCAACTATATAATGCTTATAACTTTAGCTCAGTGAATTTAGTATTGGATCAACTAATTATTTGCAAATTGATATTTTTCTTTATTCTCATAACTTATCTGTTTGATATTGTATTGATATTGTATGGAGAAATTCTGTCTTGATCTTTCATAGGAGTAAAAGGGTTAATTATCCCCTTAAGCTGCTACACATTTCCTAGTAAATCAGTTATGAGAATTTGATTTTAGATCTAGATGACAACTTAACTTCAAGTAGATAATTTTGAGTACTGTCATTGTCTCTTTGTTGATTGATGTATATGTATCATAGGGAGAAGTTTCATATGAATTACTTCTGAGACTTAATGGATTTAAGTACATGAAAGGAAAAGGTGTTTTAATCAGTGTAACATCTCATTTTCAATATCTTTAGAACTTACTTGTTTTATAAGTAAATTAAATGAAGAGAAAAATTTATTATTTAAGATAATGGGAAATTTTGGTCTTTTCAATCAGAACAAAGAAACAGCGGGATGTTATTATCAAGTGCTTTTATGGGCAAGTTCGCAAACTTATCAGACACAAGGTGAGATTATGATTTTAATGATGATACTGATAAGGCTCTCTATGACATAAGCTTGATTTATCAATATTTATATCTATGTATGGCTAACTTAGACGATTTTTATCGATTTTTAGGAGGCATCATCTATTCTAGAAACTATATACAGTGATTATGCAAACTCTGCCCAAAAAGCCCATCTTATACAGGAATTCTATGGAGCTGACTTTGCTTTTTTCAAGGTACATGTAATCTAGCATTAAAAAATTAATAAAAAAATGAAAAAATAATTCCATCCAAGTGATCTTTTGTTATCTCCAGATTCTTATAGTTAATTTTGAGTAAATTACCATCATGTAGTTGTGCTTGCCTCAACTTTCATCTGCCTTTCTAGTCATCAGAGCTAAATTCTTTGGAAAAAGTTTTGCAATCAGATCCAGCAAGGAAAACTGGAATCCTCAAGTACATGAAAGATGCCTTGCTGCCTCTTATAGACAGGTAAAGTTTAAAGATGAAAATATCTTTAATAACCTTGAACCCTTGACAACTTAGATCTCATTAGCAATTCTGACTCCTTGTTGCTGGCTTAGAAATCTTATGATATTATTTGTGAGAACTTGGTATCGGGTCAACTTATAATCCCCCAGTTGATACTTTTCTTTATACTCATCACTTGTGTGCTTGATGTTGTGGTGATATTATGAAGAGAAATTCTGTCTTGATCACTCATGGGAGTTAAAGGGTTAAGGACTTAGTACACCCAGGCCAGATTAAGTATTAAACTTTTTACATACAGCACGAACACAAAGAGGTTAAAACTTCTACTTGACTGGAGTTAATACAAAATTTCTTTTTTCTCTCTGATTATGTCAAGCATTGTACCATCAAGTAACAGCTGGTGTTTTGCTTAATTTTCATGTAAATATATTTGAACACAGGATGAAAATCTGCAAGATTATCTGTCAAAGTTGAAAATGATATCTTAATACAATTTGTATTGCCTGTGGATAGAGATAAACAGCATAATATTAATTTATTTTGTATTACTTTTTTCCATAGATCTGTCATTGGTCATAGTATAATTCACAGAGTCCTTCTTGAATACCTCACATATGCTGATGAAAATGCAAGATCAGTACGTACTTCATCCTCTTTTCGTACCAGTACATTGCGAAGCCTCACTTCTTATACATAGTTGTATCTTTTCTGTAGGAAATGATAGAGCTAATCAAAGATTCTGTTGTTCTCATTCTTCATACTCATGATGGAGCCAGAGTTGGTATGCATTGTTTGTGGTATGGGACTGTAAAGGCAAGTCTAGATTCTGTTGTTTATTTATGTTGAAATCTGGTAACTTTAATTTTTGAAATATCTTTTGATGTCTCATATGTTTACCAGAACCAAAATAATTTGATTAAGCTATTTGACTTTATAACAACCCTGAGGAGCATACCTGAGAGGTTGAGTTCTAAGTATGACATGTTACATAGTAAATTTAACTTGAGTTTTTCAGACCTGAAATAAAGTGAGTTGGTAAGAATTACTTTTGACATTATTTCATTTTACAAACCCTCACCAATATTTAAAGACTTAAGGTGATTTTTTTGTTGTTCTTGTATCTCTTTCAAGGATCGTAAAGTACTTGTCAAGTCCTTCAAAAGTTATTATGTAAAGATCTGTAAAGTAAGAGTTGTATTATGCTGTGATGTGAATTGAATGAATGCATTAGGAGGTCTTAAATTTTCCTCATGGTGTACTTCTTATGAGTTAGTCTGCCAAAATCTTAGGTCAGTCCCTTATGGTCTTAAGTTGGTTCCCTAACATCAAAGATTGGTCAGCAAGCAATATCTTACATTTGCTTTGTTCCCTAACATCTTAGACAAGTTATTTTACTTCTTACACAATGGCTCAAATTTAATTACAACACAGTGTTACTAATCATCCCATATCTAACATACTATCCAGCCATTGTGTGTCTCTCTTGGATTTCAGAGGTGTAAACATAAACATATGCAAAGAGAAGTGTTGTTGTGCCACCATATTTGACTTAAACATATGGTGGGAACAGTTGATCATGAGAACAATTCTACATTTATGGTGAACTTACTTGAATATTGATTGTTGCTGTTTAATTTACAGGAAGAATTTGGACATCTTGTACTGTTAGCATTATTTGACTGTGTTGATGACACAGTGCTTGTCAAGAAGATTATGTTCTCGGTGAGATGAAAACTGTTTAGTTTTTCCTCCAAGGTTATGTATGTGACTGATTTTTTAGTTTAGCATACAGTTTTGTCAAACAGGTAGTGACTCAGGTGTGTGAAAAGTGTTAAAAAAGGTTATATTTTGTCTCTAAACATAGGTGAATGGAAATGATGTGATTGTTTGGATTGAGCATTCACCTCTCAGCACTAGCCTTCAAAGAAATACATTGGCATTGGTTAGAATTAGGACTGGAGACTTTGAGAGCACAAAATTTGTATAAACAAGAAGTCTAACAACTAAAATGACCTAAATTGGCATTGGTTAGAACTGTTAAATTCTGGAAGGATGTACCTTATCACCCCCATCCAACTTTTTCAAAGAGCTAAACACATGTTCTCTCTTGTCAATTTGTTATAAACATTGAAGTTATCTAGCACTTTTTTCACCGTACGTTTTACATTTTTCATTTTTTTTTTTTTTTTTTTTTTTTCGTTTTATTCTCCAACTATCCATTTTTGTCTCTTTCCTTGTATAAATGACCTAAATAAAGTTGTTAAATAAATAAATAGTTCTGGACAATGAAAATTATGACTTAATGGTATATTTTTGTTTTTCTTGCTTGGCAGGAAATTCAACCATCTCTTCAGGAGTTAGCTGTGGACACTTATGGTAGGAAAGTGTTAATGTATCTGCTGTGTCCACGGAGCCCCAGCCATTTCCATCCCACCACCGTGGAGCTGCTCAAGAAAGGAGATGGAAACTCCAACAGGTGTAGTACCACAAGTTTTGCCTTCAATTATTTCTGACTTGGCAATAATAGTCCAAGTCTTGATAATAAAAATCCACACTTATTCTGACTTGTTATGAACAAGAGTTTCTTATTCTTGCTGATCTCCTCTGAACACAACATAAATCCATTCATTTCTGCTTGGTACCAAAGAGAATTTGTACCAGAGATTTTTTTTTTAACAAGCAGCTGTAGGCACCCAAATGTAAACTTTAAATGTTTTATCAGATTTATCCACTTTTTCAGGTTATCAGTCAGGCTTTGACTAGTTATTTGTTTCCTCATACATTTTTTTTTTCATTTTTTTCATTATTTCAGCAAAAAAGATTCACATCAGAGGCAAAATGAACTCTTGGAAGGAATTTCACCAGCACTGTTAGAGCTGATAGAGAAAATTGCAGAAGAGTTTTTATTTGATAAAGGAGGTTGCCAACTTGTTCTGGCTGCTCTTCTTCAATGTGCTGGTGGGTTTTCCTGATAGTTTCAATTTAAATTTTTTCTCTTTTTAAGAGGTTAGCTAAGACTCCAAATAATTTCCTGGCTTGCACCAGTCAAGCTGTCTAGTCAAACCTATCTTTGCTCAAACACAATCTACTTGCAACTGGAGAAATAACCATTTCATCATGAAATTTTCATTGAATTTCAGCCCCTTATGGTATATTTGCCAAACTTTTCTTTCACAATTTTGGACGCTAGTGTCCGATTTTAGAAACTATCAAATTGGTTATTACCTTATTTCTAGATTAAATTGATGACATATTAACTATTTAAATTTTTTTTCATTTTCAAGGAGATGTGGAGCGTGCTATGATGGCCATTGTGAACTTAGCTAACAGAGATCTTGATCCTTCAACTGAAGATGAAGTAAGAAGAATCTATGAGTTTCATCATTTATTTACTTTCTGGTTTTTTATATGTTTGTCTCAATCTATTCTGGTGCCGCCTTGTGGAAGATCACTCTTTTCTATAGATGCTGGTGAATTCTTTCAGTATTTGAAACACAATGTTTACTTGTGACATGCAATTGTCTTCCGTGCAAAGGATCATGTTGTGAAGAGTGCTGCTGGTCATTTCGCGTTGAAGAGGCTTATTTACCAGGACAAGGGAAGACTACAGTCTGAAAACAAAGGTAAAAGTATTGTTGTGTATGTTGGAGATTGACAGATTCGTGCTTAAAGGTGTATTTGTTGTCATCATGAGTTTGATCAGAAATGTGGGAATAAATCGGTTGTTTTTAAAGACTTGTGATTTGTGACTTGTTCGGGAAACTAAACTATCATTGCTAGTAGAGGTACCAGAGCAATGCAAAATGCACCTTAAAGGTTTTTCAACTTTTCACGACTGTCTTTGTTTTGGTTTGTTTATTCAATCACTCACCCTGTGATTCTTCCACACCCGTTCTCTTACAAGGTACAGCCATTCTTTTGTACACGTTTTAAAGGATATCAAATTTGAATCGGAGAACCGAGAATACTCTGCCAATACGCAGAATTATAAGGGTAAATTTCAATGGCCTTAGCTATATTTCATTTGGATGTGGAGATTATTCTCCTGTTACTCTACTCGGTTCTTCTGCTATTACAATTCTTAACCCAACATTAGTATGAATATTAATATTCTTCACACTATACTGTATACATTTCCTAATGAGCTGATTAGGAGAATTTGTTTGGCAATCAAGAGCTACTTTAGTTGGTGGTAATTTCCTGTATTCTCGTGATCATAATGTTTGATTCAGGGGTGATATTGTGAGAAGAAATTAGATGTATGTCACTCTTGAGGGTGAAAGGGTTAATGAAGACCCTGATCTTAGCATGTTCCTTTACCCATTCGTCATCCCATCCTATTTGTTTTCTACTTGTTACAATTTGCATTTCTCCCTCTGTTTTTTCTGTTTTTCCACGGTTTTATCCCTTTCCTTTTTCATTTTCTTGAAAGTTACAGTTTCTCCTGAGATGATTTATTGCTTTTGCAAAATCAAAATAAATTAATGATGTCTTTCTTGCCATATAGATGAAGTGTTGTTCAGTAAACTGCTGCTTGATAACACTGATCCCCGGATGTTGCTCGACTGGTGTAAGGTGAATAGAGGGGCTTTTGTGGTCGCAAGGTGAGTCTTGTCGTTTGTCACGCAATCTATCTAAGAAATATGTTGCGTGACAACTTTAAACCGGCTACTACTTGAATTTTGCACCCTATTATCTAGTACTTTAAAACTATTTTGAATTCAGTTTCTAGACATTGATTCTTTTTCTTGCAGTTTACTTGAGAGTTCCATCCCTGGAGTTTCAGATACAGTCAAGTCACATCTACAACCTCGGGTTTCAAAACTGAAGAAACACGATTCCAAAGGCGTACAAATCGTGTTAAAACTTCTTGCTAATTGACATCGAAGACGGATTTGATCGTGTCTCATTCCCACCCTTCCCTCCCCTTCCGCTCTTACTCTATCTCAGGGGGAAAACTGAGTGGAATGTACAAAAGTGCATGTAGATACGATTCAGCTAATACAACTGATTTCTCAAAGCGTAGTTCTCAATGTCGTGAGGTTACGACGAGTTTTAAAAGTTCATGCTCAAAGGTAACCATCTCTCTGAAGGAACTTCTCTGAAGGTCACATGATCCTGTTTAAATAAAATTTTATAACACTGCGCGACACTGCGGTTCGAAAATTTACAATGTTCCCGAGGTCTCAGGAATAACGCAGTAAAGCTGCCTCCAATGCAATGAACAATTATTGTGTAATTTGCCCCTGACGTCGATCATTTTCGTTTTACTGGGCAATCAGCCATCCGTCGTTTGTTCTTCGTTCCTACGTTCAGTTATCGATCGTGTTTTTGTCGATCAATCGTCGATCGTGAGGTTTTTTTTTACCGTGCTTCAGTAGTCATTTTCTTTCATTTTTCGCTGATGTTCGTTCACTTGTGCGCTTGACACTCTATTCTGAGAGACAGTTCTTTTTATTATAAACCTGGAAGCATTAATATCAAATTTATTCAAATAGGTCGACGGAATTTACAACTTACTGAATCAGTAACGAACACATAAAGGCTAATGTTGTTCCTGAAAACGATAACACTATAAGACACATCCTAGTAAGCCCCCAACTCCCTTCCCCTTTGGGTGCTTTTAGCAATTAGTTTCCTTACCCTTGCAGACAGGGTTCTATTTTGGAGGGGGGCTTGCGTGAAACTTACTGAGGGCCCTCGCAGGGTCGTCGTTATTCTTTTGAATTGTCAGCCAGATTCAATGATTATAGTGCAAAGAAACAACGTGCCTTTGGTGAAATACCGACGTTACTTACAAAGCCAATACAGACTTAAGACTACAGTTATATGTTGTACTATAAAGCCACCTTGCTCAAACAGATGGCCATAAATGTGACATTTTAGAGTTTGTGATAAGGGGGGAGGGGGAAGGGAGTTTTTATAGAAAAAGAGGTATATGAGAGGGGGGGGTTTACTGGAAAGGTTACTCTATTTATCCTATGATTTTGTGACCTAAAGTTAACCTATTGCTATACAGTGTTATGTTAGATACTTCATAAAATTATTTTAAAAAACTTTTGTTTTACCAATTTCTATGTAACAGAAATACTTTTAAGAAATCAAAGATACTTAATCTAAGGCACAAAAAAAATCTGAACAGTTGTAAGTGACTATAAATCAACCAACGAGCTGACTTATTGTAAACATCCACTAAAGCCTCCACTAATTTTTGTCCTCTCCGTTAGTGCTCGTTAAAACGCACTGGGGACCAAGCAATCCAGATGGTTTCATTTTCCCCAAAGTGGTAAAAGGATTAAAAACGAAAATTGATGGGTGATCTCATGGTCAGAGCTCGCTAGACTTGTCTCTTTGGAACATTTAATGTTCGTTTGAAGCGATAGTAAAAGCATAGGTCTCATAGTTTGAAGAGAAAAGAATTTAACAAAGGAAACGATTGATTAGTCACTTCAGCCCTTCTCTGTTGAAGCCTTGTCGCATGTTCCTCCATGACATCCTGGGGTTCATTTGATCCTGTAAAAAGGAAGAGGGGCAAGTGTCATGTAATTGAAAGGATTCTTAAAGATGTTTCAATTGATCCTCTTGGGGCCTAGAGGTCTTTATCTGAAGTGGCACCTGTAGAGAATTCAGAATAAGAAGTCCAGTCTTATCGCGAACATTCTTTGGCCTCTGGAATGATGGGATGATTCTATGTTCCATCACTTTTCGAAGTAAACTATCTCAGAAGAACTTGCCCCTTTTCTCATGAAAAAACTAATCGAAGCGCCATCAAATTTATTGCATAAAACTGACAGTCCTCAGAATCTGCAAAGTGGTTGTGTCTAAGGAAAGAAACTTTTTCGAAGTACCGCCCCTAATTGTAAAAAAAAAACGCTTTTCATAAAAGCATACAAAATTTGTAATAATAAAGCAACTTGATACACCCTAAGATGCCTATCGTGTGTGATGCGAGTGCCATACCCCTACCCGTCTCTTAAGCCTTGCCGATAAAAGCTAAAAATTCTTCCTAATGGAACAACTTGTCATCCCCCCAAATACAACAAAACCAGAAGGTCCTACCTATGGAACTGAACCAGTTTTTTGGTAGTTTAAGAACGTATTTGCTATAACTGAGAACATTGCAACGCCTTACTTCCGGAGTACACAGCAAACAGCTACAGTTATGCACATCATGCCCAGAAACACCACGGCAATAGCTACGGCCAGCAGAATCACAATCATTTTACGATCTGTGAAGACGAAAATAATTTTCTAACCCTGACTTGAAACTGTGAAGTTTAGATTACCAACCCCTCCTTACTGATCATAACTGATATTCAATCCTGTTAACATGAACTAAATGCGTAACTACCCCTCCCCTAATCCAATAACAGTCGACTGATAACAATTGAGGGTTCATGTTGGGCTAGGGGAGGGGTAGGTGCGCAGTTGCTCAGATACTGACACTGATCCAGCTAAATCATGGTGAAACTAAAGAGAGATGAAGTACCAAAGTATCTAAGACTGGCAGGATACTTACCAATTTCCTCAACACCCTTCCCCTCATCTTTGCCTCCCTCTTTTCCTGGCTTTCCAGAAGTTGACGTTGGTGATGTTGGGGGCTCTTTTGGTTGTGACATGGTTGGTGACGCTATTGGTGACGTGGTTGCTGATGTTGTTGGTGACGTGGTTGCTGATGTTGTTGCTGACGGAGATGGTGACATAATTTCTAAAGTGGATGTGACCATGGACTCTGACATCACTTGTGACATTATGGATGTGGCCGCTTGGGGTGACATGGGTTGTGACATCGAAGGTGTTGCGGGCTCTGGAACTGATGATGGGATGACCTGTGACACTGCGGATGACTGAGATTGTGACATCGCGGCCTGTGTTGGAGATGGTGATGGTGACTCAGTTTCTACTAATGAGGTAGGAGCCACTGATGTTGAGGCTAAATGATGGGGAAAAAATTAAACTACTTAAATTTGGCTTGTTTAGAGTACAAGACTATCACCGCACTTTCTTATAACCTCTTGTTTGAAATTGAGTAAGGCTTACTCCACCATCTGGGTAATCAGCCGAAGAGAGGCCCTTGGAAGGGCTGATTGCCTGTCATTTCTTTCTCTATTATTAATTTGTTATGTTTTTTTTGTTTCATTGTTGCTTTTGAAAAACGAATTCGTCTTAAGATCGACATCAGTTGTTGTTTGCACATTAACAATCTAACTTGAAGCGCATGATATGTACTTTACACGAAGCCGGATAGAAAGAACTGACGAGCAAATTTATCCTTGCATTTTCCTTTTTCATATACTACGCACAGTGTTTTTTTTTTAATGATAATAATGATTTATCTAAACCTATATTTTAAATGAGAGTACCGTTAGGCCAAGTTCAATGTATCAATATCGTGACCTTCTTTAGAGGCTTTCGCAACAAATTATCTGCATATTTTTTTTTTTTTTGCTATTAAAGTCTCTTTAAGCAATTTAGATTTATATCAGAAAATTTCCAAAAAGGCCTTGATTGCCTTTTAATCTATTAAAGCCTCAAGTAGGGTGACGTTTTAGTATCGTGATCGAACAATGATATCAGCAAGAAGCCTCACTAATTGTCATCTTCCGACCAAAGACAAGTTCACAGCCCTTCTGTGAGAAGTTCGAAATCGCCATGTTATCGTGTTATTGGATAAAATCCTAAAATCTTAACTAGCCCTAACCCTTTAACTCCACGAATGACCAAGATTGAATTTCTCCTCGCAATATCCTTACGATAACAAGTACACAAGTAATGAGAATAAAGAAAGATATAAATTAGGGGATTATAAGTTGATTCAATACCAAATTCTCCGAACTAACATCATAAGAATTGTATGGCAGACAGTAGAGAGAATTACGAGTGAGATCTTGGGACCGAAAGGGTTAATACTCGATAAATGAGCTGACAATGAAGTTTTGATGTCGTGAAACAGTCGATAATTCTAGCGATCACTGACTCATAACTTTTGGAAATAAAAGTGGCAATCGTTGGGGACGCCATCCAGTTTGATTTTATCTCATTTCTCCTCCTAAAATAGAAACTCACGGTTTTGTTTCGAGAGGAAGAAACCTTTCAACGGATTTGTAGCTTACAGTTCCACTCTTTATTTTATTGCGTTCTTCAGTGATTTGTGAGTACATCCCTAAATGTCAGTTCATGCCGGATTATCTCAAAACGGTGCGAGATATAAAACTGGATGCCTGGTGGGAACTGGATTTACCCCTAAACTTGGACGACGGACGGCTTGCTATCTGTACCCCTAAGATATTCCTTAGCGAGGTACCAGAATCCAGTTGCTGGATACCAATTCTCAGCAAGAAGTACTTCTTTCGAAAATGTTTCCAATATAGCGTTGCTCCCATTTTTATAAATTTTAGCTTTCGACATTGGGGTGGTTCCAATTATGTGTAATTAAAAGGTATGAGCGGAACTTCATTAAATGCCGGTAAAAATTAAAAAACTTTGAAAGAGAGAAGCAGCTAATGATCATATATTTGATAAAGTTTTGTAGAGTATGATAGATGGCACTTGATGTTGTCATGTCACGAAGAGGTTCAACTATCAACACATTATCTAATAAATAAATTAGTCACGATATAATACGCAATGGGTAATACAGAAAATTTTGAAATGATTAAATAGAGCTTGAATGTATTGACCCACGACAGTTTCTTAAAATATCCTTGATTTTAAAGTGTTCAGAAATTTTAAAACGATTAGAGTTTTCATTCTTTCTATATTACTTTGAACATTATCAGTGTAATATTTCCGCGTTATCGCGATCTGGTGATATTGTATTTTGTTATGATTGCAAAATTGCAGAATAGACGCCAACATTTTGCCAGTATTGTTAATTTTCACGTTGTTAATCTAAGTAGTTCATTTTGATCTAGAATACAATATTTCTGCGGATGATCTTTTATATTTATTATCATGATAATATGTAAATTCATAACTCTTAAGAGAGATGGGAAAGTGCTCCATTTTTGCCTTTTCGATGCAAGATCAGATAATCAGAATTTACTCTTGTCATTTCTTCTGAAATCAAAGTTTCCGCTCGAATAAATGAACTATATTCTGTATTGCGCCTGATGTTAACGTAACGAGACCACAAGGAAAGGATAAAGAGTTTCTCTAAATAGCATAATGATATTAGAATACGGATTCTGTTGTAGTTGCGTTGGATTAGCTGGTTAGAGCTGAGGAACGAAAATCCAGAAGCACTCGTTTAAAGGTCCAGCAACTGGTCATGGGTGTGGCCCTGAGCACGTGTGCAGAGCGTCAAAAGACTGCTTCAGTTTAGAAGTGTTTTTTACGATATTATGTCAAGCAACAGCGAGAATTGTCTCCGTCTTATAAGTGTTTATCACAATATCATGGCAAATAAAGGAATGAAAACACCTCTTGCACCTTTAAAATTGTTGTGAATTTCTTACAACTGAGTCGCCCTGTCACTTCTTTTCAGCTGTGGGTGAGTTAAAGGGAAAATTTGGTCTTGGAAAAAAAAAATGTCTTTAAGAAACACTTTTGTGACTCACATTGTTAGTATTAAGAAAACCAGATTAAAAAATATAGCAAGAGAATGAAAACACCCTAGCAATTGTAAGCAGTTAATAATTCGTTAATTCTTTTGAATTGATTTGACTACAAATTGCTCTTCTCGTTGTATTTTTGACTATCTTAGTGTTAAAAAATCCATGAATACTGAGACAATTTCCTGTAATATTCGCCGAAGCAAGCTACCATAGGCTTCTACCTGAAGCATCAATGTCGTGTTTTTTGATTCTGTTAATGCTAGATCATTGCTCTTAGCAATAAGAATAAGTTATTTTACTTACGGGACTGACCAAATACCCCAACAATCATGAACACAACGACAAATGCTATCATTCTTGTCCTGCTACTGCACGCCATGTTGCTCTGTTGCTGTACTTTGATCGTTTAAGCTGGGTTTGGTTATAAACACATCGACGAGGATTGTCTTGTCTAGAGCTAAATATTGATTGTGACGCCGTTAGATGTTGCCTGCTCAATATTACTCTCCTTGATCATTTTGTGATATGCACCCATGAGGTAGTAATGAATAATATGCTCTGTGTTTAACTAGAAATAGGAAGGTATTAATAATACCAAGGCTATAGATCAACAGTAGAACATCTGAAAATACTAAGAGGCCTTTACATCTTAACGGCCGTAATGAGTAGATAGGATTGTATTGAGGTATGTGAAAGAAAGCAAAAGGGGTGTAAATGAATGTTATTTACGAGGAGTGACAAATAAATGAAAAACGAAGGCGGCTAAAAACAGAGCAACAAGCAAGTGCGAGCGTCATTACGGAAGATTGTGATATCCGGCTTACTCTTTAGCAGAAAGTGTCTGAAGAGTTCATTAATCTGCGGTGTTTAGTTGTCACTATTTGGTAAAAAATATGGAACATTTGAACTTCGTAATAGTTTACCTCTGCCTTCGTATTAGATAAAGGTTATCACAGTAATGATGTTTGATGCGAGGGTCACCGTAACCTTTGCATTGTACAACTGAGCCCACGGTTTGAATTGTGTACATCAAATCGTTAAACTATGTCTGATGAGAATTCTCATGTCAAATCAACAAAGAATTTTACTTTATTACAATTCAATTACGTTCACTAAAACACAATATCTTACCTAACGCGGACGAGAGAGTTCATTGAGTCTTGGGATAATTTTACCTTGATTTACATTTTGCTATTTCTACATTTATAAAAATCGTAAAATATGTATCTCGTTCTCACATTTTACAAGAATGTGTCTAAGGAATGTGTCTTGGCTCTGACGAAGGGCTGACGCTCGAAACGACAGCTTAAGACAACTCTTTACGGCGTATGATTCACATAATCAACTCAGTTGATAAAACCCCAGTAAAATTAATCAAGCAGGGCTACAAATGTTGTAAATATGTATGGTACGAGTAAATCTCATAAAGCTATCTGTCCATTAGAACCGGGTTTTGAGCTTATTCAATCCTTGTCGTAAATTGGTGTAGTAAAATTTGAATACCAGTTCCTCTCAAACACAGCTTGCAGCTGCGCACGCACATTGCTGCTATTTTCCGTTTCGTTGATGACGTAACCGATGCCACCGGTGTACAGAAAGTAATCCGCTGACCAGTTGGACGTACCGATGTATGCCACACTCTCAGTGACCATGTATTTGTTGTGGTTCACCCGGGTGAAAGGGATCTCTTTCGTGTAAGGTGGCACAGAGTATAGCCTCTGTTGACGTAAATGTAGAGAGAAAAATACTGTCTAGTTCTTGACACATAAAGGCGGAACTTATTTTTCAGTAGTTACCACAGTAGACTCAGAGCAAATGTAACCGCTATTCCCCCGCACTCTCCCAAAACTTGTGATTGGTCAACAAGCAACGTGAGAAAACGTGTAAGTAGACTTACTTTGTCTCTCAGTACGTACGCTTTGATTGGTCACATTACACAGTACGGCCGCCATATTCAAAAATATTTTCAATTGAAATCTTCCTCCTCTAATCGAACCCAGAGACATAATGAACATTCTACTAACCTTGTTTTATCGGTTCGCACTTTAAGTTACAGAACATCGTTTTTCTCACTTGGATTTGTGACCCGTGTGTTTCGCGCTTTGGGCATGAATGAATGCGAGTGGAAAAAATCAAGTCCGTAACTCACAGTACGGAGTAAGAAAACGTGGTCAGTAAAAGGTATGTACCAGGGGAGTTATTTATAACCAGATACCACAGAAACGTCTTTAAGAAACGAGGAAAAAAATCAGTTATTACCTGATACTGCACTTACCACTTGGACATAAGCATCATTAGCATAGTTCAAAGCAGCCAGGGATCGAAGGTAGTTTTTCATATCAGATCGTGTGTGATTCCATAGGCTGGCCATCAGTCGCACATGTACTTTACGATCAAATGCTGCTCGTCTTAAAGCGTCATCTATAACTGGCCAATAACTAATGAAGAATATATTTTTTTTAACGTCAACGATTTCAAGTGAATCCGTCTTTCTTAATCAGTGCTCAAGTTGTTATCAACCGTGGATATGGAGTTTGAATTTTTACGCTGCCGCCGAACGAAACCGTGTCTCTCGTTTCTTCTTAGGATCACTTAACTCCGTCTCACATTTCAAACGCAATATCACAAAAAGTTAGCTCTTGATGATTTTTAAAAGTACCATGTGTTTACTGAAGGTAAAATATGAATATGAGAATAAGCTCAGAAGTGTGTCGCATTATGTTGTACACAATCTAGTGCGAGAATTGCCCAGTTTTTATTATCTTGCCCTAGGAACCATTTGGCTAATTTGGCAGCCAAAAGGAGAAAAATAAGCCCTGAACTTTACGGGATTGATGCTCTCTAAAATCTTGAGAACTAATTCGCATTAAAAAATAAACTCCTACGCCAAGTTGTTCAAAGGGTGATAACGCTGTCCACGGATAAATCGCTATCGTGTGGATAACTGTTATCCGGAGGTAGTACCCTATTCAATAGATATCGATTTATCCGAAGGATAGCGTTATCTATCCCGCGAACAACCAAGGCCTGGGAACTAGAGTACAGTGAAACATTACAAACATGGTTGATTAAGAGGGAACAAAAATGAACTCACGTTCTTTGACGTGTATACAAAGTTGTTGGAAAATAATCCATCACAGAAACAAAAACAAACTTTGTGGCACTGTCAATAACTCGTATTATGGCTGACAAATCATCAGTACGATCAGGTGGACAAAACTTGGGTGGAGAAGAAGACAAATATACTGAAGCTGCATTGGAACCATTGAATTTTATTTGAGCTGGAGAATCTGTAAAAAGAAAGAAAAAATTGTGTGGAAAAATTAAAACTGAACAGTGTTGGATTCTCTCTGATAGAGTCAAACCATGTCAGCACTTCAACTCTTGTACAGAAACTGTCTAGCAATTACCCTGCAAACAATACACCTTAACACCCTAACATCAGAATGCATATTCTCCCCACTGTTCTCTATACATTTCCTAAGGTGCTAAGGTGATCTTTCTTTTATTGTCTTGATCACAATTTTTTAATTCAGGGGTGATATTAGAAGGAGAAATTAGATACTAATCACTCTTATTGGTCAAATGGTTAAGAATCTCCAACACCAAACCTAAGGAACATACCCCTGCAGGGTTTCAAGATTTAATATAACAAATATCACATCAGCAGTCATATCTCAAGGGGATATTTTGGTCTCCAGATATTAGAATCTAACTACAATGGGACTGCCCGAATCCTTGTGCCTGAGTTAAAAAGTGGGTTAGGTTAGTGCTTAGGTTAGTGGCCTGGGCACTTACCAGCATTAATGGTTGTTTGGTACTTTTTTGGCCAGGGATTTGGGATCTTTGTGTCCTGTGCTAGGTCCCAGTATACATCAAATATTTTGCTCATATCATTTGCCATGAGGCTGCAGTTGTAGGTGATAAGGCCAAGCTCTTGCACCTAAACATTGACAGAACTGAAGCACTGTCAGCTTCAAGTCTAAAACAATGAAATGACATTGAAATGTGACACAGAAACCTGCCATACAAAAAAAATGATAAAAAGTGGACAGGAAAATGGATCACACATAAAACCTGGAGACCCACTCTCCAGTAGAAGCCCAACCTGAAGCTTTCACGTTTTAGTTAAAGGGTGGGGTGGAATAAGGGGAGATGGGGGGGGGGGAAGTGAAAGGAAAGGGAAAGGGAAAGGTACATGTTGTAAATATGGAAACCTTTGCGATGAAAAAATCACCTTTCTTTACCTACATGTGAATAAGCAAGGGCTTTCTCAGTATTACTCTGATAAACTTCAGAGAGAAAAAAATCCTTGAAAACAATTCTTACTCAGACTAAAAGTATTCACTGAGCTGTACCTGTGTGAGTGCTCTCCAGTCCTGATTTGCACTGCCAACATAAAAGTGTTTACCATCAACAAGCCACATCTTAGTGTGCAAGATTCCACTGCCAACCAGACGTGTTATGTTTAATGATCGTACATCTGCAAGTCCTTCCTTGGAAAGGATATTTGTGTCTATCTGAGGGAAGGCATCAGTAGGAGGTGTCTGTACAATTCGGATTTTAACACCTTGAAGGCAAAACAAGAGGTAGAATAAAAAAACAGAATATCAAAGTTTTGTCTTTAACTTGGTGCTAAGTATTAGTAGATCGATTATACTTAACAAGAATTGAGCACCACGCCAGGTGTTCTGTACCTCACTTGCATGTGAAGGCCACTCCCATTACATTTGGCCTTAATTGGGAAAACATACTGTCATGACCTAAGTGTTACAGCGAACTTGTTGATAGGTTCATGATAGGTGATTTAGGATTATTGATTGTGAGATCAGAATTGCCAGTGAGTTGGAAGAATAAAAAGTGTACATCAAACTAGTGTGATTGTTTGTTGCAAAAAAATTTACAACAATAGAAGAAGTCTCTCTGCTAAAAATCCAGTGAGGGGCACTGAGGAGGAAGGGAGCATTGCCCCTTAGGGCCTCACACTAATCTCCAGTCCCTTGCACTTTGTGCTTGTTCCTTAGTGAGTAAATGAAACTAGTTTAATAGTTTTGTAAGGTTTAGTCTTTTCTCTAAAGCAGGTGTTACATGATGTCTGTCAAGAGTTTCATAATTTTGAAAGGCCAGTCAAGTCTCAAAAAGCCCCTTAACCTAACCCTTTACATCTCCCCTTTTAGGTGAGACTATGCTCTATATAATTCTTACTTCCCCTCCCACCTCCACCGGGACTCCCCCATGGCACTTTGCAATAGGTGGTCTTCCTCAAAAATCACGCATATGCTACCTTCTCAGCATTCGATAACATGCGCCTTTTGTTCACACAAGAAGTATCTCTACCTGCTTTAGCAACATCCTGTAACTTCTTGAACACAGTCTCTCCTTCTTCGGTACTGTAATCTTTGGTTTTCGTATCGCTTCCTTGTAATGTCCAATAAAACGATGCTATGTCGATCCGCTCCTCTGCGATGTCTAGGAGATTCATCCAGCCATCATAGATGCTTGGATTCTGAACCGATCCTGCTGAGAATGTGACATTTTCAGGAATGCTTTCCACTAAAGTTATCGTGCAATTGCTGCTGAATGGCTCAGTTGTTTGCTCAGTTTCCGCGTTTGAGCTCTTGATAATGTGCTCTAGCACAACCACCAGGAAGATAATTAGAATTCCCATGAAAATAACGAATGCAATCAAGAGTTTTCTTGTTCGTTCCATCGACGCTATTGGCGCACGAGCTTGTTTCGATTGCACCACAAACACGTCTGGATTGGTCTCCTCCCTCATCAACATATACGAGTCTCCTCTAGCCATTTGGAAATTAAATCTGGGACATTACCTAATAAGTGAGTTATAAACCAGTATAAAGTATAAACTGCATACGTCAAAGAACCTCTCATTAGACACGCTTGAAAGGGAACCCTCGTTAGAACTTTGTGACCAGGCCAAATGTCTGATCCATGTAATTTCCAAGATGGCGGTCCAGCGTAAGGTTATAGACAAGGGCCTTTTGAAGAACGTTATTCGACACACTGATGCTCACAATAAGGTAAGGATATAATATCCTGATGTGAATTAGATAAGGTGAAAGTTTTATTCAAAAATTCTGATAAAAAGTAAGACAACTGCGTTTGTTGTCAAGTTAAGTTATCGTCGTTAACGAGATCTTGTGTGTTGTTTGGAAACTCCACAAGTTTTTATCTGGTCCTGGTGTTGCAAGTTCACCATCTCTTTCTTTTTTTTCAGTTATTGGTTAAGATTATATTCTTGCCATAATGATATTAGTCGAGGGAAAAATACTGGTTTGTGCGCCGTATAAGCATTAAGTTCATTTTACGTATGTCGTTCAATCCAGTTTCACTGTTGATCTTTCCCTTTTTGTGTTATAAATTCGTAACTATTTGGTTATTTTTTCATTACTAAGATTCAAGAGGAAAGTGAAATGTGGAAGCAGTATGAGCTGATGAACAGTAAAATTAAGGGGAGCAATGCTCCATTGTCAAATGACTCTAAACGGTATGAACTAAACACAAGCTTGTATAATGTAATCACATGCCATATTGTGTGCACATCCCTTTAACTCCCGAGAGTGGCTAGGAAATAATTTCTCCTCACAATATCTATACAATATCAAGCAGACAAGTGATGAGATTTAAAAATATAAATTAGATGATTATAATTAGATCTGATACCAAATAACCCAAACTTACATTCTAAGAATTATATAGAGCAAACACCATAAACAATTACTAATAAGATCTTGGTTGTGGAAGAGATGTGCAAGCACATTTTATGCTAGATTGATTACCAAACTATTAAAAACATAATGGAATGAGCCTAAATCTGGATAGAGAGTAACCTTTACTTCTTATTTTTATTTTATTTTATGAAACTCCAGTGAAAATGGAAGGTTTGGTATTTAAGGATCCTCTTTGTCCTTACCTTTTTTTAAGTCAGTTCGTCATTTCCTTACTTCCTTCACTGCTACTACTTCTATTCTACTGTTACCATTTTAAGGTTGTTTTATTTTTTTATGGAATGCCTAGGGGAGCCAGAGTTTGATTTTTTATCATTATTCTGCCCCAAGGTACAAAGGGCAGATGAGATGTGATGATGACGACACTACATTACCACCCAGAAGTAGTTATTGGACACAACAACTCTTTGATTTTGAAGCAAATGATTCTCAAAGGTTTGTTTGGTTGAAGTTCATCAGGTCAATATTAAAATTAACTTACTACCATTTACACATGTGAACCTCTGTTAACCTTTTGCACGCAAACATCAGCAAGCATATTCTTCATACTACTCTTCATACATATCCTATGATGCTGACAAGGAGAATTTGTCTAATAATCAAGAGCTTCTTTAGTCAGTGATCATTTCCTTTATTCATGTGACCTTATTGTTGATACAGGGGGATACTGTAAAAAGAAATTAGATAGTTTTACTCCTTGTGTCTAAATTCTTTCTTGTAGATGCTTCGTACATTTTGTTTTGTTGATGTTAAATCAAGATAAAATCTTCCAGATGATAAATTTGTCTAGTCATTTTGGTAATGAAATGGATGAATTATTGAAAATGTAGAACACATTTTTGTGTAAATCACTTCTAAAAGATGAAATATTAACATAAAGGTGTATGATTTTGTTTTATTCTGTAACTAAGCTGTTATATTTTATTACCAGATGGGGTCATGAGGGTTACAAAGAACTCTATCCAGAGGAGTTTGAGAATGGAGATAATAAGAAAAAAGCTCAAAATTTTGATGAGAAGAAAAGGAAAAAACATAAGTATGTGAATATAGTTTGTTTTCTTACTGAGAGAATAACTCATTTGATCTAGTAGGAAAACTCAATTTAAGTGAGCATTTGAGAGAGAGAGAGAGAGAAGACTTTATTTATTGAGGATAGCACGTGATAGTGCACAAACACTAATAAACTTGTGGTCCTCCTAATTACAATAAATATATAAATACAATAGAATCATTAATAGAATGAAATATAAATAGAAAATTAGCTAAAACAAGTAAGAATATATAAAACTACTATCAATAAAATTTACGGATTAAAATGAGCTAAGCATGATTGGTCCTTATAGTAATATTTAAATACGTTGTCTTTAAAGGCCTTAAGTGTATTAGACTTTTTTAATTCAGGCTTTAACTGATTCCATAATTTTATGGCAGAAACTAGAAAAGTTTTCCCTCCTTCTCTAGCCCTTAAACTTAGGTAATAAAAAGTTGTATTTACAAAATCTAGTGTTGCGTGAATGTACTGAACTTAATAATCTTAAGCTATCATTAAGATAATTAGGTACACAATAATTAATCCTTTTAAATAGTATTGAACATTTAGCCATCTTAGTAGAGTCATAAAATGGTATCCACTTTAAACGATTGAATAGCATAACTGATGAACTACGTGGTTCAGCATCTAATAAAACCCTAGCAGCTCTCTTTTGTAGCCTAAGTATTCTTAAAAGAGATTCATTAGAGCAAAGTGACTGCCATGCAACATTGGCATAATCAAATAATGGCTTAATTAAACTATTATAAAATAAAAGTCTTTGGTTAAATGGTAAACAAAGTTTGATCTTATTCAAAATTCCAATTCTTTGTGAAATTTTTTTACACAGTCTGTCAACATAAGTGTTCATTGATAAATCGTGGTCAATGTCTATACCAAGAAGTTTAGCTGAGGGTACTTGTTCCAATGATACACCATTCATAGTTTTAAGAGATAAATTATAACCATCTGGTAGTTTCTTCCCAAGGCGTTTGCCTGTGACCAGTAGTGTTTTAGTCTTTTTTTCATTTAAGATTATTGTATGAAAAAAATTACAATTATTTGCTCACAGATAGGGGCTTAATGGTTATAAAGAACTTTATACGGAGGATGTTAACAAAGAACCCTTTAGTGAGAAAAATAAAATATCTACAAAAAGGAGGAGGAAAAAGGAAAAAAAGGTACTGCAAGGGGCCTAAGTTTTATGAAATTCTCTGCTTTTTTTGAACTTATTCAATGTAATGTCAAAAATGCCTATATCCCTATGGATATATAGTTCTTCTAAAGTTGCATTATATACTGAATCCAGCGGTGAAAAGTGAGTTTGCGCAGTGGCAAAGAGGGCAAAGGTTGGGACAGAGGCTGGAGTTAGATCTTCATCATGATCCCATTGCTGAAAGAAAACTTTTTGAATTGCAGAGTTGACTCAAAGAGCAAAAAACACAAGAAGAGAAAGAGAGAAAAGAAAGAAAGTGACTTGGATTCAGATGTATCAAATAAAGAAAGCGAGAATAGTGATGAACTGCAAAGAAAACGGCAAAGGACTAGTAAGGCTAGAAGCAATGAACATAGTTTGAGAAGAAAACAGCAAAAAGATCGTAAAAAGAAGAGAAAAAGGCCATCAGATGAAGAAAATTCCGGGAAAAGTTTAAGTGAAGAGATGAGAGAACAGAATAAAAAGGTGCATCACAAGCACAGGTCAAAAACTCGAAGAAAAGGGAAACTTGAAAAAGACAGATATTATAAAAGTAACACTGAAAGTGACTCTCATGACTCGAGATCACACAGACGGGAAAAATATGAACGAAATAAACACAAAGAGAAAAGAGTAGAAGAAAAACGTGGAAAAAAGAATGATGGATCAGTTTGACTGGATTGAGGGAAAAACGCGGTGCAAGAAGTGAGTTAGAAAAACAAAACGAGTAAAGATTGCGTGACATAGTTGCGTGACCAATCAACGACAATCGTTTCCAGAAAAAGTATCAGCCGCGTAATGTGTGATTGTTTTGTGAGAGGGAAAATGTATCTTCCGACCGATTTTTTTTAAAATCGAATATACACGTACTGTTTTTCAAGAAACGTGTCTTTGCATACTAAATAAAAACTTTTTCGGTTTCAGTCCTGTTCGACTGTCAAGTTTTGTTTTGTGTTTTTACAGTACTTCCGTATCATGTTGTCACGTTTTTTCGTATCTTCAACTCCGGTAGCAAGGCATGAATGAAAACTACTGTACGTGGTATAAACTTCCTTGAGTGTTCGGACTTGTGTATATGTTGTCACGTTTGTGCAGTGCTCCCGGGGTAAATATTATTTTTGTTTTGATGACATAAAGAAGACAATAAAACAAAGAAAAGCTCTCTGCCTTGGGAAGCCAATCTATAAGCAAATTTATTCCACTGACTTCTTCATCTTCTTTTGACTATTCCTCTAAATAGCTTTTGTTAATGTTACATGACATGTATATACAAATATTTCAGAGACGTTATATAACGTGGCTATTAATTATCATGGCTTTCCAAACTACAGTGCGGGAGCTAAAATTATTCATTAATAATTTACATCTGAAAACCAACTCACGTACGAATGAGCCAGACTTAGATACCCGTACTTATTTTTGTGATAATGAAAGTACATTTATCTATTTATTACTTAGAGAAAAAACGCGATAAGAATGTTGATATTGTCGATCTAAAACAAATTAGCCCCAGCGCCCATTTCCCGCGAAGATTCTCAGGAAAGTGGGAACTTATTGACATTAAGCCAAAAATATCATTACTTTTTAACAACTAGATCCGCAAGAAGCTAAGAGATATGATGATTTGTAGTAATACACGAATCTAACAGAAAACGGACATGGCTTTAAGTAAAATCAATGCAACGGTGTTAGACATATGACCTAAGTAAGATTGATATCTACAAATTACGAGTTCAGAATCGGTGTAATGGATGAGGCAAAACAAAGCGTGTTAAACTGAGTACTGTATTCAAGCTAAAAAAACTGTTAAGAGTTAAGAATGACACGAAGAAAAGCTTTCAGTCCACGAACAGTAACGATGATAGAAAAAATAGGGTTAATCTAATATTGTAAACGGAATCAGTAAACGGGAAACTGGGCTGAACTTTTCAAAATGCTGACGTAACTACTCTTTGAATTTGGGCGGGATAATTGGATCCTTTGACGCGCATGTTCATTCAAGATTTTTGGCCGCCAATCAATATAGCGTGGACTTAAAAAAGTTATCTGGTTTGCAGCGTGGGTGGAAAACGTCTGTTGCGATTTCAGCGTGAAAGCGCCGTCTTAACTCTCAAGCAGCAATTCAGCTTGTTGTATATCTTTAGAGCCGGAAGCAATAAGCCGGGCATACACGACTTCTTATGCAGAATTTTGGCCGGAACAAAATTGTTTTTGTTAAGCATTTGCGTATCCGCCCCCTCCCAGGCAGGCTAATACTCTATTTTTCACGCTTCATGGCGACTTTAACTCCACAACGAGAAGAGAGTTTTTCATTTCAGTATAATCCTCGCACCAGTGTGAGGCCGAATTAATTGTGGATAAACCATGTTCTCTTCTAATAAAGGAAAGTTCAAAATCCTCGTCACCATACGTGTTAAAGTCTTCCTTCAAGATTTTGACTCGTGCCTGTTCGGTTCAAGCAAACCTTCATTAACTGTGCGGTTTTCCCACCCAACTCGATTTCACGTAGTATCGTGTCTGTCCCATTTTTGATTATGACAGTCTGTTTGAAAGGTTATGAAAATAAAAACTTCCTGTCTGGGCGACACTGAACAAGGTCATTATGTTGAAGTATTATCGTTTGATTATCGTCTTGGTTGAGAAAAGAACTTCAATAAATAGCAGGTTAAAAAATAATAAAAAATGCTAGGAATCCTCTTTTTAATTCCAGACTGAGAGATGGCCAACCGCGAGCGGAAGATGCACCTTGCACAGCCAATAAAACGTGCTGATTTATAATAACACGTGCTGATACACTTTTTACTTCCCACCTTTAAATTTAAAACATACATATTGAACAATATATTTCCAGTAACTTTCTACAAGTTGTTAGGGTTGAATGTCATGAGATGTTTGGAATTTTCTTTTTTAGTCTTTGACTTGCCTTTTTTCGATAACAGGAAAATCAAATGCATTTTGCACTTTTCAGATTTTTCCGTCTTTCCTGTGCGCTGAATTACTTTTGGACCTCAAAATAAAACAAAACAAAACAAAACAAAGACGTGTGCATGTCTCTCTTTGCTTCCGCTTTCTTATTTGCCTCTGGATGTTCTATTTAGTTTGATGGTCTTTTTTTGGACAATTCAGAAGCAGGTAAAAAAGATTTCGCATTTCAGCGACTTTCAAAGCGGTTTCTAGAGCTTTAAAAGAATGCAGGAGGTCGTTGACTTCCGAGCACTCGAATAAAAAATAAATAAAAAGTGAATAAAACTGCTATAATTTTGATGAAGTGATTTAGAAAAACTTAAGTGTCGAACGAAGGGGAGAGTAGATTTTTTTTTCAGCGAAAACGCTAAGAATATGACTTTGTTTGTCTTTCAAGGAAAAAAACATTGTATGAATTAGTTCCAGAACGGGCTTGCCCCAAAAATTAACATATTGTTTGTTTGGGCCGTCGTTTGACGTAATTTGTTTTCCGGTGTTATACCAAGAATTTTCCGCTTGGAATGGTCAACAACAATTTCAATTCTGGGAAGGGGTATGCCGTTTGTTTTGCTATGTGATGGCAGGAAACACATCGATCGCTTCCCACTCAATTTAAAGCAATTATATATTAATAGATTGCTTTCAATTCCATTCAGTTTAAACGACAAAACATTCTTGATTTCTTTGCCTCGAATATGAGCGTTTATTAGAAAAATACCTTTTCCCTCCCCCCGTCAATAGTTCTTTGTCGTATCCGGGTCGTTAGACACGTGATATGTGTTATAAATTTTGCTGGTCAGCTATTTGCCTCAGGAGTTGTTGAGTTCAATCCGTGAGGGTGACACGTCTACTTGGGGTTAGATATTTTCTTATTTGATTCGACTACTGAAGATCAGGAATGACTCAAGAAACTATTGAGAGCGAGACAGACGAATTCTGTAGAGAAAATATGGGGTAAGTTCGATGAAACTCTTATTTTAATCACTCGGGTGATGTAATAGCACTTGGAAGCCGGCAAGGGTATGTTTCCCGGGAATTACGATCTTCGCAGAAATTCTTATTTGCACGGTTGTTAATCTGTTAAATGAACCTTTTCAACTAGATTCTGCTTAAATTTTAACGCATAGAGCTTGAAAATGTGACTTTATTCACAAGTTTATACATGAGGATTGTAATATTCGAGGACTTATGTTTTAGTGTTCGATGTTAACTCGTGACTCACACAGAACGCACGGTCGAACTTGTACTGGTACAAAGTCAAATTATTCTAAGAAAAAGGGCAGAGCAAGGCGTATCCACTCAAAATTGCTTCTTTCATAGCTGAATCGAATTCATGTGGTGTTTCTGCAAGATCATTTCATAATACATTGCGAACTGTTGGTCACGAGTTTCCACTTAGCTTCAACGCCTCTGAAACGTTACAGAACGTAGCTTACATCTTTCAAACGTAGGTGGTCATCGATTTTTGGCTTTATTCGTTGAAAATTCGGGCTTCTATTCTTTTTTTGTCAATTTTTTTTAGTACTAGATGAAGTTAAGCCAAGAAACGGGAAAATTCCAGGATTTTAAATCTACACGAAATGATTTGAAAACTGCAACATACGAGCAGATGACGTGTTTATTGAATTTCGATTTCGTTTTGCATCTATAATTACTGAGGTCACGAGACAGTCCAGTTGAAATCAGACCGACCAAATCATATAGGTCTTGTTCTAAAATTAATTTTGCATCAAAAACAATTCTTGCTACAGTACAGCATCCCTTCAGTATTTTTGTTTCCTCTAAGCTTGCCTTTAAATTGTTTTTCGTAGTTAGGAGGACAGGTGGATAATTATGCATTTTATAAACAATGTGTTGCTGAATCATTTATCCGAATTGTTTCATCAGATCAAATAACTTAATAATAATCGCTATCGTTCGACATTTTATTTTTTTCAGGGATATGGTTCATAGACTGAAAATACGTTGGGCCTTGCAAGAAGTTTTAAATCAAGCACAAATCAATGGCCATTTGGTGTGTGGAGTGCACAATGCTGCTAATGAACTTGCCATGTAAGTTACATATATATATTTGTATTTCCTTCATGTTTTTGAGATTATGAGTCAGGGTATAGTTTGGGGCTTCATCAAAATATTTTAAACCACTTGGAAATGTACAAAAGTTACCTTGGATTTGTTAAAAAAAAACTCTGAATATTAATTTGGGAAGTAAGACAGAAGGCACAAAAAGGGTAATATATAAGCTATTGAGGAATGAGGTTAACAAAGGATTGAAAATATCAACAAATATTGCAAACAAAAAAGTAGGAAAGTTGAGCTCCATTTTTTCTAAGATTTTCAAAGCATATATCACTCACTCTTACAACAAATACAGCTTACAAGGGCATGTGTAAGGTCAGGTCATAGGTTATACATGACATCCTCACTCCTTGTCAAGCAGAAGTGGTTATTTTTAATAATTTAATTGGCCCCCCTCATTTCAGTCACGTTTTAGCTCTGCCTTGGTCATCTTCCCCCACAAAGACCCTTTTTATCTCTGTGACTTAACAGAAGGAACAAAACTGAGGATCTACATGTAAGGTCTTTCAAACATATTTTTATTTCTTGTTATTGTAGTGACCTAGATACAATAGGATTGTGTGTGTTGGTAGAAAACCCAAGAGCAGATGCTGGAATCCAGGTTCACTGCCGACTAATTGAGGCATATTGCTGGGAATGTGCAATCCCTGTTATTAAGGTGAGTAATCATGAACAATTTGCATTTTTTTGGATTAAAAATTAGCAGAGTTTTATATCATGTCGCCCTTGATTAATGATTAATGATTAATGAGGTCTTTTTTTCTCTCTGTTACCAGGTGAACAACAGCTGCAAGCTGTCTGAAATGACAAAACATCACATGATGTTAAGAGAGCCACTACACTGTGTTCTTGTCAAGGTATAAAATGCTCCATGAATTAATTTTTTAATTAAATGGAATTTTTTATATAACTCTAAATAAATACATTTTTTACCTCTGGAAGGATTTACATCTTCCTCTCATTTATTAACCCAAAATATAATATTGATAGTTTCCTTTTGTTTCCTTTTTTGTAGAACCTCTCAAGTGATGTAGAGTCAGTTTCCACTCTGCTGCAGTTTGCACGTCATTCACCAGCTCCTTTACTTAAGATTACATAAATGGAGGGAGAGGAGTAGTGAGACACAGAAAACGTCAAAAAAAAGTTGAGCATCAGCTGTACAGTGTGCCTGCCATACAAGTAGTGAACCGCTCAAGACAGGTACATGCCATAACAGAGGAAAAAGTTACATAGAAGAAAAAAGAAACTGCAATAAAAAAATTGTATTACCCTATGTAATGTTAAGAACATAAGAAAAATAACAAAGGGCACAAGTGTACCCCTGATTTACCAATAAACAAAGCACTTTGTTAAGTTAAATTGCCAAATTCGTGGAAATCACATAAAAACAAAAACAACAAAATCCTTTCTGGACCTATTTATTGTTAAAGAAAAAGTTAAAAAAGTTGTTAATTGCAACCTTCAGGAAAAAAACCTGTGTTAAGAGAAAAAAAAAGGGCCTTGATGGAGCCCAGGTTTAAGTGACATATCATAATGTTCTATTTTATCATTGACTTGATATACATTAGTTGTTGTAGAGAGAGAGACATGAGTTCATGTTCCCTCTGATAGGTTTTAGTAGCTTTGTTATTAAAGCATTAATAATTGTATCCACTATGGAGGAACTTGTATTATTATTCAACATTATTAGTGTTGCTTGTAGATAAGCAATGGTCTTAATAATGTCTTGAACAAATAGGTAAAAAGCCTACAAATGACACTATGTAGAATTTTTTTTGTATTCACAATATCATGGTTATTTATTTATCATTTATTGAAATGTTAGGGAACACTTAGGAATGACTTTCTGGAAAACATTTTAAAAACACACTGTACCACCTAAAAGTTTAAGTTATATCTTTATGAACTAGTTTCAAGCAATTTTAGAATCTTATTGGAATTACTATTTTAGCATGCCAGGGTAGCATGTGAACTGAAACTGCTGGGCAGTAATTATTCCAGCTTTATATGACTGTGGACATCTCATTATTTGGAACAATAAACTCAGATTTAAATTTTACTTGGAGCTCTAAGCTCAAATACCAGCTTTCATAGCCATTGTTAGTTTTATATGTGATACCACAAATATTTGTGAAACATTTATATTACATTATTAGCCATCAGTTTATGATTTAGGAATCAGATGCTGTCATTTTGGGCTAAATTGTGAGACTGAAAGAAATATATTTTGAAAAATGTACTGTTTTACAACAACTGTACACATTACACATTACTGTACACGTACACATTACTGTTATCTCATGATCAGTTTTTAAAGAATTCTTTTTGAATAAAAATTACACAATTCTAGATTGTTTTTGTGCTTTATTAATAACTTTATGTAAATTCTACATGACAATTTCATTATAAATAGTCAAGCTATCTTATTATGCATCTGTGTTTCTCCAAACACTTCCCGCTGGGGTGTTCTTAAATAATTTTCCCTAATTTTTTTTAACATGTGCAAATTATGGAATCCAGAGCCTGGAAGTCCACCTACTCTGAATACACTGTTATGACCTGCTTGGTTACTGAGTTACACACACAGTTTCAACTTCACTCAATTTCACTTGGGTCAGCTCTTTTTTTCCATTCTTTGAATCCCCCCTATAGAGGCAAAAAAACAGACATAAACAATATGTGAAACATACAGATTGGAGAATAAAGCATCATTGGATTGGCTGAGTATTGAATGAAGTTGTACTTCAATCTTTACACCAAAGAAATCAATGAAAAAAATTAAATTATGCATTCCAGTGAAAAACACAATTTATTCTGCTTGTGGTTGGAAGTACTCTCAAATGATGGCGCAACAGGGATGCCATTTTGGAGCATTATGCAAGAAAAAGGAGTGGGGATGTCACCAGTTGAAGTAACTTTGTAAAAGGGTAGGAAATCTGTTATTTAAACGTTTACAAGCACTTTTGATATTCTTCAGTAATGTATTTGGTAAACATCACCCATTGATTTCACATTCTTATTGTGTAAGTTAAATTGTGACCAAGGTACCGAGTGGAAGATTTTCGAAGACCAGTAAACCTTTCTGTCAGAAATTCTCCATACATAAAATAGTAAGATTTGTTCCACAGTGGGTTGGGGGTTCACAGATAAAAACTTAAATGTGTAACACTTCCTAAGTCCCCTAACCTTGGGACTAGTGACTTTCACACCTAAACCTTAAACTTATGGTGCACAAATTGAACTTTAAATCTCTTACATGGTAGACTGCCACATCAGGACATCCACAAAGATGGGCAGCAAGTACCAAAGAGCATGATGACATGCCACTATTACACATTCCTATCAATGGTTTGCTGAGGTCAATTCCCGCATCTGTATAAACTGTAAAGAAAGAAAATAATTTCCAAAAAAAGGTTACAGGTTATATCTATTTGATACATCTAATTTGCTGACAGGATGATCCAGTTTTTTAAACTCTTTGTTCATTATTTTGAAATACTATCAACAGTATGAAAGATATGTCTGATATGCTGAAAGCTATCAATTCATCTTAATCTGGTCTATTGAAGTTTTAATATTGTAACATTTAATTTAATCATTGTTGTTTTATTCCACAAATTGGAATAAACAATGAATCAAAATAATAGGGATGTAAAGAAAAATAATTACTGACAATTTCTACAGAAGTATGATAGGTGACACAAAACTCTTTATACACAATTAAATTATTTATGAAATATTAACCCTCATTAGCAATTCTCCTTACTCTCGGCCATATAGTTTTTTTGTGATGTTAGTTTTGAGAATTTGGTATTGGATCAACCAATAATCCCCAAATTAATATTTTTCTTGATTCTCATCATCTGTCTGCTTGATATTGTCCTAATATTGTAAGGAGAAATTCTGTCTTGGTCACTCATGGGAGTTAAAGGATTATTTAACTTAAGTGCTGTGTTAATTTGTTTATGGTATTCATTCTAATAATTTAAAATAAATTTGAAAAAAAAAACATGTAAAAGAAGTGATGGTTGTCAACAAACCTATGTGCACTTGTAATATTTTTTAATATCATCATACCTTTCTTCAAATCATCCAGTTTTTTAAGACTCTTAGTATCAGGATCAAATAGCTTAGGGAAAGGAATATTCACGGCACCAGGATAATGGCCAGTCTTGGGATCTACAAAAAAAAAAAAAAAAAAGAAAATCCCTCTGGCATTCACATTAAAAAATCAATTCTAAACAACCCCATCAAAAGTGTGGGGGGGTTTATCCCTAAATAGGTTCAAGCAGCATTTGAAGCAGAAATTTGAATCAAAATAATTCTGATAAATACAATACCATAAGCTGATCTTTTAAATAAGCTAGGATCTCGGCTGTCACAAACTTGGGCTTTCTGCAAAGTAAGGTTTTCTTTCATGTCTTCAAACCTTTTAAGCCATCTCGGAGTCAACTTTGCTGTAAAGTCACCCTCCTATATGAAAAAAAGGGTCATTCATTATTTGTGTTGAATCACCTGTTTGAACTCAAGTATTGTTAAGTCTACCTAGATTGGATTATGGTTCCATTCTGTTGGTCCTCGAGGCAGATGAAAAAACTTCCAGAAACTTTTTTTTAATGGTGGTTGGGTAAAGAGCTTAAAAAGTAATTGTTACCTTTTTTTTGAACATGATATTTGTTGTTTCATATCCATCGGCAATCCACTTTTCCAAACCTCCATCAAGAACTGATACATTTTCATGCCCAAACAGCTGCCAAAATTTAATTCATTGAATAAATCATTATAAAAATTTTGACAAAGGGTTAATGCTGATTTATTATCAGTCAGAACAGTTTAAAATGCATTAATTACAAGCTTCATCAAACAACCAAATAGTAGGGCTGATTTGGTTATACAAAATTCAACAGAATGCTGTTGTCTAAGGATTGATAAATGTTATCAAACCAACATCATTATTACCAGGTGCCAAGTGTTATCAAACTTAATAGCAATCAAGTTAGAAAGTTAAATAATGAAATGCTAACCTACCGTAACATGGCCTTAACATCGTTTTATTTTTTATGATTTAAGTAAAAATAATTATGTTATAGAGTTTGCTGTTGCTTGATATCAAAGGGGAATAATTTTAAGCTACTAGAATTGTAGATTTGCTAGAGATCCAGATTAACCCATTAACTCCCAGGAGTGATCAGGACAGAATTTCTCCATACAATATCATTACAAATCAATCAGGAAAGAAATGAGAATTAAAAAATATAGATTTAAGGAACTTAAAGTTGATCCAATAACAAATGCTCCAAAGTAATATTGTAATTATTTTAGAGCAGAAAGTAAGGAGAATTTCTAATGAAATCATAGTAGTAAAAGGATTAAAGAGATGAGCCCAAGAGCATTCTCACCTTAAACAGCCACCAAGCTCTTGCACCTGTAAAAAACCCAAACTTCCCTGTTTTTTCATAAATAACAACATGATTGTCATTATTCACTGCACTGCCTCTTGCATTCATCTGGAAGGTTGGTGCATCAGGAATATTTCGAGGGTACAAAGAAGTATTTTCCACTCCATAGAAGATGTCCATTTGTGAAGCATACATTAAATGTTTCCTAAGGAAATCAAACCACTCAGTCTCAATTTTGGGAACATTAGATCCTTCTTCAGATTTATATATAGAAGGGCACATGGGGAAAGCACAACAAGGGGAAAAACTAAAATAAGAGATAAAATGAGAAATGAATAATCATGATGAAGTGATTATTGAAGGCACTGGACAGGAGTGTCGAAACGTTGGGTCTATGAATTGTAACTTTTCCATTACACTCATTAAATCTTTAAATCAGAGTAGCATCAAACCATGTCTGATTGTCCACCTGGTTGCCATGTGAACTTAAATATAAATCATGAGGGTATAAAAATACAAAGTAAATAAATATACAAACGACTAATTGATCTCCAAATCTATCTCATCTAGCAATGCTCAAGTAAAACCTTGGCAATTTGATGTCAACAAGCCCTGGTTCAAAGCGACCCCGCCCCCTCGCTCCTCAGTCTCCATATGGGGGCTCACTAGACTTGTGGAATATTTGATTCTTTCGGTTTCCTTCACTTGCTGTATTTTTGCCAAATCTGCTTCTTTTTCGCCGTTTTTATTGAGATCTAGAATCGACCAGGACGTAAAAATAGAATTTTGGGGAGTTTTGTTACTAATGTTGACCGAATACACTGCAGTTGATCAAAATAGCTCTGTAACGCAGGTCTCAAGTCTTACTTTGAGAAATGGTGGATAGTATTCTTGTCGCTGAACCACGTCACGTCCAAAATTGCTAAGTCATCTCGCTTTTTTCTCAGCTGATCATTCAACCAGGCTGTAGAGACAACAGGTTGTTTACTATCTGAGGCCATCTGGACGAAATCAATCAGCGTCCACCAAAACAAATCGAACAGTCGGAAGGAGTTCCTTAAACGCAAGCTGCAGGGGGACTGAAAACTAGTTAATGAACGGATCTTAGCTGTCGCATAAATTTTAGTTATACCCTTCGGGATATCACTTCACCGAGTTTAAAGCTATGTGTTCAGTTTCTTCGCGGCTCAGTCAGTTTTTAATGGTTTCAACCTAACAGAAAACGCAACTAAACAAAAGGATATGGAAGCTTTTGCAAAATTTTTAAGGGAATATTTTAACATTATGATTCGATCCCTATTCAAGCCATTTTCTTTCAGCCACCGAGAAAAGTTTGTACTAAAACTGAACTTTTTTCTTTGTCAGTTTCATGCCATTTTCATCATTAATTGAATCTGGTTTAGTAAGTATCAGCGTTTATACTGATCTTTGTCTTGTTTACCGGAGACCTGGGGCCTCTGTGACTTATTCCGGCGGACCTGGCTGTTGTGGTCTTGCTGATCTTCCTTTTATTCATTTCTTTTTGCTTCGTTAGGAGGCTAGCCATAACCTCTTCCCTGCTTCCCATTTTCTCCTATGTATAGTAGTTGGTACATTTTGGGGAATTGTTACAAAGAATTACCCCACCGTCACTAAGGAAACCTAATCGAACGATGTTCTGGTGAACCTTTGTCTATGATTAGAATAAACACTTCGGAAACTTTTTCGGGTTGAAATCTTGAGTACCAATATAAGGTAAATCCGTGGACAATTTACACCTTACAAGTCATTGCGTTCTCGACTTTCAATTACCAAAATGATAGATGTTGACTAAAAAATTCCTTCCGAACAAAAATGAAATAACTCCAATGCAACTGATGAGGTAAAGGGCCTTTTGGCAGTTGCTTCCCACTGAGCGTTCTACGATTTCATTTTCAGTCGATGGACTGAATGACTGTACAAGTGAAAAAAAAAAAAAATAAAAAGCCGAGGTCCCCACGTTAAGCAAGAGACAAAAAGAATTCTGAACTGCAAATATTTTATTGTATATTCTACTTTTCTTATTTTTCGTCTTCTTCTGCTCTTGTCACAATGACAAATTCTATTGCAGCCACTAATGTTCCATTATTACTCGAAAACGAAATACCTTAACAACCACACCTTGTATTCCAACCTTGGAACTTTTTTATATGCCTGACTAAGGAAAGGCTCAACGAGCAGAAAGAGCGTTACAGCTAGTCAACTGAAAACAAACCAGCTGCATTGTTGTGATGAGTTATCTCCCCCATAAATTAGATTATAGCAATTGAAAATGAGAGCTCCTTCAAATCTTTGGCGAGTTCTTTGCATTTAACATTTTCTGTACAAATTCAACTTCTTGACACTCCATGACCAGAGTGTCGCTCGGGGTAACGAAGAACTCTTTGGCTGCCTTAACCTCGTGAAGTCCTCGACCACGCCTCGCATATCTAGAGTGGATGGGACACGTCTGCAGGATGTATATCGCCATGGATACCAGGAGGGGGCTTAGCCAACAACCACCTTCAATTGGTTGACCGTTCGCGACCACGTGATCTCCATTGACTTTCATCACGTCATTTGTATCTGCACCCAAAGAAAGAGAACTTTGCACTGACAACATTCCTGAAAAAAAAGGTTGAAAAATGTTACATTTGGTGTTGTCATACATGTAGGTTGCCATACATTGGTAATAACTGTCTATAGGTGGAAGGTATATGGCTAATTTTCTCCAAAATCTGGACTTTAGGGAATTTCCCTTAACTTCCAAGAAGTAGTTCAACTGAAACTGATTCCTAAAAAATATTTTGGAGGAACAATCATTTGCATGAGCCATAGATTATGTAGTTTGTACTCAAAGTAGTTTTATCGTGATTGAAAACAGCATTTTCATATGTTCTCGACACTTCCTATATTTAGGTTAAAAAATTTCATTGCCATCCGAAATATTACATTTTTCGGATTCAGTTTGAGTTGGGGAAGAATTTATAGTTAGCCATCTAGAGAGACTTTTATTTTGACCTTGTTCGCTCACAAAAACCATGGAATTGAGGCTGGACGAGCTAAACCTGAGCCCAAGGTTGTCAACTACCATAGCCATGACTGAACAAACATCACGTGACCAATCACTCGTTTTCCCAGCAATTGGAACTACTGGTACAGATTTGAGAACGATGTTTTGCGACTCACACGCAGCTAAAAACGTCTCCCATTCTGCAACAGCGTTCTTTTGCGTTAGAATTGTTATTTCTTTATCTTGGGCAAGAAGTGCTTTAACAATGCATACAACGGCCGACAACTGTCTCCCAGAAACTTGCTTTGCCTCTTCCTGAGGAGGCAGTGTCACTATGGCAACATATGATGCATGAGAAAGTGCCAAAGCTGATTTCAAAAGCTTGTCATTCCATTCTTGAAAACCATTACTGGACACGTTGGGTTTGATTGATGTGAATTCATTCTCTTTGTTTACAATTTCATCCATGGCTTGTTGGGAGACTAAAGACGCAAACTGAGGCGACTCTGACAGAAAAATCACCTCTGGCGACAGATTGGCCAGCTCTGAAGGATGTTGTTGGAGATACTCTGTCACTAAGCAGTCTGTGATAAATAGTGAACCAGAACATTTCATTGACAAACTGACAGCAATGCGAGGCTCTAGAAAAAGAGGAGAGAAAATATTGATGATCAGTAACCTTCCAGTGGGTTCAATTGACGAACGCTCTATTAGTCAGTTACCGCCGGTAACGCTTGTCGCATTAATACTGTACTCATGTCATACCTCGCGTTGTTTACTCAGTCGCGCGCGCTGCCATATTTTACTTGTGTATTTACACTCCTTCAGTGACAAGGCACCTCTCTATGGGTGGCATTCTCAAAATTAATGACTTGACATAAAGCGAATCCCAGCAGTACACAAAGCGCACGTCACACGTGAACAATCTCAATCACGTTTCTAGAGTCTCACTTGTTCCAGAGAGCGGGAAGAGGGGCAGACCCTGGGATCGAGGTTGCTTTAATCCCATACATTCATACTCTCAGACTTTTTGCATTTTCTCCCGTTCGTCATAAAGTCTTCATATTTTCCTTACTCCACAAAAACAACATCAACATAAATTCTAAACACTCACTAGCTGAGGCCATAACTTCACTCCCAGATATTCCACAGCCCCAAAACACAAGAACGTCATCTTCATCATATACTGGCTTATTTCCGATAGGAGGATTGTGAAACTCCTCTATTCCGATTAATGCGGGAGCCCCTATGTGAATGGGAGCCCCGTGGGCAAAATCTAATGGTACGCAGACTTCCGCCACTTTCGGAACAAACTCCCGTGGGATTGCCCGCATAGTGACGATCATATTCCCTGAGAAAGGCCCCTGGGGGATGAGCGGTATTCCAGTGAGGTATATCGGTGGGTCTTGTTTTTGGATAATATGACGAAGTGGAACTTTGGCGGTGACAAGGAAATGATCAAATGAATAACTGCAACCAAAGTAGAATGTAACCATGTCGTCCCACGGAATTTCCAACAGATTTTCCTTAATTCCAGTATCAACTCCATTTTCACTCACTGCATAAAGGGGAAGATCTGTCCTGAAGTAATGCACATAAAGACACAATCACCACCTGAAACATAGCTTGAACACCTTAAGATTTTGATGGAGCTTTGAGGGCCTTGAAAATTTGTTCGTACTCTTCGGCTGAAAAGCAGCATAATGTACCCTGAGGGGATAGAGACACTAGAGGTGACACTCGCGTTGTAAAGCTACGTTTCGAGTGTTAGCTGACTGGAATTTCCAGAGGACTTGAATCAGTTGTACCAAGGCAGTAGAGTTACTATGCTTACCTTACATCTGAGTTTGATGCCAAAGGGGGGGCTGAGACCTCACCCGGTTTACTGCGGTATAGCAAGGGGAATGGGGAGCTGTTACTGAGACACAGTCTTTCAAAGTCATCTGCTATATCAGATGGCACACAGGCGATGTTAGCCTGGAGATAGCCTGCACAAAACTGGCTACAAGTGATAGGCGTTTCAAATAAGTTTTCCTTTCGAAATTGTTCGCGTGCCTCCCTGGGCTTTAACTGTAGTGTGTCACGTGATAGAGACATGGCTGTCCGCGAGAAGCGGGGCTCTAAGTACAGTCTGAAAAACGGAAAATCAATGGCATTAAGATTATTGCTGTTGTTCAAGAGATATTTCCTCTACGTTCTGCATCTTTAATGTTGTAAAGGGGAATTCAGGATAAATAATGAAAATCCTGAGTCCTATGTAAAGTGAGAAATTTCCCAGGGGAGGGATAAAGCAGATGACAACTGAAGAGAAGGCGCAGACGTTTAAAATTCAGCTGACCATCATAATCAAATATGTTTAATTGTGAACTTGTTATGATTAGCTTTATCCGAAGAATTCTTCAAAAGTACAGTTATCATGATAACTTTCAAAACAGAATCAAGCTTGACGTCTAGCATCTCAAAGCAGCGAATATTTCGCTTTCATGACGCGCGTGTGTGGGAATATATATAATGGCGTAATATGTGAATAACACAGTCTATATTCTGTAAGATTTTACGCCACCAACTCAGTAGGTAGATTAATTATAATACATTAATATAGAATTAAATTATATTACAGGCGTAAAATTTAAATTATATATATCACCGACTGGAAGAAATTACGCTGTTAGTTACCGGCGTAAAATCTTACATATATATATATATCACCGACTGGAAGAAATTAAGCCGTTAGTTACTGGCGTAAAATCTTACATATATATATCACCGACTGGAGTAAATTACGCCGTTAGTTACTGGCGCAAAATCTTATATATAAGATAACCGACTGAAAGAAATTACGCCGTTAGTTACTGGCGTAAAATCTTACATTTATATATCACCGACTGGAAGAAATTACGCCGTTAGGTACTGGCGTAAAATCTTACATACAAGACAACCGACTGGAAGAAATTACGCCGTTAGTTACTGGCGTAAAATCTTACATATAAACACAACCGACTGGAAGAAATTACGCCGTTAGTTACTGGCGTAAAATCGTTCATATAAGACAACCGACTAGAAGAAATTACGCCGTTAGTTACTGGCGTAAAATCGTTCATATAAGACAACCAACTAAAAGAAATTACGCAACATCAACTAGAGCTGAACCCACAACACTGTGCCACGCAGGGTTTGACATTAATTTAACGCGTGGGGTTAGTATCAGCCATACACACCCAAAAACGAAAGTAAAACATTTTAAACTTACTTTGTGGCCAAAATCTATCGTGCTGGTTCCCTTTAGTCGTCAATTTGTGGCTTGGTTCAGGATAGGGCGACGTTTTGTATGACTGATTTCAACTGTAGTCCCAAGTCATGATAGTTAGCAGTGCGTGACTGGACATCTTACAACTGGTGCATAGTGATTGACTGTTTGCATAACACAATTATGCTTTCATTGCACGTCACAACCGTTTGTCTACCGCTGATTAAGACTGGACCCAAGAGCTGAGCTTCGTCTCCCACGATATGCTTTATCATGCTGCTCTGCTTTAAGTAGGGTTAAGTCCTATTTGAAGCTTGCTATTTTTGGTGGTTACTACGGGATCCGAAGTGGCTCAGCCACTTTCATTTTGATTTTCATTCGAGTTGTAACTTTGTAGTTTAGGACTAAGCGGTTTAACGGTTTGGCTGTGATCGTTATCCATGATTTTGCGATTTTTGCCCTAATGGCAGAAGTAAACTTCAGTTTTTGAAGACGCAATACTCCAATAGAATAGATCCAGGAAATAGCTAAATATGTTTGTCTTTGACCTGAAAGACCCAGACCAGCAAATATGTCATTGGCAACGTTAACCCTTTACAGTCTAACATCAGAATGCATATTCCCCATACTGTTCTCCATACATTTCCTTAAGTGCTGATGAGGAGAATTTGTTTAACAATCAAGAGCTCCTTAAGTTAATGATCATTTTCTCCATTCTTGTGATCTAAATGTTTGATTCAGGGAAATAATGTAAGGAGAAATTGGATTCTGGTCACCCTCAGTAGGGGTCAAAAGGTTAAGGTTGCCTTCAGTCTATTTCTAAGCCAAACATATGTCCAGTGTTTCCCTGACGGACCACTTTCTTTCCTTGAAAGTTTATTCTCAGAGGCCAACGAAAAAGGAAGAAAAGGAACACAAACGATAGATTATCGTCTCGTGACATAAGACGCACAGTCCGCCTACGAATTAAGGTCGCGTTTTCCTCACGTCAAACGTCAAACCCAAACTATGCTCCTATAGTTTTAATTCATATCACACATGTTGATAGATTTATTTCATCTAAAACAAGAATTTTACATAACCGCGCTTCAAAAGATCATGAGAAAAATGGCACTGAACTGCTGAGACTCTCCGACACACTGTTCGTCACCAGTTTCAGGGGAGACTTTTGCTCCAAAACACGATCTGCATTCTTTGAATAAGCAGTCCAGTTGATAAGCCGTACTTTAGCTAAGTACGAGAAGTCATCGAGAGGTTGAATACTCCACGAGATAGACAGGAATAGCCTGGGGATGTAGTAAGTAAAACAAGAATGAAAAAAGAATAAATAAGTAAACAAACTGTGCGCAAATGTCAAATGGCTTATACTCAGCAAACCAAGCGACAAGAAAACAAGCTAATTGATAAGAAATTAAAGTCACTTTTCCCGAGTGAATTTTTGTCAAGCAAAGACACTTTACCTGTAAAGGATCGAACACAATATACTCCTGCTGCGGGGGGCCTGGAAAGACGGGCGAGGATGTACGACCACCAGTCTATTGAGATAAAATAATGACGTATTAGAGCCAAGTTCTAAAAAGTATTTCTCCTGAAGAACCTAAAAATAACAATTGTAATTTAAGTAACACAACAACTCACCAAAATAGAATCAAATCCTGGAGGAGGTAACGTTCTAAACATAAAAAACACGAGATTAACCCCTTTACATCCTAACCCCAGCGTGCATATTCTTCATACTGCTCTATCTACATTTCCTAAAGTGCTGACACGGAGAATTCTTTTATCAATTTCGAGCTCTTTTTTTGTCAGAGTAGTATGACTATATTAGCATTCTACTTAGTAAGATAACCAAATAGTCAATGTTCTATAAATCATTAACCTGTTCAAAATTGAGTCGCCTTTTCCAAGCAATTAAGTTGATTTATTTACCTTCCACGATCATGAACCACAACAGACTCAGTCAAACCAAGTCCAACATTACACAATAGCAGCTTTCCTGGCTGAAAGTTTTTAAAATATATATATCAGTTATACTTGAGGTTGCTTTCCAAAGCAAGTGACATGCATTAAACTAACTTTCGTGTCTTGTTTTCACCAAATGTAGATTCCAACAAATGTTTTAATTATCGTAACGTTTGCACATTTTCCACCGTTCACCAAAGTTAGCTACGCGCGCATTGGTGTTCCCAGTAACAGTGTAGGCTGCGAGAGGCAATTATTGTTTGCGCAAAAGGTCATATTAAAGGACCTGTCGAGCGCGCACCTACGATAAAAAAAAAAAACGCTCGTTGGAAAAGTTTATGAAGACGTCTTTTCCCGTTTGGCTACAGGGTTTAGGAAGCCTACGCATCTGTTGCTTACTAATCTGATAAGACCTCTAATATCATTTCAGTCGTAGTATGATATAGTTCAGTGTATTTCTGAAAACGCGGGCGACCAAGTCATGATTGGTTTTAGTGTTGCATCTGACTAGTTGTGAGACTGGTGCAAGCTCTGTGATTGGTCCAGAAAAGTTTTCTGGACCAATCACAGAGCGAAGTAGAGAAGAAAGCAAAGTATTCCCGGATTACTTTCGACGCTCAATTGAAAAAAAGGGAATTTTATTTGAAAATACGCGATGGACAATTCCTTACCGATGAAAAGGCTGCTGCTTGACTGGCTTGCATTGAAAAATAAAGACCTTTCCCATATGGACCACGAGTGAAATCTGAAAAGTTAAATATGGACAAATCTGATTTAACATCTTAAAACAAAACACTAGGATGTGTTAACAAGCAAATAAAGTAATTACTTCTAGGGTATGTAAAATGCACAAAAGATATACAATTGACCACATCATACCTTCTTTACTGAAACCTTGCTTCATTATTCTTTCAATTTGTTTCTCGTCTGTGCCGCCACAGTAGTACAACTGTGTGCACACCACAGGGTCACCAAGTCTTTGAGTTCTTGCGTCAAAACCTGTTTCCATGAAAGCAATGTGGCAAGACTCTACCTACAGAAGTTCAGCGAGAATGATAGCATAGTACATAGCTTAAGCACGCTAGTAGGTCCCAGCCTTATAGTAGCTATGTAGTACCTGTGTATGTATAATTTAACAAAGTACTGCCCGTAAGGTAATTTGCTCATAACTATGCAAAAACACAGCGACAGGGAAATGCACAGAGGGAACTGGTAAAGAACCTCTCCTAGGAAAAATCTCGACAAATCCCCGATTAAAAACCTACAGAAAGACTATAAACATCTACTTCCATCACTAGCTCTAATGGCATTGAGAAGCCTACGCAAGCCTACAAACAGAAAGTCTCAAATGCATGTTCTCGGTTGTTGAAAAGTGTCTTTATCGCACATAACAGTTTATATCGATTGTTGATGAACTTTCAAGTCACCTTTTTGACGCTGTTTATTGTAACATCTTTATAGTTCTTAGTGGCCATTAAGCTGCGTTTTATCTGCTGAACAAGCTGTTTTTCACTGCGACTTGTGATGAATGAAGAAACCAACTCCTCATCCTCTGAAAAATTTGAAAGAATCATTATCAGTAAAAATTACCTTATCCTCATCTTAACCCTTTCATTTCCAAGATCTCATCAGTGATTCTCCTTACTGACTTCCATACAGTTCTTATGATGTTAGTTCCGAGAATTTGGTATTGGATCAACTGATGATCCCGTAATTGATATTTTTCTTTACTCCTATCACTTATCCGTTTGATAGTGTATTGATATTGTAAGGAGAAATTCTGTTTTGGTCACATGGGAGTTACAGGGTTAAACCAAACCTTTCTGAGGCACTTGTTTGAATGGCTGTCTAAAGACTAAAAGGCGATTTGCGGTAGTAAGTGCCCTGAAACAGAATAATGGTCTACGTATGTCTGTATTCAGAATTCTCGCGAGCTGCCTCTAAACTTAAAAATTGTAAGTTATAAATATTAGGCTGGTTTTGAAAACTCCCTAAGAGTACCATCCTTTCCTTTCGTGCTTCTACCAAAAGTTGCGTTAGTTATGTTCGGTCAGAAAGTGCAGGTTACTTTTTTGCTTTTCCAGCATCTTTCCTCCCAAAACGCTTCTTTAATCATCCTGTATGTCAGTAACTTTTGATTGAAAGAAATAAGACTATTGTCCTTGGTTCGTCGTCAAGTCAAGTGCGTAAGCAACTTTTTCTTAAACAAGGGTCGATGAGTGGAGAATATACAAGGACGTTTTTCCAGGGGGGAGGGGTCAAATGCACGTTAGGTCAATACCGCGAGTGAGGTTTTCAATAAATAGCTAAAATGATTGAGCAGTTTAATCACTGACAGGCTTCTTTGAATGTTCATTGATGTAAAGTACTTCTGTAGGAAAGCAATAATATTTTATGGATATGAATGCTTTGAAAAGGAAGTCAAACAACCTTGAGGCACATCTCGAAAGTCTCCATGGAAAATGGCCTCCAGGTCCCAGTCTAAGTCCTTATCGGTCACGTGTTTTTTGCTGAGCATTTGAGCAAGTGCTTCATATAAATCGTCATCATCTATAAGAAGGAACAAAGAATGTTCAAATTCTTAGACAATATCTCAGTGAAAAAGCTAAAGGAAAAGAGACTAATGCCTAATGAGAACATGAACACTGAAAGAGAATAAAGAAATGCAGAATGAATTATTACAACTCTTTACACTTAAGGACCTTCAAGACTAAGCAGGGTCAAGCTGACGCTGCCTTTTGATTAGCTGTTTCCTTAATAGCTAGTAGTACATCAATAATTCCCAACAAAACTTTTTCTCTTACCACTGTCAGAGTCCTTGTTGGCTAGAATACCATCTTTGTCCTTCATCTTGTATGCAAGTAGCTCTTTCTCTGCACAAGAAACATAAGAAGTTTTGTGCTAAGTTGTCTAAAGTCCCTGCTTCTTCACACATCAGTAATCTGACTTCTATCCAAGAAACTCACCCAGTTTGTGTTTCTCTTTTTCCAGTCTTTCCTTAGCACTTGTTAGAGTTTTGATGGCCTCATCTTGTGTGTCAACCTTAAATTGCACATGTCACATTAGCTATTTTAACATGTATCGGATACATTTCAAATCTATCCTCATCATCTGTGATTTTACTTTTATGCACTAGTAATGTTATTGGCCATCCAGTACCACAGCAGCTATTATCTGTTGCCAGAGTCAATGTCTGTCTTGTTTTTGTGTTTGTTCCCTCATGGTATAAAAAGCCTTTAACACTTTCACTCCCAAGATCTCAATTTATAGTAATTTTCCTCACTGTCTACCATAGAATTCTTATGATGTTAGTTGGGAGAATTTGGTATTGGATTGATCAATTAACAATCCCCTAATTGACATTTTTCTTTATTTTCATCACTTGTCTGCTTGATCTTGTATTGATATTGTAAGGAGATTTCCCGTCTTGGTCACTCATGGGAGTTAGAGGATTCATGTGAGACCAGAAGATAATGCAACCAGACTTTTTTTTCTGTCTTTAACAAACCAGAAACAAAACAAACTTACAACAGCTCTGAGAGTCTTTATTTCATGTTGCATCCTCACTACACAAGTGGCCTGAGCCTGGTAAGCCTCAAGACTTTTCTCTCTCCTGTAAATCAGTAAAATCCAAGAGTGTTAAGTTGCAAAAACCTGCAGCAATTGGCCAGGCGTAGTGTATGGAAAAGGTGTCATTTTTTTCTTTTTAAGCAAGCAGAGGCAAGCACAAGGGGAGCATGGGGGAATGAGGATCAAGCACATGGAAAGGATCATGAAGAGAAAAGAAGAAAAAGAGAAAGACTTAATCCTTTCATGAAAAATACTCAATACTTAACCATTTTTTATGTCATCATCCATAGCTTTTAGGTCTCCTTCACCTCTAAAGGCCCCAGAGTAGTCTGAACCTGGTAAGAAATTATGAACTTGTCACTTTCCCCTTTTTTCATTCTTAAGTAAAAGAGGTGCAATTAAGTCATGGGTGGCAAGTAGTCTCTGAAGAAAGAGAGAATTTTCCCCTCCACTTCTACTCATGATAAGTGGCCATTTTATACTCTAAAAAAAGGAACACCTGATCACAGGGAAACAAAAACTTAATATATTTACTGGTATTATCATCAAAATGAACAACTTACCAATGAATGGGGGAAGGTAACACATCAATGTGCTATTGATCCAGTTATCTGTCAAATCACTAGAAAAAATAACTAGATCAATGATGAATGGAAACAATTTTGAAGCAAATTAATCAAACTTATATAAGAATTAGTAAAGGAATCGTGTATCTTACGTAAATCTGCTACAAAGAACCACATCATCAGTGAAACCATTTTTCTTGAAGAAATCAACAGCATCATTGTCTGCATACACAGCAATACTGTCATAAGGACCAATGATGATAGGATCTTTTAGACTCTGGAATTGTAATAGACAAGGAAAAAAAATATGAAATATGTTGGAAAATATGTCACTTGTTCCAACTACATTCCTCTCCAAGACCTTGTCCATGTAGAGGATCAGACCACCCCTTATAGCATACTTCCTGTAGGACCGTCACAGTAACTATAACATTTGTAATTGCAGTCACTAAAATTGAGACTGCCACTCTCATGAACAACCACATCAAGAATTATATGGGCAACTGCTGTGCCACATGACAATTATCAGATCAATCCTTCCACTTCCAGGAGGGACCAAACAGTGCAGAGAAATAAGGGATTAACCCACAATATCCTGGTATCAAAATTATAGAGAACTCACTTCAAGGAGAAACCTTCCAATTCCTGATTTGCGACACCTTTTCCTGATTCCAAGTAAGTTCAGTTGCATAACTTTCTCTGATGGCTTATGACGCATTGTACTAACAAACAACAAGCATGTTACGGGTCTTTAATAATTTCATTATTTTTTAAAAAATTTTTCAACTTTTTGGAACTCAACTCAAACATGTTTGGATCAAATCCCTTACCTGTATGAACGTTCAAAGGTGGCAGCTCCAATGATCAAAGATTCTATTCCTAGATTGGACTCTGAAACTAAATCAGAATCATTTTCATTATACCTACATACATAAATGGTTTCATACTTAACAAGTATTATTTGCTATGTTACTTTCATATACGAATTCAAAGAAAATGGTTATCACCATTGTTATTTTGCCTCTCTATTCTCCTTTTTTTAACTGCCTCAACAAAATCCTCAGCTCCTTTTGAGAAGTCTTCTTCTTCATCTTCACTGTCAAATAAAAAATTTACCTTTTAGCCTTTAAGATTGACTGAATTCTGATTTCTCCTCACAGTATCATCCTTTAATCAAATGCAAAGGTCATGAGAATATAGGAAATGATCAACAATTTAAGAAGCTCCTGATCTTCAAACAGATTCTCCTTTTCAGTATGATATGAAATGTACTAATTTTAGTACGTAAATGATTAATGTAACATTGATTCCACTTTGCAACTCTCACAATTCAGAGAGGGACATTATCCAGTGCTTAGTGACATTCACATGGAGAATACCCTCTGCTAAATGTGTGCCCAAAAATAAATATTCATTTTTCCTTAATCTAAAGTATGGGAGATAAAATGTACCTAAATTTTTTCAGCTTTCTTTTCATTCTGATCCTTCACAGTAACACTGACTCAAACGCAGATACCTTATTTTGAATTTTCACATTCCAGGATGAAAAGAGACACATCAGAAAATGTACAGTTTCACTATATCTACCTTTCAGCAGTTGCATCACTGTCATCTGTGTCGCTAAACACACCATCAAACTTTCCTGGCTCAACATCCTTCTCCTTTTCCTTAGTTTCATTCTCTTTCCTCTCCTCTGCTTTATCGTTCTTCTCTGTTTCGTTACACTGATACTTCTTTTTCTCCTTACTGTCACATTTACAAATGTTTCTCTCCATGGAGCGCTCATCACAAACAGCATTTAAATCTTCTGCACTTTCATCATCCTCTTGTGAACTTTCATCAGCAGAGTCAGTAGGTTCATTTTTTACATCTGGTGCATCATTCCAAGAGACTTGTTTACTCAGTTTCTTTGTTTTTTTGTTGTTATTTCCAGTTTCTTGTTTAACAGCAGGTAAATTTTCTGATTTCATTTCTGTAGACTGTTCATCAAAAACATCTCTCCACAGTTCACTGCTAATAAATGGTTTTAAACTATCTTCAGTCAACTCTGGATCTTCGTCACTTTCTTGAGTAATGCCTTTCATCTCAAGCAAGAGATCTAATTTTTGAACAACAAGAGAATCAAACTAAATTAATTTTAATGTATGAAACACAGTCATTGTGAGTCAGACCAGTGGTTTCCTTTTTCCAACATAAATTTGATCAAGAAGAATAAAATTCCTTGTTTGCATTGCAAAGAATATCTGTAACAAAAAAAAAACTTTAAGGCTTGAAATAAAGAGAATTAAGGCTTTAGTATAAGGATCTCAAAGGGATAATTTTATCCAGAAATTTTCAAATAATAATTTACAGTGGTTCGTTTCAAGATCAATAAATTCAGTTAAATAATATATTACAGGATTTCAAGGGACTTTCTACGAATATTTTTCCGTCAAGTCCTTACAAAAAAACCATCCGATATTAAAGATCGTCCTCAATATCCCCTGAGTAATGCTGTAAATTTAACCAAACATCCCTAAAAAATTCGAAAAAAATAAATTACTAATCAGATGAAGTTTGCGGTAGAACAACAATATTTAATTTTGTATAAACAACCTTGAAAGTCTCTAAGTAAAACGATTGTTTTTGCCCATTTTCCGCAGACTGTTGGATACAGAACCTCAGGTGTAATCTCTGGAAGGCAGGTATCATACAATGCTACAACCGCATGGAGCAGATCTTGATTAGAGACCTAAAAAAAAAAGTAAGTGACATGTAAACATTGGCTGGAGTCCTTAGTAACGAGAACTAAGTTCATTTTCAAGAGAGAAATCACACAGTCAAACGCACTTACTCCTTCGATTGCAGTAATGCTTGATTCTAGCAACCTATTGAACTCTATTAAATATGGCTGGACCCGAACTTTCCTTTCCGATTTTGCAGAATAGAAACGAAACCTGGAAGGCATCTTCCAGCAAATCGAATTGACCGCCATCTTGATTTTTTACAAGTTATCCGCTGATTTAAATCATCGCAGTCGACGGTCTTTAGTGTTGATCATGCGCATTACAACTGATCTTTAGAGGTAAAATGGCTACTCGGGACTTCTTCGGAGTTTGTAATGATATTGATATTCGGTCGAAATTTAACCCGCTATCGTAGAGAATGCGGGTAGAGTTAGAAACTAATGTACGTGTAGAATCCATCTTTTAGCAGTCCGGCGCCTTATATTGAACTAAACCTGAAAATGGCAGACATTTTTCGCTCTGCATTGAACTACATAAGCCAAACTGGGAAGTCGGACAATAACTTCGTGGGGCAGTATGTCGAGTTAGGACCTGTACAACTCAGAGTACGACGAGTCATCGCAGAGGGTCAGTCACTGTCTTATCTTTATATTAGATTTGAAGCTGATTATCATTTGTTCCTCGCCGTGATTATTGTTACAGACTTTATGGTATTTTAACAATTGTGTTTTGGTTTTCTATTGTAGGAGGGTACGGATTTGTTTTCGTCGCCCAGGACACGTCAACTGGCAAAGAATATGCTCTCAAGGTACAACTGAATTTCACTATTTATTAAGTATACATCCTGTCTTTCTGTCTGTTATCAAAGAGGGAAGGTTGTCGCGATGACAGACAGAAAAATTAATAGTAACCGGTGTTCTAACGTAATAACATGACTACACTTGATTAATCATGCAAAAGGTAAGAAGATCATCGTCAATTTTTATCAAAATGGAAAATTTCGAGAGGTCGATGTGCTATTTTAGCTGTTTTTGTTGTTGATAGATAAAAAATCGAGATCAGACAAGGTCAAAAACTGTTTGTGAGCCACTTACAAACAAATGCTCCTTTGAGTGGGTGGGCATTCTTTATCGTGGTATTTTTCAAATATCATTTGTTTTCAGAGCAATGATTCTTTAACAACATTAGTTTGCATTTTATTAGAGTTTATTTGTATGTTAAAATGACCTTAGGTGAAAATTATTTTAAATTTATTAGATTGTTAAATGTTTTTACCTTTTTAAGGATTAAAGTAATCTTACTGGAACAATTTAAAAACAAAAAAACTATTCTTACAACATTTTGGGTTAAATGACTTTTATCAGTTGCTTGTGAAATTAATTTTTCTTTGTTTAAACTTTTCATCACAAATTGCTCTACAATGAGAAGTCCAAACATGAAGGAAATTAAATATTAATCAGGGATAAAATTGAATCACAACCAATTTTACCAAAGATACATCATTTTTTTCTAAACTGGATTCTTTATTTTTACCCATTATTCTTAAAATCTGCTGAAGGAGGTATGTAACAACAGATAATTTAGCTTGCTAGCTATTTGGGGTTTGTGATATCTAACATGTAACAGACTTGTAATAAGGTTTGGTCTTCAGAGTAACAAGTGTATCATGTTTCATTACCAGGAAACTTTGGTCTTTCTGTAGTTGCTTCACTATATAATATTAAAGTTAATGATTAAAAACAATATTTATTTTTTATCATGTTTACAATTTTGATTACTGTAAATATATAATAATGATAATGACAACATTAGTATGATTATATCTATGTCTATTGTTTTACTAGGTTGATAACAGTAGATAAAATACAGTTTAACTTTTTTGCTCTTCAGTCTAAATCAGTGACCTCCTGTGAATTAACATTTGGAATATGTTTCCTTTTTGTAGCGACTTATGGCAGGTGATGAAGCAGCCAATAAAGCCATCCTTAAGGAAATAACAATCCTTGTATCCTTTTTCTACAGTAGATGTTATTGGTTTACATTCTTCAGCGTAAGGAATTTTTTAGCAAAGGACATTAAGTTGATTCAAACTCAGTTGTTCCTGTGAAAACATATGAGGGTATGTTTCTGTTTTGATGGGTATGCATTCATCTGTGTACTTTGTTACAGCATAAGGAATCAACAATCTGTAAGCAAAGTATCTTATATGTATTAGCTCTGGTTTGTAACAAGCATGAAGTAGCCAGGAGTGTCTGTACAGGGAGTGCCATCTTAACTCCTTAACTATTTAAAGAAACGTCTCAGAGGACATCCAAACATAGTGCAGTTTTATTCTGCAGCATCTTTGAGTGAAAAGGAAACTGAACATGGAATGTCTGAATTTCTTATCCTAACTGAACTTTGCAGTGGTAAATATTATTTTTGCCTACTTCAGAATAATTAAGATTCCACTTTATTTTGAGTATTTACAATTGTTGATAGGATTCAAACAATATCTGCTTGTGTTAACCCTTTAATTCCCAAGATCAAGTTGTTAATTCTCCCCTCTAGCTACAACACATTTCTCTGTAAATATGTTACAAGAATTTGGTATTACAACTTCTATCTGATGGGTTTGAGTATTCTCATTACCTGTCTGCTGAATAGGGTACAGATATTATAGGGAGAAGTTACATGTTAATCACTGTTGGGGATTAAAGGGTTAAAAGGATTTTTCAAAAACTACTTCTCCTTTTCAACAGGAGGAGAGCTGGTTAAGCTGCTACAGGAAAGGTATGGACAGCCATATCCACCGAACCAGGTTTTGAAGATGTTCTATCAAATCTGCCGAGCAGTTGCTTACATGCACAAACAGACTCCACCAGTTATACACAGAGACTTGAAGGTGAGCATGGCATTTGGAAAGCAGGGATGGTACTGTAGTGAAAAAACTCACCTCCCACTGCTGGGCCCAGTTTTGATTTCCAGCGTGGTACTACAAGTGGGTTGAGTTTGTTTTTGGTTCTGATCTTTACATGGAGAGTTTTTCTTCAGGTCTTTTTGCTTTTCCTCCCTCACTAATGGCCAACACTCCAAATTCTAGATTAAATTTGAAAAACAGTGGAAAAAGAGCCAACCCATGGAGGTGCCTCTGCCTAATTCTAATTTATTTATTATTTACTGTATTTGATATTTGATAATTTTTACTTTGTTTGTGAACATTAAATCATTTGGCTCTTATTTTTCCTAAGTTAGATAATGCAATTCTTTGGATTAAAAAATTAACCTATGGGATTAGCTATTAATAGCCATACTGTGGATACTGATTCACATATATGGTGTTTATTAGTTTTCAAATCTATTTGGTTTCTATTTCCTTTGTTTAATGTTATGATGATAAATATAATTGTCATGTTAATCAAGAAGACCTAGCATTTCTGAATTTTGTTTGTTTGTTTTTTTCATTAATTTATATTTTATTATGATTTTCTGCATGCATGAAATTTTGTTCACTTTTAAATTGAGCCTTTGAGTTTTTTTAGGTTGAAAATCTTCTCATTGGTGCAAAAGGCCAAATCAAACTTTGTGATTTTGGTAGCTCAACTACTCAGCAACAAATACCTGATGAGTCTTGGACAGCACTCCAGCGTAGTCTTGTTGAAGATGAGGTAATTCAAATTTGCTAGTATTCAATTAAGAGTGAAGATTTGTGTTATGTTTAGTTGGATGATGATAGTGCCTGTTGATGTCAAGATCTTTGAAGCCCTTAGGAGAAATCAGAATAAAATTTAATCTTGTGATAACCTCCATTTTGCTTTTATACACTATTTATCAGCTCCAACGGAACACAACCCCCATGTACCGTGCACCAGAAATGATTGACTTGTACAGTAATATGCCAATCACTGAAAAAGTTGACATTTGGGTAAGTATCAAACTTCCACTTATATCATAGCAGAGCTTGCATAGCCCCATAATTATACAAAAAAATAGTAGCCCATCAAGCCGAAAAAGTTTGGATGTACAACCATACAAGGTGCTACTTTTAACATGCATGGTCAACTGTGCCATGGGCACACCAACGCCACAGCTTTGTCCAGTAGTCCAGTGGTCAGTGCACTATACTCCAAGTTGGACGACCCGAGTTCTAGTCCTGGCCGGGGCAAGGCGTTGTGCCCTTGAGACATGCGGGAAAAAAAAAAATGCGAGCTCCGCTTTTAGGCTTGGCTAAATCTATATATTAGTCTTTATATAAGATTACTCTAATGTTTAAGGGCGGTACCATTGGTTGCCATTTGGTATATGGCTAAATGATTGTGTTGTACATCTGGACTTAGCTATTTTAGGAATCAAACACATTTATGTAATATTGAATTGCAATTGTCAAATATTTTGGTAACTTCTCTATTGATTGTTTGTATATGATGTTTATGTTTTGTAGGCCCTTGGGTGTACTTTGTTCTTCTTGTGTTTTATGGAACACCCATTTGAAGACTCAGCCAAGCTGAGAATACTGAATGCAAAATACACCATCCCAGAGAATGACACTAAATACACAGTATTCCATGACCTTATCAGTGAGTGATATTTTACTGTTATGTTTAATTACTTCTAGGTGCATGTATGGATTTGATCATGAATAATTTAACTGTTTAACTTCCAAGATGTGATTGTTGATACCTTAGGGTTAACCTCCAAACTTCCTTTTCTAGAAGTACCTTTTTTTCTTAGTTTTTCTTTAACCTGTATATATAGTTTGCTTCTAGAATAAATAAAGTATGTATGTATGTACCATCCCCCTAGCTGCTACACATTTCCATATAAATTAGTTTTGAGAGTTTGGTGTTAGAGCCAGATAACAACTGCCACCTGATAAGTTTGAGTATTCCTATTACCTGTTTGCTGGATAATGTATGGATATTTCTAAATAGAGGTTACATGTTAATCACCTCTGGAAGTGTAAGGGTTAAAAAAATTGTCTGTTTACTGTATTGTTCTTCCAGAATTGAAACCACATATCAGTTACCATTTAATTTAGTAAAAGCTAGTAACAGAAAGATTATTTAATGTGTAGGATACATGCTTCAAGTGAACCCAGCTGACAGACCAGATATAAAGGAAGTTCTTACAGGTCTTGAAGCCATTGCAATAGCCATGGATGTTGATCTTAAGGGTAAAGTGGTAAGTACACAATTCTCTTTATTCCTCATGGACCAAAGTGACTTTCACTACAGCCCTCTAGCAGTTTCTCCTTTGTGTTGTCTTGTTAACCTGTTCCCATGACTTTTTTATAATAAGCTGAATGATTCATGCCTTTTTATTGTTTCCTACTTATGATCTGTTAGAAGACAGACCCATAGTTGACATCACCATTGACAACATTTTATTTTTTATCCTGTAAAGCAAAACAGATTCCATGTTGCCATGGGTCTGTATAGTAATAGATTACAGAAAAGCGTCAAAATGTGGTAAGAACATCGATGACACACTCAGCTGTACCTTGTGTGTAACTCTTTTGTTCTTACCACACTCTGATGTCATCTGTGATCTATCACTGTACCTTCACACAGCATCATGGAATCTATTTGGGAAATAGACCATACCCTAGAGATCATGTTTTTTTTTGTACCTCTTGTTGATTCTTGTTAATTTCTGTGCAATTTAAATTGATTATTTTAAATTGAATTTGGAAAAAGGTAGCTTCTGTTTTAAAATTTTTGCCTCTATTGCAATTTTAGAGAGATGATCTCCCACAGTCTTCTGGAGAACAATCATCTCAAGGTGAGCTTACACACCTGCTATGATTTCAACCTTGCATATCCACATAGGACACCTCTTCCAAGCAATAAAATGCTTCTTTCAATACCCTGTAGGATTGTTGTGATTCATGTAACCTGTATTGGTCATTAAATTTTGTTAAGGACATTTACTAAAGGTAGATCCACTCCCTTGTTGTAAAAATGTAAACCATTGAGTTACACCACTTTTTCGGAGGTTTCCAATACTTAAATGTAAGATTATTAAACGACCTTAACCCTTAAACTTCTAGAAGTGATTAATATATAACTTCTCTCAATGATATCCATACATCATACAGCAAATAGGTAACAAGAATACTCACACCTAAAATATACTAATATTCAAACCTATCAGGTAGAAGTTGTCATCTAGTTTTAACTTCAAATTTTCGTAATTACTTCAGAAGGAAATGTGTGGTAGCAAGAGGAGAGAATTATTGATCAGATCTTAGGAGATAAAGGGTTAAGTGCCAATTGTTTATTAGCAAACAAAGGTGTCTGTTGAATTGTGTGTTCATCGTAAATCTTCTGTCTGTTATAGTTGGTGCAAGTGGCCCACCTGTGTCACCATCTCCATCATCAGGAAATTCTGCAATACTTGGTGGAGTAGTCAAAGGGGCCAACAGTTTTTTCAGTAACATAAAGGATATGTCCAACAAGGTTATGCAATCTGTGGCAGGGTAAGAAATCATTTGATGTATGCTGCATTTAATCAAGTTGTTGCTCATTCATTGTTTCCCTGGTCACTTTAGTGCAATGAAAGGGTTAGCTTGGACTTTGGTAGATATTTATTTCCAATCATACTTAAAAGTTATAAATGTAAACTTCACTTGAAATGCTGTTGTTACTTTTAAACTCAAACTAATTCTCAAATCTTTGCCTCTCATTAGATATGTCAAGAATGATATTGACTTGTCGTACATTACATCTCGAATCATGGGTAGGTACATTCCAGAGAATCTCCATCCTGTCTCTAGAAAATTTTTTTCCTCAAAATTTGTTATAACATTTTGTGTTAGCTAATTTACTTTTCATTGTTTGTGTCTTTGCAGTAATGTCTTTCCCAGCAGATGGGATTGAGTCAACTTACAAAAACAATATAGATGATGTGAGAGATTTCCTTGATGCAAAATACCCAGATAATTACTTGATCATCAATGTATCACCCAGAACATACAGAACAGAGAAGCTTGGAGATAGGGTATGTTTGATTTGATTAAAAACTGTTGATTTGGTGGCTAAATTGAAGGGTCGTTGAAGTTGATACTGCTATATTTACATTCTTCTTAATCTTTTTTTTCTAGTTATATTGCAGAAAATGTATCCCACATATCTCTTTTTTATGTTACTACCCTTTGCAATCTATAATTACCACTACGTAAAGTTCTAAATTTGAATTATTTTTCACATGTACCTTGCTACTATTCATTTATCTTGGATAAATAAAATATCAGAATTGACTGATTTGCCTCTTGCTGCTTAGTTCAGTTGGTTGGGCATTGTAGTGGTGTGATGAAAGTCACATGTTAAAATCCCAAAGTTCAAATTGTTTTCAACTCCTGCCAACACACATTGTCTCTATAGCACTCCTATTGTCTCTATAGCACTCCTTAGGGGGCTTTCCAACATCTATTTTGTATAAGAAACTTTGCCATCTTTGGAATTGATAATTAATTTGAAATTAACAGCTACTTCTACAACTATTTTTTCTTACAGATTATGTAACCTTATTTCTAGAGTGTGATTTACTTAATTAAAAGGTTGTAGCATTGATGGCTATTTTAACTGTGATCACAGGTGATAAACTGCTGCTTAGTGGGTCACAGGCTGCCTCCTTTAGAGAAGCTGCTATCCTTGTGTAGGAAAATCAATTCTTGGTTAAGGACTGACAGGAAGCATGTTGTAGTCATTCACTGTCAGGTACACAATCTTGAAGATTTTTTGTTTAATTAACTATGGTTGAGAAGTAAGGTTTTTTTCAGAGTCTTAAACTACAGTGTTTGTACAGTGTTAGTGCAGCATATATGACTAATGTGATACTTTTGGTTTATCACTTAAGCTATTTTAAAGGTTATTATATGAATATGTGATTGTAGTAGGAGAGGAAGGAGTCCAATTTAATCAGTAATCATACAATTTGTTAATTACTAGTCTGAATACAGACAGATGTGGGAGACTTCAAGTTTTGTTACCAAGTAATCAAAACTATGACAAAATTTGAGAAAGGTTCCCACAACAGACAACTGTTTAAGTGGCAAAATGCACTACAACAGCAAACATTCATATTGTGTACTGTACAGTTACACAGGCATGGTGCATACACTGTCCAATTACAAGCATGATGCATACATTGTCCTTTTAGCCCTCAAATCAGATTGATGATAACCAATTACAGTTGAGAACTTTGATATTAACAGTTTTGATTAGTAATCATAGTAATGTTCTGAAGATTCAAATAGCTACAGTGACAGACTCTTTAAAACACCTCTTCATGCTTCAGCTTCATGTTGAGAGCCACCTATTCATTTTAATGATCTTCTTTTCATTTAAAATTTCTTTGGCAAGTGTTTGATGTATGTACTTCCCCAAGTGTGTGCTAAGTTACATAATGAATAATGTTAAACCCAATATTTACCTCTCATCATTCAGGATGGTAAAGAAGCATCAAGTGTTATTGTTGCTGCTTTTTTTGTCTTCTGTAAATTATTCAAAAATCCAAATGGAGCTGCAGACATGTTCAGTATTCGCCGCTGTGGTATTGGACACAAAGTTTCACTCACTGCTTCACAGGAGCGGTAGGTGTTAATTTCTGTAATCAAGAAACTGTGTACTTTTTTTTACCAGTACACATATGATTGACCTTAAATTACTGTATTTGTAGTGCATTAATAATTTTTTTTTTTCAACTCTTTAGCTATTTACTGTACATCACACAACTGATCAATAACCAAGAATTGAAACCTCACAAGTATTCAGTGTACATCAAGTCTGTAACAATGTATCCAGTTCCAGCCTTCAACAAAGCCAGGTAAAGACTTTCACACAAGCCAAGCTTAAGACTGATGCTGCCATTTTAAATATGTCTCTCATTCTTCTGACTCATCTTCTTTTACAGCAGTTCTGTTGCCCCTATAATTTTTTGAGTTTGGCTCATTGTGATTTTAGAACAGGAACCTAAAATGTTCTCATCCTTTGTTAGGAATGGTTGCCGTCCATTTATTGAGGTTTACAATGGAGAACAGAGAATCCTTACCACAGTAAAAGAGATTGAAAAAATGAGGTAGAGAGTTTGCAATTGAAAAATGTAATTTAGGGTTTGACATAAATTGAATACGGCTTACTAACCAAGTTGGAGGTCCATACTGTGAGATATAGACCATGTAGAAAAAAGTAGATTCTGTAACTTACAGTACAGACTAGGAAAATAGGTTGATAAATATTTATTACATCTCTAGTCTCAAATTGAGGGGCAAAATTTCAATTCAAACAAGCCATTGAATGTAGCAGGCTGTACAGTGAAATATGGCTAGATTAATTCACCAATCAATAGCACACATGCTACATTTGTAACAGAGAGATATTTTAGAAGAATTAATTTCCAAGTTCAAATCATTTATACTTTTTTTTTTTTTTTAATTCAGGGAGTATGATCTAGGGGATGGAAAAGTATCATTTCCCGTGAACCTCACTTTACAAGGTGATGTAACAGTTGTAGTATACCATGGCCGATCTACACTTGGAGGAAAGGTTCAAGGAAAAATGACTTCCATGAGAGTCTTTATGCTTCAATTCCACACTGGATTTATCAAGACTTCTGCACATAAACTTAAGTACTCACGGTATGCATACAGTAAATAACTTTCCACCCTTTTTTTTTTCTTTTATGTGATGTTTTCTTGTTTTCTAATTATTTTGGTAATTTAACCCTTCACTGGCTGATATCAGTATACATATCCTCCATGCTCTTCTCTGTACATTTCCTTCGGTACTGACAAGGAGAATTTGTTTTACAATCAGTGCTTCATAGGTTGGCAATCATTTCATGTATTTTTGTGATGTTTATGAATGATTGAACTGTAGTAGTACTGTAAGAGGAAATTAGCTGCTGGTTGCTTTTAGGGCCTAACAGGTTTATGGACCAGCTTGATAACAATATTTCTCTTTTTTATCAACTTACACAGAGATGAGGTGGACATCAACAAGGATGATGAAAGCAAGTTTACTTCACGTTTTACTGTTACACTTGACATCACTGTTGATGCAGAGGAAGCAAGCAGTTTGCCAACTCACACATGGGACACACTCAAAACTGAGAAACTCTTCCCTCAAGTTTGTTTCTCTACAAAGGAAGAATATCTAGAATGTCAGGAAGAATTTGGTTAGTAGCAACCCCGACCTTATCCTGTTTTGGCAATCCCCAGCTATCTTGAAACTTCTTTGTCCCTTCCTCTCTCATTGAATTTCATGGCAAAGTCTTACAACAATGCAAAGCTCAGTTGAAAGCAAAGAGCAACAATAATGTGGGGCAGACTAGCAGTTGTATAATATTTCCACAGTCCTTTACAAGGATGAGACTTTCTCTGTCAGTGTCATTCTCAATAATAGGTGAATACCTTTTTCTAACCATTCCTTATAGCTTATTATTACCTGGTTTGCTTGTTCACAGTAAACGCAGATGATCGCGAATCAAACATGGTTTTCAGTTCAAAATCAAATGAAATAGAAGAGGATGATGACAATGAGGAACTCCAAGTTCCTTCTGATGATGGTAATGATGGTGCAACAGGCAGTAAGCCAAACAAAAACTTCCTTTCATCGATTGACTGGAATACTAAAGGTGCAGGAACCAACAGCAGTGATGATGAGTTTGAAAATCTGCGTGACAAGGATCACGACAATACTTCTCAACAAGCACACAAGACTCATAATTTCTTCTCTGAAAGGGAAGGTGTTGGAAATGACTTGGATGAAAATTTAGACTTGTTTAATTTGAAATCACCATCAGGTGATGAATTCAATACCAACTTGCTTAATTTCAAGACTGCAGGTGAAACAAATGGTCATCTGTTTAATTTGGATGACGATGATTCAGATTCTGATGATCCTTCTTACCAGGTAGATTTGCTGAATTTAGGCAGTGGTCAACAGAATCAGGGAGTTTCTTCAAAGCCAACATCTAACATCTCAGTCGTGGATGACATGGGAGTTGATCTGTTGAATTTATCACCAGCAGGAAGTAAGGATAGTCAAAATGTGGATCTTGTCAGTGGAACAGAGAAGAGCCCTCATCGAAAAATGAAACGAAATAAAAGTGCTGATGATGTTCTTAGTCCTGGACTGCACGAGGATGATGACTTCTTCAATCAGATGGGTAGTCGTAGCTCCAGCTCCAGCAGGGAAAATGTAACTTCATTCACTGTTGCTGGTGCAGATTCTGCCACATTTGATCCCTTTCAGACTACAAGGACTAAATCTCCTGATCTGTCCTCAGGGGGTAATGGGAGGGAGCCAGCATCCTCAGACCTATTTGATCCATTCAGCTCTAAAAGTCCAAGTTCAAAGCCTTCTGATGAGTTTGATCTTTTTGGTGCCAAGCCAGGTCAGGGCAGCAGCAGTACAGAAACATTTCCACCCTTAAGCACAAATAATGGTGGATCAAACCTGAATTCATTTGATCCATTTGGAAAGACCTCCACAGAGCAAGACCTCTTTGGAATTGGTGGTTCTCAGGCTCCCACAACCACAGCTCAGGCTCAAACACAGAGCAATACTGATCTGTTTGGAGACTGGGGTGACTCATCATCAGAAACTCTTCAACCATCTAAAGTTCCATCACCAATTCCTCAAAGAGCACCAACCAGCCCAGCACCACAGAACAAACCTACAGCAACACCAAATGATCCTTTCTCTGACTTTGGAAATTTGACATCAAATTTACCAAAGTTTCCCTCTGTTCCAACATTTAAAGCAGGTACATCAACTTCACCCAAACCACAAAAGAAACCCGAGTCCTCCACTAGTGGCAATCCCTCTTGGTCTCGTCCAGCCCAGCAACCATCTTGGCATTCTGGGGCTAAACCAAGTGGCCCATCAAAGGTTCCACAAAAACCAAACTATGCACCCTCCTACAGTATGTCTGGTTCTTCTGGGGTATTTGGAAACTATGGACAAAAATGGAGTGGTAAGAATGTATTTTTTCTATTAAATTACTCTAGTTTAATCTCTATAATTATGAGTGTAGACCCTTGTAAATCTTTTCTCTATCATTTTAGAGGACACACCTCAACTCTGATTGAAGGAGTAGTATGAAATGGAACCAATTTGATACCAATGATGTATGAGAGTATAAGGGTGAAATAAACTTCACCCTTTCAGCCCTAGTAGTGACCAAACAATCCTGACTCCTTGTTGTGTTGTTAAATTTGTTTCAAAGCATTCTTTAATGATTTCTTTTTCAGCACCCAAACCAGTTGGCCAAAATGAGTTTAGTGACATTCTAAATGCACAAGGTTTTAATCGCCCAACTGCACAAGGAGCACAAGGGGCACAAACTCTAAGCTCTCTTAAAAAGGAACAAAACAAACCTGATGACCCTATCAAGGCTAAGGTACTGTACTATTAAGAACATAAATCATTAATTAATTTATCAATTTTATGACCACTGGTCATCTTTGCAACCATTCTTTACCTTGATGGTTGTTCACCAGACTGACTTGACATGCAGCATCCACTTAGAAAAATTTTTTTTTTTTTTTTTTTTTTTTCAAGGTTGAGGAGTGGTCTGAAGGTAAAAGAGGCAATATTCGGGCCTTATTATGCTCACTCCACCTTATACTGTGGGAAGGAGAAGACAGATGGAAACCATGTGGCATGCACAATCTTGTTCAACCTGAACAGGTAATATATAATCACCACAAATAGTTTATTATGATTATGCTATGAATACAAGCATCACTCTCAGATTTACTAGACTTGGGATTTATTTATTGAAATTTGTGTTTAGTAATTTAATGAGCTTTATGTTCTAACTCATTGGTTGGTCTTGTAATAAAAACTACAGAGAAATTGAAACCTTTTCTCCCAAGATATTATTGGTAATTCTCCTTACTGTCTACTATTTAATCGTTGTGATGTAAATTCTGAGGATTTGGTATTGGATCATTTAATAATCCCATAATTGATATTTTTGTTTATTCTCATCCCTTTTCTGCTTGCTATTATAATAAAAATTGTAATTAGAAATTCCATCTTGGTCAGTCATGGGAGTTAAAGTGTTGAAGTGTTTCTCCGTGATGAGTCTTCAGAATGTTCTTATTTTAAATGCATTGACAAACAGATCAATTCTTTATTGTAGGTGAAAAAATGGTATAGAAAAGCTGTACTATCAGTACATCCTGACAAGGTGGGTACATCTTTCCTTGAAAAATCCATAAATTCTCCAAAATTAATTTCTTTACATTTCAGTCTACAGTCATTCAGAGAATTTGTGGTATCATCACAACATAGTTTTGAAAACATAAATTCTTGTTTGTTTGTTTGAAATGAATTACCTGAATATGTTGGCAGGAAACTAACAAGGTTAACTGCTGTTATGGAAGTCAATTTGTCAAAGGTTATTTTACCAGCAGATCAAATTATGATTTATTTTATGTGAACTGTTAACTGTGTCACCTTTACATATACTAATGTACTATTAATGTGATCAGATGCCTGGCTTTCTATCCCAGTTAGTATGTGGGAGGCACTGTCCAATTTAAATTAAAGCCTTAATTTTTCCAGACTTCTTGACCCTAATTAAATAGTAGTTAACCTTTAAAATTTGCTAGTCTCCTATATACTGGTCAAGTCAGATTTATGTGATATGTACAGGACAGAAATCTGTTCATCAACACTGATTCCTTATTTTACTTTTTAGCTGACTGGCAGCCCAGAAGAGCCACTAGCACGTGCAATTTTTATGGAATTAAATGATGCATGGGCAATATTTGAAAAGGAGGGATCAAAACCATTATTTTAAAGGGAAATGTTAAAACACATGTTGTATTAGTCAAGTGGCAAGAGTCTTAAAATCAATAGAAAGAGACACAGCTGAACCAGTCTCTGCTGGTGGGGTCATAGATAATTAAGAGATACAGTTAGTATCATTTGTAAATGTGCTATGATTTGTCAATTTAGTGGGTAGACATTTTACTGTACAGTCTGACAAATTCAAGAGTTGGTTTGAACTGAAATCTTCCCTCATCTGTTTGAACTCCTAGAAAAAAAATCTTGCTTATCTTGTTTTCTCTGACTGTACTTAAATTTACATAACTACAATAGGACCTCAAACTCATTTAGTAAGAAGTATGTATATTAAACGGCTAAGAATATATGGAAGTCATATATTTGACCTTAAAGACATGGATGAAAGTGATCCTCGCAGTAATGTACACTACTTGAGCAGTAGTGAAAATAAGGCCTGAAAAAAAATTCAGGCCTGTACTGCACTGGTATCACAGAAGTCATGGGTTCATATCCCGTACAGGCCTGAATTTCTTTCAGCCCTTATTTTCACTACCACTCAAGTAGTGTACATTACTGCAAGGATCACTTTTATTCAAGTATGTATATTGTTGGGAAAACACACGCTTATTTGTAGATGCTACAAGTTGATGTACATGTTTATACATTATTTCTTGAGAGAACTACTGAGAATCACAAATCGTTTATCACAATCTTACTTCATATCAAATTCTTCCCCTCCCCTCCCTCCCTATCCCTGATATCCTTTGGACAAAAAGTATCAATGTTATTGTCAAAGATAATGCCAATAATGACTTTAATTTAGAACAACTACCTTGATTCATGTTGTTTTTTCTTTAAGGTATTAAGTTATCTTTCCCAGTGAGGGGTGTAAGGAGTATTATTTTTCATGAAAAAAAGGAAGCAGAACAATTCTGGTATTTGTGGTCAAATAATATAGAGTTGACTGAGGGGTATTATTTTTAATTATTACAAGATAAGAAAGAATCAAAACTTCTTAGGATGCAAATTTGTTTCATCCAAGAGACTCACATAGAAGTAGTGATGTGTGAAATAATGTCTAGTGGATATTAATCTTTTAAAAAAAAAGTCCTTGCCATCAATAGTAACTAATGAGGAATTAAAAATTACTTGCAGTAGCTTGGTGAACATGTCATAACTCACTGTTTTTAAGAATAGCTCATCTACTCCAGACATCTTGTTTCGAGGGGATAACCTGGTCAAAATGATTGATGAGAGTTGTGTCTCATTCAAAGTCGACAGTGTGGAAAAACTTTGTTTTTAGATTGTCACTTGCTATGGTGCATTGGTCAATTTTTAATGAAGGGTGGGTACAAGCCACTAAATTAGATGAAGCTTCCCAGTAATAGTGTGTGCTGGATGTATTAGCCCTCAGTTCATGGGAATTACCTAGTAATAGTTATCAAAACAAAGTTTATGCTAAGGGTAGTGCTAAGGTAGTAGCTGGTTCTGCTACATTTTGAGTTTGCTATATATGAGTCTGCTACATCAGTAAACCTAGTAAACCAGTGTTAATCAAATGTAAGTTGTCAAACTAGTTGGTATAATTGAAAAATTTGGGAAATGGTCTGGCATTTATTACACAAAGGGCTTTCCCTTGATAAAGTTTTTAATGCATCTGTTGCCTTCACTGAAGGTACACTTTTTAAGAAGTGATCAAGAGACACTGTTCTTGACAAGCCTCAATATAGGTTACTGCTGACAAAGATTTATCGCAACAAACTCAACTCAATATATAGTCAGTTATGATTATTACTTTGTCTTTTATTTTCATTCTTTCCTACGAAGCTTTCTACAAGATTAGACAAGTTACTTTGATTTATGAAACTATTACAAAACTGAATCTTTTGCAATTATAACACAAATTGCTTACCTACATACCAACAGTTCAAGTTAAGTATTCTTAAATTTTACCTCCATTTTGTGAATAACCTCAGATCTTTCCATTTCCACATGGTTCACCTATCTAGAACTAGTATAAGGATTTCACTTCAAAAAGTGTTCTATTGCTTAAGCAGAAACCCTTGCATAATTCTTCAGTTCCACTTCCACATAATGTTGGTGGAAAACTGAATTTGTCTCCAATCATTGTGGCTTAAGAGAACCTGTTTCTAACTGACAAGTTCAACAATCTTGGTATGCAATCTTTTGGAAGCCTCCTTCTAGCTGAGTAAATAACATAATTTATTTCTTTTAATAATCCTTTCACCTCCAAGATTTCTATATGCCACACTGTTTGCACTGTTTTCAGTTGTTGAATCAACTATTATAAAATAATTCAAATAGTACGTGTGCTCTGATTGGCCATAAAACCATTTTACATGAACGTATGTAAACACGGTTTTCATACTGAATCTTCTCGCGGAGTTCTCCCTGCTATTTATTTCGCAGTAACTCAGTTTCTTTAAGTTTGTTTTGAGTACAGTAATGGAAGAAGATTTTCCTAATTTTTCTTTGGAGTTTAATTTTCCCAGTATTCAAGAAACGGCCGAAAAGCCAAATGAACAACAACAACGAGCACGTCGCTTTCCTTCGTTGCAAGAAGAGGCTCTTTCATTAGTTATTTTATAAAAGAAATGTAAAATGGTTTCCGTGTTTACATCAGGCTATGTAAACACGGAAACCATTTTACATTTCTTCAATATTGCTTAGTGGATGTTTTCTTGTCACAATTCTCCCTTATAATGCACTGATATGGTGGGAAGAAATTACATACTGGTCACCATGGTAGTGAAAGGGTTAAATTTGGTGACGATTGTGTGAACTTCAAATGAATTTCTTTTGTTCATTCCTTATCAATTTGATCTTTTCGTTTGATTTGCAAAAGATGGACTCATAAACTCAAGTTCTGGAGCTCTAGTTGTCCCCTAATAACTTCACATTCTGCTTCATCTGCATGCAATACTGGCTTGGATCTTTATTTCTGACAGAGATATTTCACTTATGTCACTTGATACACTGTGTGGATGGTTGTGCATGCACTGGAGTTGTGACCACATCTGGGTCAGTTAACTTCAAATTTCATTGTGTGTCCTTTGAAGTTTAGTCCACTTCTACGTCAGTTATTTTCACTGCCTATCACACATCGACATGAAAGCATTCTCTCTCAAATTTTTCAAGAGGTTCTCGAGGTCCATTTGTGTCCCATCTGAGTGCACATAGTTGAGTATATATTGTACTAAAACGTGGTCTACTTGGAGGCAATATATCCCAGCATTCTTTCATTAAAAAAAAGATTCTGGCAGGACAGTCTGCAGGGCATGGTAACAACACATGTTCTCTAATATGGTCCATGACCTCTTCATCTGAGCATCCTTCATGAGGCCTGGAACCAAAAGAAAATATCTCCCAGAGGACCACACCAAAGGACCATATATCTGTCTCTACAGTGAACCTGTAATTCAATACCCCTTCTGGAGCCATCCAGCGTATGGGCATAGGAGGTCTATTTGGAACACGACAATAGTCATCGGAAAAAGGGTTCCGCGATAAAGCCATGTCTGTAATTTTGACAGTCATACGAGGCCCCACCATACAGTTGCGAGCTGCTAAATCTCCATGGATGTAATTATGTTGGGATACGTAATTCATTCCAGCAGCAATTTGAATAGCAATCTGCAGTTGATCATAATAATTAAGAGGTTCAGGATCTTCGTCATCATCCACAGCTCCCTCTAGAGGCGAGTTCTCCACCAGGTAGTCATGTAATGTGCCATACTCTACGCACTCATACAGTATACATGTGGGAGGCCCATTGTAACACATTCCCACAATGCTGATAACATTTGGATGACTAAATTTTGACCAAGTCTCTGCTTGGCGCAAGAAGGTTTCCCGGTTCCTTGCAGATGAGCTGTTTCGGAGTACTTTTGCTAAGATAGCTCTTGTCTGGATTCCTTCAACCTTCTCCAAAACTTCACCTTTGTACAGTTTGCCAAATTCTCCTTCACCTACATCTTTTATGAATCTTACAGTCTCTCTACGCATCTCTTTGATCTGAAACAAAAAATGGAGAAAAAAAAACCAAGTTTGCTATTTTCTTACTAATATATCAAACTCTTGATCTTGAGCATCTTGGAGACTTTTTTGAAGTGATTTTAGTGACACACAATTCCTTATTTTCACATTTCATTTGTGGAACAAGGAGACCTGATTTGCTATGACAGTCATTCATTGCATCAAAAATTGTTATCCCCTCACCACAATTTGCACAGAACATACCTTTGGATATGATGATTTGCCCACAACAGGTACAAGTGGAGTGGCAGCTGTCTGAGCAGCTTGGTAGATGATCTGCTTATGATATCTCCAGCAAATGAAGATCACCACTAACGAAAAGATGATGGCAAACAACAGACATGGAATAACAGTGTACAAGATGCTTACAATCTGTATAGATGGTGGAGTAGTGGATGTTTTATCTGAAAGAACAAGTTAATCATTATGAGGACTTAGAAGTTCATGTATTTCACACCACTTCATCTTGCACTTAGTAGAAGAAAAAATTAGTAGAAACAACCTCCCTTAACCCTTTCACTACCATGAGTGACCAAGACAGAATTTCTCCTTACAATATCAAGCAATAACAACCAGATAAGTGATGAGAAAAAAGAAAAATATCAATTTGGGGATAATTAGTTGATCCAGTACTAAATTCTCTAAACTAACATTATAAGAATTGTATGGTTGACAGTAAGGAGAATTATAAATTTGATCTGGGAGTTACAGGGTTAACTCTTTCACTCCCAAAAGTGACCAGGAAAGAATTCCTCCCAACATTATCAATACAATATCAAGTGGAAGTGTGATGAGAATAATGAAAATTACCATTTACAGGATTAGTTGATCCAATATCAAACTCTCCAAAATAACAACATAATAACTATATGCTGACAGTAAGGATAATTACTAATGAGATCTTGAGAGTGAAAGGGTTAACCCTTTACACCTCTACATCAGTATCCATACTCTCTGTACTCTTCTTCATACATTCTGTTTGGTACTGACAAGCTCATATTGTTATTGTTATTATTGCATATGACACATCTCGGCCCATCTCCCGTCTGTTTATCAGGAGTCCACCACACTATTAACAAGAACACACCTCCACTATACCACTTTTAACCCGTTTACTCCCCAAAGTGATTGATATGTATTTTCTCCCTACAATATCCATCCATTATCCAGCAAATAAGTTATGAGAATATTGAAACTTATAAGGTTGAAGTTATCTTTATCTAGCACCGAGCTCTCAGTACTAATTTTCAAGGAAATGTGTATGAGCTAGTGGAGAAAATTAACAATCAGATCTTGGGAGGTAAGGATTATTTAACATCCATTCAAGATTAAAAAAAAAACAAAAACAAAAACAAAAAAAATACAAGCTTACCACAACTTGGAATATCACAGTAATCAAACTTAAAGTCGACATCAGTAGTAAAACACCATGGTTTCTCCTTTTTCCCTCCAGGATTTCGACAAAAGTTGTGTCCTCCTGCAAGCTCAGGGTATTCTGTTGGCGACAAAATGTGATGATGAGGTTTGGTAGCATTCCAGTGCTGACATTTCAGGCCTTTTTCTGTAACACTAACATTTGCACGGAAATCTTCTCCTCTGTCTTTATAGCATGCATTCATTGGTGTAGCTGAAACCAAGACCAAACAAATATTAAAACTACTGAGATTTCATTTAATTAAAACACTACTCTCCTATGGTATCATGTTTTACTACAAGCTTTGTAATGCTGAGCTCAGTGTGGTTGTGTTTCCTTACTTTATTCATTACATCTTGACCCTTTAACTCCCATTAGTGACCAAGACAGAATTTCTCCTTACAATATCAATACAATATCAACCAGATAAGGGTTGAGAATAAAGAAAAAGATCAATTTGGGGATAATTAGTTGATCATCAAATTATAAGATTGTATAGTTGACAGAAAGGAGAATCCCAAATTTGATCCAGGACTTAAAGGGTTAAGGAATGAAACAAAAGCCAATTGAGCAAGTCTTACTACAGCAAGAAATATCTTACTGTGGTAAGAAAAACAGTAGATAAAACAGGAGAGAATTGTCTTTTTTATAGGCCATTTAAGCAATTAACAATGCTGACTTTCACGAAATGTTATTTCCTAGTTGATCAAAACAGCAGTCCACAGGTGAATTCGTGTAGTGTATGCACCTACACAAACAAAATTTCTTCAGTAAACACTTAATTCATAAATTTTGATTTATTTCATTTTCACCTGTGTACTTCTTTTCATGTGAATGTCCAACCTAAAAATCTCATGTAATAGTGACTTTGTGCAAAACTTATTGTAAACACAAACAATTAGATAAAGCTTTAGTACCTGTTTGAAAAGTTATCATAACATGTACTCTTTCCTTAGTAGTTTTCAGCTATAATTATCATGATTTTGTTGTTCAAGTTCCTTAATTGAGTTAAACCACAAGATTTACTCCCAAAGGTTAATATAATTACAGTATGAAGGAAGAGGAAGAAATAACAATCTCTGACACTAACCATTCTTTCCTACTACTGGCTTTGTATTTCTCTGAGTATTGCCCTTCAATTTAGATATACAGTTCTTTCCCTGCTTTGAATCTTTACGAGGCAATGTTGAACATTCTGGAAGAAGGACTCCCTGTAGTGATGCTTTTCTAGCCTCCAGGTACTCATTTTTACAAATATCAGTGCGCAAAAATTCACATTTTTCATAACAAATATGACGAGGAGTTGGAACAGAAGAGGTCTTGTCACAGCTGGGAAAATTGAAATGGCACAGTAAAGGTTGTACAAATGGCCTACACTGCTTGCTGATCTTTTTATAATCTTGTATTCTGCTGTAAGCAATGCTGATTTTTTTCTCAATGTTTTCTAGTTTTTCATAACTTCTGACAAAGATGGGCTGTCCTTTCAATAGTTTTTCACAAATTGTGCCATTGTAGATGACGCAGGAACCATTTTCTGAAAGAGATGGAGGTGTAGGTATATCCCTAGGGGTGAAACAAAAAAAATTGTTTGAAAGAGTAAAACACAACTTGTAAAAGAGAAGTCTGTGCCTTTGAATTTATGGTGCACAATTTCACCAACTGAGATGCTAACAATTGAAAGTAAATCTCTGATAACTCTACTAGTTGCATCTGAATTCTTTCTATCAAGAAGTTGACTTCAAAGGAAATTCCTCTTACAAATCAAACATGCAAATGCTCTAAAAGGGTAAAAACTATATCCCAGATCTTGGTAGTGAAATGGTTAACATCCACTTACTCATCACCAAATGTTGGCTTGTCCTGTCCCTCGTCTCGTGTGCTGTATCCAGGATTAGCTTGCTGTGAGAGTTCGGTAGCTAAAACAGAACATTTGACTGAGAATAAGTGGAAAACATACAGTACAACACAAGGCACTGCTCAAATTACAGGATTGCCAAAATTAATGCTTTTAACCCTTTAAACCCTGAGAGTGACTAGCATCAAATTTCTTCCTACATTATCATCCCTGAATCACACATTAAGGTTATGAGAATAAAGGAAATGATCACCAGTGAAATAAGCTTTTGATTGGTCAACAAATTCTCCTTATCAGCACCTTAGGAAATGTATAAAGAGTAGTATGGAGAATATGCATACTGATTTAAGGTGTAAAGGGTTAATGAATTCTCACCACCAGGGGTTTAACCTGTTACATCCTAACATCAGTATCTTTATTCCCTATTCTCTTTTCCAAATATCATCTTTGGCACAATAATAATCAAAGCTGCTTAGGTTGGTAATCGTCTCTTTTATTCTCATGAATTCAATTAATGATTCAGCAGCATTACTGTCAGGAGAAAGTAGATGCTGGTCACTCTGAGGGTTTAAAGGTTAATAATTACCAATTGCCTGCAACTGGTTCTACAACCCCTTGCCTCATCTTTGTAAGGTTTGAAAGGCAAATTTTTTGGAAACAGTCACCCATTTCACCATTGGTAGCCACTTGTGGAAAGAGCTGTTGAAACCCCCTTGCAAACTTGTGGACTGACATCTTATGACAAGTGTTGATTTTGAATCAAAATGGTAACCCCCTCCTCCCTCCTCTCTTGAGTGCCTCTCAGCAATTAGGAATGTTAGGAATAACAACCTTAACAGTATGTTTGGATATGAATGTGGTAATTAAATTTTACTCACTCTGTGGAAGAATATGGATTTTGTGTAACAATATTACTTTTAAAGCAATTGTGTACATGTACCTTGAGTATTAGAAGCAAGAGGAGCAGAAGATGAAGGTGTGTTCTCTAAAAGTGAAAGATGAAATTCTGTCAAAAACATAACCTCACAAATACACTGTACAAGAACACTTAATATGTAAAGTATTAATGAAACAGCTACATATGTCATGATTTCAATTTTTTAAATTTTTTTTTCCAGAACTGAAAAGTTACTAATTGTGACAAATGTAATTAACAAAATTAAGTAACATTTAATATTTCCAAATAATTACTCTCCAATACATTTAAAATCTCAAGAATAAGAATGAGTCTTGCACACAATTTTGGGGAGGGCAGATTAGAGGGGTACCAATATCACTTAGGGGTGTGTAAAATCTATCAAAGGTACACAGTAACTAACTTAAGTGCCTTGGACTTGCAGCCATGCAAGACTAAAAGGTTCCATACTTTTTCCAATAGTTCTACCAACTGCATGAATTCTGTGTTCCTCTTGGTTCTGACCATTTTTCAATCAACTTCATTATCCTCTCAGCCCACCATAAAAATTCTCAAACTTAAAGAAAACATTCTCCACCATTTCACTCCCAGGGGTGACCAAAACATAAATTATCTATACAGTATCAATACAATATCAAGCAGCCAAGTGACAAGGAAAGCAAAAAATTTTTATCTATGGAATTATCATTTGATCCAACACCAAATTCTTAGAACAAACTTAATAACAAATGTATGGCAGACAGTGAGGAGAATTTTCTTTGAGATATTGTGAGTGAAAGGGTTAAGAGAGTTAACGGTTAAAAAAACTTTCTTCAACCACTCACCAAGGGTTGGTTTGTGTGGAGTCGACTTTGGGTTCACACTATTCACGGTGAGATATGCTTGTGTCTGTGCTCTCCCAAATGAGTTGTTTGCCACACAGATGTACCAACCAGCATCACTTAACTCCACCATACGAATCTTTAGCCTAAAGCTTCCATTTCTGTAATCAGTAACAAATAGATTTACTGGTTAAAGGTTTAAGCCTGTCAAAATGACCAACATAATACCTACACCATTTAGCTCTGGGAAGAACCCTAAGAGAGCTCTTGTTTTCCCTTAATAAGATACTACTCTATCACAGATAACCCCAGCCATCTTGAACAATTTTCTTTTATTTACATCTAATACTCATGGATTGGAAGAAAAACTATGAGAAAAACACTGACTTAAATAAGGCAAATTCAACTAGAGAATGATCTCATTGTCTGAACCTACATGTAACATGTTTACCATTTTGCAAAAGTGTTGAAACCATCACTTTACAAGAAGAAACATTTACAAATATTAATTTAACAATATACTGTTAAATATAAAAAAATAAATATAACAGCTAACTATGACTATAACATGGCATAATTCATAAAAGCAGGTTTTAACCCAGTATTACTTTCTTCATCCTGTAGATGGGTCCGATTACATGGGTGATAATATCAGAAAGAGAGAACAATTTGTGATAGATGTATTTACCTTTCAATGATGGAAAATGGGCCGCTTTTGTTTCTTATTGCTTTGCCATTCCTGTACCATGTCACCTCTGGCTTAGGATTGCCACTTGCATAGCATTTAAGCAACACCTTTTTTCCTTTAACTACTGTTCTATTCTGCAGGGGCTTGTCAAATTCTGGTGCTATGGAGGGAAAAAAAAACTGGTGAATAATGTTGTCTTCACAGTCATAGACCTAAAAAACAAGTAGAGCTAACCCTTTCACTTTCAGAAGTGATCAACATGTTACCTCTCCCTACAGTTATAATAAACTTCTCATCAAACAGGTTTAAAGAAAAGGAAACTGCTCAGTTGAAAGCTGTTCCATGATACAGCACCAAATTCTCTAATAGCAATTTATAGGGAAATGTATTATACTTAGAAGGGAGTTGATAACCAGATCTTGAGACCTTGGGGGTTTAAGATCCTAACAAGAATACTCTATTAATTTTGTATTGTAACTTGATGATTATCTAACACAAACAATAACAGTGGTACATCAAGAAACTAAAAAGATTTCCAGAAGCTTAAAATTTAATTTGAAGTCTTTAAGACTATTCAATTGAAAAGGTGCCTTTAATTCAACTCTTTCTATCTAAACATCAGTATGCATATTCTGAGCACTGCTCTCTGTATATTTCTTGTGGAACTAACATGGAGAATTTGTTAACAATCAAGTCAAAGCTTTTTTAGATATTAATCATTTTCTTTATTCTTGTGACCTTAGTATGTTTGATTACGTTTGATTTAGGAATGGTGCTGCATGTAGAAATTAAATCCTGGTCACTTTTACGGGTCAAGGGGTCAAATTCTGGGCCACTCCCCAATTCCTTCTCCATCATCTATTACCTTTGGGGCTACAGGGTGGCTGGTAACTGTATAGCATTATATTATTGATGTTGCTCAAGAACATTAAAAAAAGATCATAATCAAAATGTTAGGTCAGGTGCCATATACACCTCCTTCAGAGGGTTTCTTCCACAACTTAACTTTGCTTCTCCCAAATTTCATTTTAGCTTTACATGCTGTTTCAGGGCTCTTTTTAAAATATATTTTTTTCAGTTCCCAGGAATTGCTATCAAATCTATCCCTGGTGGTATTCAAATATTTCTGAGAGCCAGAAAATAAATTTAGTAACTAGATGAAACTGGAGAATTCAATCTCCATCTCTGCATAAGTCAAATCAATTTTCATGACCTCCTTCTCACCCCATACCTTTACAGTCTGAGCATAATCTTGTGTCATTTGACAAATGTGAGCTGCAAGAGACAGACAGATGTTAAAAAAATGTATACATTTATTTTAAAATGTTAATAATAACTTGTAATCACCTTACACAAACTATATTTGACTTGATTTTCTCGACAGTTTTGATGTCAATATCTTGACCACACTAAGACTTAACTTAGGTTTAACATATTAATGATGCACATGAGATAACATACAAAAACATGTTTAGAAGTTAGAATTTTGTGTCCATCTAAACAGTGTTAAGTCTGAGCTATTTATGGTAAGGAGATTTCATCTAATGTGGCTAAATTTTTTAAATAATCTTGAAAGACAAACTCAAAGCAACTCTTAATGGTGCTTAGATGTTCCAAATGGAGCTCCCTGCTGATCACTGAATTAATTGATGTCATGATGTCACGGAATTTTCAGTCTAAGCTCTGTTGTGTTTCAATTAACGGAAAAAGACGACCTGCTCAAGTTGACCACAGAACTTGCGCAAATCCACGTCGATCAATAGATTTTGTTGTACTTGGCGATAAATCGAGTTCAAACGTCGGTATTTATTTAACCCCTACCTAATTTGAAATGTGTTTTTGTTCAAAAACGCTACAAAAACGCAAGCTTTGAACCTGAAAACTTTCAGATAAGGAGTTGTCAATTTATGGTCCTTAAATGATCCGAGAACCTTAAATCATGGAGTCTGTGAAATGGACTAAACATATAAACAAGTCAAGGGAGTAAGCAACCATGACATGCAAATTTCCAGTCCGGATAGACTTCCACGTTAATTTTTTCCATTGTTCTCCACATTCGCACTTTAAAGCAGAACAATGAAATCCTTCGAGCGGCACAATCTAAAACAAACTGTACGATGCTTTAGAGCTGAATCGAACAATACAGCACTCATCAAAGCTCTTGAGTTTCAACACACACAACTTCTTCTCATTTCATTCAAGTGGAATAAACATTTCTACTACTATTCTGACCTTCTAATTTATTGAGGTCAAAACAAAATGGAAAAATATATATTAGGCGGATTATCCACTGCCGATTAGAAGAGAATGAAACGAACAGGGAATCCATCAACGAAAACAAAGCGAAATGAACAAACTACGAAATCAACACAAGCGAGGTGTTGCGTCGTTTAGCAGTTTTCTTTTGCTGTTTGCATCTCTCGATCGGGCTTCATTACTGCAGTTATCTAAGATTTCAAACAGACCGTCTGAACTTTCTCAATCATTGCATAGTCCCATCTGGCCCCAAGCGAATTCTAGGGCACGATTAGATTTCAAAGCATCGCCGCTAGTTCTCTGCACGAGTGAAGGAAATGCGATAGGAATACGCGACCAAAGGAATGGAAATTTGTAAGAATTTCAATTAACGAAGACGTATCAATGGAACAACACATTCTGTGTGATAACCGCCAGCGTAAAAAGCTGTTAGTGAAAACGTGCTCTGAATAGTTTCTCGACCCAAACTCACTCTACACAAAGCGAATTTGCATGGTGCATTCACCGGAGTCGCATACCACGTCACGTCTAATTATTTCTTACATTAAACAAGCAAACAGTGAACTAATATAAAAACAAAACAACGGTCTGCACTTCTTAAAGCTTACCTCGAAGAATCAAGCGATCGCTTGTGTTGGAATCCCGAAAGAAAATTCCCTACAAAACATGAAAGAGGAAGACATGGAGGTGACATGAGGGATGATCGACAGAACAGATGCGCTTTCCCGCTCGCGTAGAAGACCTGATCTTGAATCTTCAGGTGATAAACAGAGGACTAAGAATACTTTTGACAGTACTATTCTTTAAATCTTTCCAACTATGTACTAACTGGATGCCAAAAAGCGACTTTATAAACCAGTGATGCAGTTCTTTCAGAATAGGTGCTGAAATATTCATACTGCTGTAATTGCATTGTAAATTGACGAACGAAGAAAATCAAACAAACACGATTCTAGCGCGTACAGTACATCCACGGCCAATTTTAGCTTACCAGACAAAATCCATAGACAAAATCCCCAAAAGAGATATTTAGACGCTGGAAATCGCATCTCGTTTTCGCTTCAAGGCATAGCCATTATATGTACGACTCTCAAAACGCATCAACCCGCCTTCATATCCACCGAATTTTGCCGAAACAAAGAGGCGCATGTGATCTGTAGCCGAGCGAGAACGGATTATTATGGGATTAGCGCAAGCACTGAAAACATGATTCTACTGACTGACACAAAGGTCAAATTCACCCTGTCACTTTCATGTCATTGGCTGCTTTATCAAACATGGAGACAAAGCCAAAAATTTCCGTTCATTTACATTGAAATATTTTGTCTATTTAGTCCATTAGCACTGCCAGCCCATTTTGTTTTGCCTAACTTCCTTAAATTTATCTCCTGAGTCAACAACGAGCATAAAGGCGGTCACCTTAGCCGCTAGACATCTGATAGGTTGGCATAGTAACCAGCTGAAACTGTCAACGCTGCCAGAGCTGACGATAAAACACTCGTAAATTGTCGGTAAATTCTCTGACAAGTATCAAATGTTCCAGCTTTGTCCCTTGAAATATTAAATTTATACGTGTGAGACTGCATGAAAACTGGTCTGTTTGAAAGGTTATATGAATAGTTTTGACGGTGACGGAACTTACAAAAAGCGAAAATTAGGATTTTGAGTGACATAAAGCTCACACGGTGTTATTGAAAAACAAGACGGGCAACTTGGAAAAAGCAAACTTTGACGGAAAATTTTTTAATTAGCGTTTAAAATATTCCTTTGCGGCGAATAGAAGTGGAGTTGAAACGCCCCTTGGCGGAGTAACTGAATACGATTCGTTGATAATCAGCTTATGTTTATCTTTTCAAAGTCTCCAAGTTGGCGTAAAGTGCATTTTGCTTTGTCTATAGATGCACTTTAGCATAACATTTTTGCAGACATAAAACGTATACTAAAAGGCTCATTATTGTGTACTACAAGAGACAAGATAAAAAGTGTGCCCTCAGGCTTTTGGGCGCTTTTAAGTTTCCGATCGTTCATTCGCCTGACGTTTTAAAAGCCTGTCACATCTCTTTGTCCTTTACATTTGATTTCCAATTTACATTAGGCGCCGGTGAGTCTGCGAGTGATGCTTTTTCAGATCTCAACACAATATTCTGAAATTTTGGAACCAAATGCTTCGGTGTTAGGGAAGTTACTTATTTACTGGGCCTTAAGGTCAAATCCGGCTGGGACAAATGAGGAAAAAAATGTTCGTTTCTCTTTAATCTAATTAGGTTTAAGTCCTAACATTTACCAGATTTATTTAATTTGGTGGGATCTTGGTCAGGAAATCAATATGTTTTAAACTGAATGACCGGATGACCCAGCAGATATTTGCTGACCGCATGTTAATTAATTTAAGTTAACCCCTTAACTCCCAAGATCTGATTGTTAATTCTCCTCTCTTGCTACCACACAATTGCTTGAAAATTAGTTGCGAGAATTTGGTAAAAGATCAAGATAAAAACTTCTACCTGACAATTTTGAGCATTCTCATAAACCGTTTGCAGGAAATAGTGTGGAAATTATAAGGAGAAGTTACATGTTAGTCAATTCTGGGAGTTAAAGGATTAACTTTCCCAACAAATATCTAGTCACTCCTCACTAGATAATGGAGTATCAGCCTGAAATCAAACGGTTTTTTTCGTTAATTTTCTGTTCAAAATCAAAATTATGCTTGAGCACAAGTGTTCCTGGTTTTTATAAACTGAATACTGAAAAAAACTGAATGGCAACTCTTGGGTTTTTTAAACGCTTTGCATGAAATAATTTACTCGTTTAGAATTCGTTCTTATTTTTTGAGGTGACAAGTTGTTACTTCCCCGGGCATAACAACTCAGAAGCTTTGATTCTTGGATACTATGTTTGTCATTGACCAACGATACCATTTTCCTGACTTTTTCAAATATTTACCTGGTGCCTGTTCTTTAGCATTTATCAACCCATGGTATTTTGGCCATGATGACTTATAAAGCATGCCGTAAATTTGACTATGATGAATGAATGGAACGTGCATCATGTTTACTGATGGAGAGGATACCTTTGAGTGGCTTAAAAAAAAAATCTTTTTTTTAGGGTTAAAATTTCACTGATCAAAGGCCTTAGAGAGCATAAAACTCGTGTGGGATAAGTTTTACAGCAAAACTATCATTAACAGCTACTTTTCCAACATGAAAGGGCTGTATTGAAAGTCTAAAATGGTGTGTAAAAAAGGAGAGGAAGGAAAAGAAATAGATATCTCGTTTGCCATGTTCTGAGAAAACCTGAGAGCAGATGGGCATTTTTCTTCCTTGATATTCACTTTTTGGCGAAGTTGCATGGATGTAAACCACATTTTTTTTCAATTTTCGTCTTTACTAAAATCAGGGTAAGAATATTTAGCGAGGCTTTTAAATCAGACGAAAGGATGAGGTGTTTTCAAAGGCTTGGCCTCGAAACGTCAAAACGTCCTTGGCAGGTCTGGAAAATTTTTGATAAGGGCGTAGGTGGTGGGGTCCAAACTTTGATACAGAAAATACAAAATTTTTACCTTTTTTTTTCTTTCCGTTTTTTACACCAAAGTCTGAACATGCAAAGAAAAAATTCAATATTAGTAAATTTTGAATATTTCGGGTTGGGTTTCTGATAGGAGCCCATTACTTAATGGGCTCCTGGTTTCTGATAAGTAGTAAAAAAAGAACCACCGGTCTAGTGGGACCTCTGATGGGAGAGGCGGGGGGGAGGGGGGTTGGGACTCCTAGAATTTCGTGATTAACAGCCATACTTTGAGTGACGACCTGGAAAAAGGTGACGGATCGATTATCCTTGTTTGTCATGGAAATCGCAGCGGAGTCTCTAACTCAATTTATCACGATCCCACCACTGTCTGCTCGCTAGAGAGGTTGGTACAGTTTCGGTTGAAACAATGTGTTGAATTAAAATAAAGGATTTTTTTCTGAAACTGTAATTTTTTACCAATGAGTCAAATACTTACTCGGCCGGAGTAATGTACTGTCACTCTTCTTCATCTTGTGCTGGTAATAAATCACAAGCATTCGTGAATAGGCTAGGATTTGCGTGCTCGCTATTTATGAGCCGCAACAACGACTTCCGCAAAAGATCAGAATATGGAATTCGCTGATCAGTTTTAATTGGGTACTCTTAAGAACCATAGCCTAGTTTTCCACGGTACAGTACATCACTTCGCACTGAGATGTTGTTAAGCCTTACAATTCCATGAGTGACCATGACAGAATTTTTCCTTACAATATCAGTACAATATCAAGCAGACAAGTAATGAGAACTAAGAAAAATATCAATTACGGGATTATTAGCTGATCCCATACCAAATTCTCGGAACTAATATCGTAAGAATTGTATGGAAGTCATTAAGGAGAATCATTAATGCCGAGATCTTAGGATTTAAAGTGTCAAGACGTTGGACTGTAAGGTTTATTACTGCTGGGCCTGGAGAACTTCTTACGGGAACAGTTTCGAGCGACTTTAAGATCTTCAAACTGGTCTGCACGCCAGAGCATGTCAGAAGTAAATAATATCGGGATAAAAAGGGGGGGGGAGGGGTACGGTGCGCTAGTACATGCACACAGGCTGTGAAAAGTGTCAGGGAGGAAAGGGTGATTTACAGATCCAGGAGGCCGGAGGAGGGTACAGTGGAAGGCGCTAATTAACCCATCTGTGGAAACTTGAATTGGTGATTGCAATTACTTCTGGTTGCTTCCTTTGAGATTTCCACCCCTCTACTTTTATGCACGAATGTGAACGAGCAAGCGCAGATTTAACTCGTGTCCCAATTTTCCTCATTCCAAGTTTTGAAAAAACTGCCTGTGTTTTAATTGCTTTATTTATAATATGTATGAAAACAGATATACATCCTGCCCGGCATGCGCACCGTTCTACAAATGTAGAGGTTTCATGAACTCTATAAACCCTGTGACCAGCATCTTATTTCCCCTTACTGTAGAAAGGCTGAATCATTCATTAAGATGATTGAGAATAAAGGAAATGATCATCAACCTGAGAAGATTTGTTTGTAATACTAATTCTCCTTACCAGTACAAAAAGAATTGTATGGAGAATATCGATACTGATATATAGAGAATATGGAGACTGATGTCAGGGTGTAAAGGGTTGAAGAATTAGCAAGAACGTCGACAGTTATTTCATTCTTCGTCAAAATTTTTACTGAGCTGGTTTCTCTTTTCGTGGCGTGACTCTCTGTACCAGCCAAAGAGCCACTCGTCCAAGTCACGCGAGAACCATTACACCACCCGTACAGCCATCATAACTGTTCTATTCATATATGATCACACCAATTGTCTCATAGCGATCATTGGAAAAATGCTCAGGATGAACTAGCATATTTAGAGGCTAAAATTAATTTTGCTTTTAAAAATGCGCTCTTATTTTTCATTTCCACACGCTAGACTATCAGCAAGAAACGGATGAAAATTCTGAACGCGTAAAACAAGAAACGCCTAACAGCCACCAATTACTGAAAATTCTGAAAAAGTAAACTTTTCTTGGAATTAAATACAACAAAATATGATACAGTAATAGTAATACTTCAAAAATGTCGGTAACCTTTTAAAGTACTTAATTGATCTTACATTCGTGTTCATAAATCACGGTTCGCTATACATTTATCCTGATTCGTTGATCTAAGATTTCAACATGCTTTATAATCACAGAGCTTATAAGCGATCAAGCTACAAAATCAAATAATTTATAGGCCAAATGAGTCATAAATCGAATTATATTATCATCCGTTAGGTCGGTATTAATAATACCATTAGTCATAGAAAAAAAAAACATTTTCGTAACACCTTGGTTCTGCTTGTCATTTTTCAGTTATTGACGCATAGTGTAAGAAATGTAGTTTTTCATTGTCCGTAGTAACAGATAAAACTGATTAAAAAAAAAAGGAGAAAACAACAATGACAGCGATTTTTGAAAATTCATTCATTGTTGCAGTAAACTCTTTTGTGGAAAAAGATGTCTCGAGAGATTCATGTTACTCATTTGACGTATAAAAGATCAGAACTCACACACTACACATCTAATGTCATAACGGTTATATTCCTCTTAATTATGTACACTCGGTCTCCAGCTCAAAACGTTTCCAAATAAGGTGAATTTTGTCTACTTTGGTACTCTTAAGTTAAAATAAAATGCCCCCTCAGCCAAGGGTGGACATAAGTTTATAATAGCATAAATAATATACCTTGGAAAATAAGCGCGAATAAAGGCTTTTTCCCCTGAGATGAAGTTATTCACAAACTTGGGATGGCTGTTGGGTTGCCACGCAATCCGTCTAGGAAAGTGAGGATTGCGTGACAACCGAAATAACGGTAACTGCAAATAAGACTTATAATATTTTCATTGATCCTAAATGAATTCCATGCAAACTAAACGTTTGAAGTCAATAATTCTCTCCTTACTGAAGGATATATAATTACGCTGCAAAGCAAATTGCTCTACTTTAATCAGTTAAAGTAACTGTTGGGTACATTTGCGTCTTTTGAAGTCAGTGATTCAACTTACTCACTGCAGAAAAAGGAAATCATCACATAACTTCACCCTTTTTTTTGACCCAGTACTCCAGGTTCTCCATGTCGACATTCTACCAGCGATTTGTTGGACGGCAGGTGGCTAGTTTTTGACCAACCTGTCTTCGCTGTAATATGGGAAATAATGCGCGTTCCTGGGACTAATGGCTTTCTGCAATCGAATCACCAGCCCACTCTCGGAGACGGGAACAAATTTCGGAAAAGGGGGATCTATCTGATGGGTTTTCGTCCCAACACTCCCGCATCAGCCCGAACATTCGGGCAGGGCAGTGGTCTGGGCAAGAGAGTAATTCCAGATTCCGTATTCGCTCAATAGCCTCTTGGTTATTAAAACCGGTGAACGGCTGGCATCCAAAGGTATATACTTCCCACAGTAAAACCCCGTAAGACCAAACGTCCGTCATATGATTAAACTTCAACGTGTTGAGCGCTTCCGGTGCCATCCACCGTACCGGAAGTAAAGCGCTACTGTGCACCCAGGAGTAATCGGAGGGGTATTTGTGGCTGCCGATTCCAAGGTTTGAGATTTTTATTATGTTGTCTGCGGTGACGTAACAGTTCCTGGCAGCAAGATCTCGGTGAACGAAATGATTCTCGACAAGGAAGTCCATACCAGACGCGATTTGCAACGAAAAGTCCAGTAACAGATCGTACTCAGAGATATCAGATGGTATCAACCCCGATAACTTGGATACGTTGTCCACTAAGAATCGATACAGATCCATGTCACCAAAATACTCGAACATCATGAAGTGTGGATCTTCGTCTTTAGACAATCCAAACATACAGAGAATGTTTATGTCCTGAAGATTGGCCAGGATGTTCGTGTCCTTCTTAAAGTTCTCTATGGCAGCTTCCGGTACGTCGGCTTTGAGCCGCTTGATGGCAATTTCCACACCGGTCTCGTCCGTGTCATCTGTTATCAGCAATCCCCTGCACACCTTGACAAACATACCCTCACCCAGACCCTCAAGAAAATTCACCTTGCCATTTTGTAACTTTTGATCTTGCTAAAATAGAAAATCAAAAAATGGTTCCCATTATTTAGAACGAAAATTTCAAACATTGATTCCACATTTAGCGAAAAAGTTGTTGTCATTCTACATATGAAAGGTATTTGTTTGGGTTTGCACAAGTTTCAAACCCTCAGCCCCCAAAAATTATTAGCATAAAACCTCCCCTATAAATTTCGAAACACTCTCAGTGAAACAGGTGAGGAAAAATACTAAACAGATCTTAGAATGATTGGGATCTCTACCAATGGCAACGAGCACAAAGAATACGAAAAACGTGAAAACAACACGAAATATGATCAGAAACGCGGAGAACTTTCAGAACGTGGAAATTGTTGACTAACCTGATGGAAGACACATGACTTGATCTCACTGATGCTTTGCTTCAGATCAAAATTCTGCTGCTGCAATGTACTCTGGGTACTCTTAGAGATGGAGCCAGAGGAGGCATGGTCGCTATCTGCAAGTGCAGTCTTACGCTGCTGTATTTTTAGGTACACAATGATTGTAAGGAATGCCACAATCAAAACGGCCATAATGGCGGAAATGACGTAATTGGTGCGAGCGACCGAGCCAGCCCCTCTATGGCCATGTTTAGGGGTTGTCTCCACAGCAGCGTCTAAATAGAACAGGATCATAATCAGAGACGCGCAAAAATCGAGCAACTTCGTACCTATCCGAGTCCTAACCCAGCAACAGTCAAATGATAACAAGTTAGGGACAATGTTGGGTTAAGGGAGGGGAAGGTGTGCAGTTGCTCTGATACTGACATCAATCCTTCAGTTATAATCAACTTCACCTCACTTTCGTACCGCCTGCTGGCAACTCAAAACTTGTCCAGAGTGACACTGTAACGTGAGGGCAAAAGGGAGGTAATAACTTACTCAACGAAGAGCACTTTTTGATGTCACAATATTCCACATCGTATTCCGGTCCAACATGACACCATGGTTGTGCTTCAAGTCCTCCAGGGTTGCGGCAGTAGTTATGACTTGAGGGGTCCGAAGGATGCCACACGCGGCAGGGGCGCCCGGACTTCGTGACGTTCCTTGAGCCTGAGTATGTTTCACCAGTACCATTGTAGCAAGAATCGTCTGAAATATTAACAGTCACTTCCTTTTACATCTTAACATCAGTATGCATATTCTCCATACTGTTCTCTATATATTTCCTTAGGACCTACCAAGGAGAATTTATTTAACAATCAAGAGCCCTTTTAGTTAGTGATCATTTCCTTTATTCTCATAACCTCAATATTGGATTCAGGGGTGACATTGTAAGGAGAAACTGGATGTTGGTCACCCTTAAGGATAAATATGATATAAAAAGCGAAAGCAGATGGACTGTGGAGAAAAGCTTTACCAGCCATGTACCATCAAGAAACGTTATCAATTGTAAACTTTCTTATAAGATCGTGATCGCTTCTACAGAAAGAGTACGTGACAGAGAGAGATGTGTTGTGGTAAGATAGAGATTGAATCAGCGCTCAGAGAATCAAAACGCACAGATTGAGCGGTGCACTGGTTGTCAATGCAACGTATTACGAACCTTGAATAAAGGGAGGAGGACTGGTTGGTGAATTATGAGCCAAACCTGAGTGAAACAAAAAGGAAAAAACGCGTTAAAGTTATGAGGCAATAATTGAAGACAGAAGTAGAACGAAATGTGGGATTACTACTTTTGCATTTAGTGTTAATATCTCAAGCTAAAAAGCGCCTCCAAACAAAGTAAACAAATGTTGTCCTTAGCTAGTTTTCCTCTCAACATTTCTAATGGATGGAAATAACACAACTTGATGCCAAACCATTTGTAAGAACGTAGCGGAGCTCACGCTTTTCATCTGATGATGTTTATGCCCGGCTGTTTGCGATAATGCTTTTAGATTACCGTTTAGCGTTAAACGAGAGGAATCGAAAGATTTTTGCGGTTCCGAGCAGTCCCGAAACAATACATAGAGAATCGCGCTGCACTAACCTGGAATATTAAGCGAAGTGCAATAGGAATAATCTTTGTCATCACGCGTTGGAAGAGCGGAACAGTTTGGAAGCAGAACTCTGAGCTGAGAAATACTCATCGCGAACTGAAGTTCCGTTAAACAGATGTCCTCAAACAAAGCAAAGCAGTCTTCGCGGCACAACCGATGTTTGAAGTTCTGAGTTAACGTATCGCAAGTTGGGAAGCCGTGAAAACATAACGCAGGAATGCCATATTCACTGCACCTGTTAAAATAAGAAGAATATGTTGGCTCTTTGATCCTTAAGAATGACAAGCATCTAATTTCTTTTTACGATATCACCCCTACATCACACTGTAAGGTCAGGAGAATAAAGGCAATGATCACCAACTGAAGAAGCTCCTGATTGTTAAAAAAAATTATCTTGTCAGCACCTTAGGAAATGTAAAGAGAACAGTGTGGAGAATATGCATACTGATATTGGGGTGTAAAAGGTTAAGACGTCTTTGGAGGCCTTAAAATAGTTTGAGAAAAAAATTCTAAAAAAGGCTCTTATTCTGGACGAGTTTATCGACTTTTCTTGCAAGAAATTTTTTCTGCATACCTATCAGACATCTGCTTAGTTGCTTGTATTAGTCTCAGAGCTCTTGACAACTGATCTTCAACGCGTTGCTGATAACCTGATGGATATTCAACCCAGATACTTTGATTACCAATAAACTGTGCACAGGCCTTGCCGCGGTATTTCTCACACATGCCCGGGAATGGAGGAAGCGACCTAAAACACAACAAGCAACACTGAGTCAATCTTTTTACGACTTTCCGTTGACTTTAAGTAACAATAGTCTGCCATGAACAATTGAGCCTGTAGTTTTCTTCTTAGATGTTGCTTAACAACATGATGTATAGTTAAGGAAGATCACACGACGATTGAAAAAAGGTTCCAAGTTCTAACTGGATAAAACAATGGATATTTCTTTTCTTTATTTTTTTTCCGCATAACTGTTTTGTCACTTCCTTCTCTTGTCCGAATTTCAGTATTTTCAAGTCACTACTTTTTCTCTGTTGTTGTTTTTGTTGGCTACAGTTGCTATTGCATCACTTACTTGGGTGTTGTTGTGTCTGGATCATTGCCTTCTGTTGTTAGAGATAAGAGAAAGAGAAGCAAAATATATTAACTCTTTGAACTACGCTGTGATTTCCAGATAAACATGAAAAAAAAGAAAAAACGTCAAAGAGAGAGAGAGAGAGAGAGAGAGAAAGAGAGTGAAAGAGAGAGAACATGCGCATAAAAATTGCCTTTGCACTCTGGGCGATGTCCTTATTACAAGAGATTATTTGTACTATTTCATGTTTAGTAGAAGCGTTTTTTATTCTTAAACTTTTTGAAATACTTTTTAAAACATGGCCTAGCATTCGCTATTTCTATGAGAAAATACTCTCTTTGTTTGAAAATAGAGACATTTATGATATTTTTTTCCTCATTCACATTAATCTTTTGATTTTTCGTGAAATCTTAAGGAATAAACAAGGCTTGAAATAAAAGCCCACAAAAACAGTTATCTGTAGCGCTTCTGATACCAAGTTATATAGTTATTACCTTCATGCTGGGAGGTCGAATGCTTTTCCTCTATAACTGGGAAAGTAAGAGGAGAAAACAAATTTGACAACCACGCTAATGTATCTATCATAGCTACAAGAATTTTATGTTTCAGTATCCAAGATAACAAGCTTAATTTCTTTTAAAAGTAGCATTTCTAGTAAACTAAAAAATTCTTTAAGAGCAGCGCTTATTGTTCGTCGAGTTAGCAATTGTTCTGATTCGAATTCCTTCTGAGGGGTGGAAAGAACCAAGTGATTTCCCCATAAGTGTTTGCCTAACTCGCTACAATTTCTGTCGCATCAAGCTGACAAGTTCACGGTCGAGGGATTTGAACTAAATTTGATTTGACAGAGACAATCAACTCTCAGCGCACAACGCAAGAGATTTGTTAGATCGAATTACCGACCATTTTCTGGTAACGTACATGAGGTCAGTATCAGTCTCTCATAGGAACATAACTACGAGGAAAAAAAAAATATTTACCTGGAAGAGGAGGAGTGTTGAGATGTCCGTTAATTTTCAACCACGCCCGCGCAGTGACTATTCCTCCGGGGCCTTTGGCCCGACATTCAAATATCCCAGCATCCTTCGTTTTTGCTCGCCGAATCTTAAGCTTTGATCCCCAGCGGTAACTGGTCACCTTGTAAGATGGAAACATCCGATTGACAGGCCGTTCGTCTTTGAACCACGTGATGTTGACCTGTATTTTCTTACTGTTCAAACGGCATTTAAAGATGACAGGCTTGTTTTGGAACATAGTTATGTTGTGATCCAGGCGCACTTTGAACTTAGGAACTGCAACAGAGTAAGCAATGTCGTTGTTAAATCTGGCTGAGATGAAAAAACCTTTTTAAGTAAATCCTTTTGTCTACTACAAACACAAAAGCAGATCGAATTAACCAGGAATTTATGAAACTCTGACGTGTAACTGTTCCAATGCAAGAACAAAGGCTAAAAGGGAAGGGACTGGGAACCATCTTTTGAGGTAAACCCTTTAACCCTTAAGAGTGACTCGCATCTTAATTCTCCCTACGGTACCACCCCTGAGTCACACATTAGGATCACGAGAATAAAGGAAATGATCACCAATTAAAGAAGCTCTTTATCGTTAAACAAATTCTCCTTGTTAGAACCTTAGGAAATGTATAGAGAACAGTATGGAGAATATGCATACTGATGTTAGGGTGTAAAGGGTTAAGAAAGAGTATCAATTCAGAATAGCAAAACAAATTGACAAGCCTTCAAATGACAATACGACAGAAGTGTTGTTCCTCCCCCACCAACAAAAAAAAAAACATGAAGCTGCTGAGTCTGTACAGGGTCGCTCTCACACAAAATTCTGAGCTGGCAACCCTTGGAAACTAACAAGAAGAAATTCTAAAAACTACAGCTTATCTTCACCATGCTCTACAGATTGGTTCCAACTTCCCAGAATACTGATTAAAACAGAGCGTGTAACCATTCACCAAGTGACTACTGCTTATCGTGCTGTGTAAAGTCTTGGTAACGTAAACGTCTACGAAATACTCTCAAACAGTAGAACGGTAATTTCAGGTGGAACACTTAACCCTTAAACTCCCATGAGTGACCAAGACGAATTCCTCCTTACAAAGTCAATACAATATCAAGCAGACAAGTGATGAGAATGAAGTAAAATATCAATAAGGGATTATAAGTTGATCCAATACCAAATTCTTCAAACTATCATCACAAGAACTGTACGGCAGACAGTAAGGAGAATTACTACTGAGATCTTGGGAATTGAAGTCTTAAATGAGTAGCGCTCTAGGTTTCCAAACTTGTGAAGAGATCTTTAAATTGTGGCAGCTACCTTGGAGGATTTAAAATAGTATTTAAATACGTGGTGAGGTCGCAGATGAACCCATAGAGTTTAACGATCCGCACGACAGATCCGGTGTGGAGGTGTAGTTTGGCTCTGTTACTTACCCTGAGGTACTACCCTTATACAACTCTTGTACCCAGGCTGTCCCTTAGCTGGCATACTGTCACAATCCGGCAGGAGCCTGGAAACTAGAGGAAATCTTAAGGCGTTCTTGAAATCTCTCTTGCAAATGTCATTCTTCAAAACGAGGCAATCATCTTGACAAAACTTTCTGGGTTTAGCTGCAGACTGGGTCAGATCACATGGCGGAAAGCCATAATTACACAGAGCCGGAAGAACATAATCTCGACATCTTTCAGACACATATTGAAACAGCAATTCATAGTTGTTTTCTATAATTTCCTGTTGATGAGATTGGGGACGCTTCTTTGAAACGTAAATCTTCTGACCTTTGAGATACGGCTCACAAAAGTCGCCACCTGAGTAAAGTTCACACACGGCAGGCCTGAGGACGAGAAACAGCAAATTTACAAACCAACAATATTACCACATGTGACCAAAAAGAAAATGTCAACTACGAATTATTGTTTGATGAAACAAGAAGATATACTATGTTTCAATATATTTGACACGGCAGTTCTCGGTTCTTTATTTTAAACAAACTTCCAAACCAAACATTGTAAATTCTACAGAGCCACGCACTTAGATTGACAAAAAGTTCATTTTATTCAATTCTTTCACTTATCTTAGTAACGTGATGAAGTATTACTACATTTAGTGGTGTTGTCTTTATTGTTATTGTAGTTGCTGTTGTTGTTGTTTACTCTACTTTTTTCTGTGGTTTCAACATTAGGAATATTAACAAAATATCAAGAATAAAACATTTTTTCGGTTCTAGAAGCGGCGGAGGGAGCAGAAATATCTGTAGTGTGAGATGGGATGGAAAATCGAAAGACTGCGCTCCGTCAAATAAGATAATTCAATTAACAAGATAAAGCTTTGCGGCGCGACAAATAAACCTTCGATTGTACAGATTTGTCTTACACCAAATTCAAAACTGCGAACTATTTTGTTGGTAGATAAAACATAGCATATTACAAAGCTGTTCCGCCTTTATTCACAGTCTCAGAACTCTCTAAACACAAAGAAAAGTGTTCACTTCAATTCTAACACTGTGGTCTACTAACACTCGTAAAACACTAGAAATGAAAGTTGAGAAGTGTTCTTATCTCTCCGACAGGAATCGCTGTATACTAAACGGTTAAGTGTGGTCAGAGAGAGATAACGACCCTCCGTGTGGTGTACAACGGAAAGAAACGTGATATTCAGTCATCTTAAACACAATGCCATGCTTCATGAGATTGCAACAAAGTGGCCCGGCTGTTTGACATACGAAAGTACTAACGGATGCTTATCCCGACAATATGACAGATTAGTTTTAACTTAAAACAGACTTGAGTAAGAAAATCCGCTTTACCCACAAGACAAGGCTTTCGCATTATAAAAGGTAATTACACACGTTAGATTTTATTTCGATAACTGAGATGGAACGTTGTTTTGCAATTGTTTCAGAGCAGGTCATCAAACGTTAATCGTTTTAAAGTCATCGTTAGTCAACGCAATTTAAAATGAAAAGAAAAATAAACAAACTGGTTATTTTTAAGACAAGGGAGAGTGTGTTTAAAAATGATTTAAAAGTTTAGGAAAATAATGCCTTTGCAGGCCACTAAGAAGAACTCTGCCAAACTTAATGTGATGAATACAGAGAATTTGTGTGGTTGATGGCTCGGATGAAGTTATCTTTACAAGGTTAAGAAAGAAGCAAACAAAAACAAAACGAAAAACAAAGCGCAAATCCTCATATTGAGCTGTCCAATTGAAGCTTTCAATATTCCGTTGCTGAAGCAAAATCCACATTATTTAAGAAATTCAATTCTTGTTTGCGGTGAATTCGGAAGTTGGTAAGGAAGTTTGGTGATGAATTTGAACCGCAAAAACAAGGCGGGTTTTAAAAAAGAAGTTTAAAAAAAATAGGCAAACAGTTTGTTTTTCTAAATTCTTAAGCTCCCGATTTTAAGTCCGTCATACATTTATTGAGTCTGCATTTCTGTTTATAGTTTCCTTCGAAAATGTTGACATTGATCAAATCATTTCGCGACAAAAGCGCGCGTTCGCCTAGCAAAGTTTACTAACAGAATTGAAAGGACTTTTTAAAAAATTCATTCAAACATAAACGCGCCGCTTATTTCAATAAGGAAATACGTCGAAGAATTTTAACGAGTTATCTAACCTCTTCAAAAGGATTTGATAATGATTTGATAAGTTCCGATTCGTGGTTGCGCACTCTTGCAATTAAACCCCAGAAAACACGCTGATGAATTGCGCCATAACCCTTTACACCTTAGCATCAGCATCCATATTCTCCATACCCTTTCCAATTTGTTTTTTTTAGTACTGAAGAAGAATGTGTTTTACAATCAAAGCTTTCTAAGTTTGGGATCATATCCTTTATTCTCATAATCTTCCTGAATGATTCAGCATTATCACTGTAAGGTGAAATAGGATGCTGGTCATTTTTAGGGTTAAATGGGATAACCTTAGTTCACACGAGGCTTGCCTTGGGCATGTTATTGGGATCAGCAATGTCAAAAGCCTTCCTTGATTTAATTCCAGCAAAAGTAACCTTATCACGAAGTGCACTGCTGCAGAAATAATACGGACTTAATTAGAACCTTAATAGCATAACCCGAAACTAGGTTTCTCATAGCTGACATTTGAAGGTCATTAATTAAAATCCATGACCTGAAAAGCTTTGAGATACGCTTGTATTTTAATCAAGTTAACTACTTACACAAATCAAAAACAGACAAATTGTCAGGATTTTTCCTTTTGGCAAAGAATAGCTCGAATTTTTGTTGAAGAAATTCTGTTCATAGTGATAAGTGCCAGAAAACCTCTACATAATGAGCAAATAACAGTCAAAGATTGGAACGAAACTATGATTTTATTTCTCTGTCGTTTTCTCTTTCAAATATTTGTTAAAAGAATCGAAGATTGAATCGCTAATGTACACATTCCACTCTATGTGAGTCAAAAAACAAACCTGGCGGTTTTACAGATTTTTTAAGACGAAACTGTAGCCTAAAATCCTGACTTAAAATGACTTTAAGTAAGAAGTCACTTCACCAGCTTCCAGCCAATACTACCTGCATGTTCTCAGTTTACGGAATATAACTTTCTACATCAATTCTCTCACGGAAAGGGAACATATTAGTTTTACAACTACAGCACGAATTTTAGGGTAATATAAAATTGCTACAATCTGATCTACGATTATATTCGAAAACAAACAAAAATTCGTTTCTGATAACAATGTGACCCTACTACCTTTGTGCTTGTAAAGTTTTTTAAAGAAACTTTTATTTCGTTCTTGGAAACTACACGCATGAAAACTACTAGGGTTAGTGATTCCTGTCGCTGAGAAAAAGAATTTTAACTCCTCAGAAAAAACTCAAAGATCTTCGCCGCCGTCTAAAACTTATCTTCATCTCAATTTGCGACAACTAAATTGATCTTGCGACAGTTTGTCTAGCTGTAAATGAAGTCCAGTCCCCACCGCAGAATAACAGTGAGTTGTTATCAGCTGAAATCTAAGAAAACATGAGCTCTCCCGTAGGAACCCCTTTCCTTTCCAAATTTAGTTTGTTGTAACAGTTACAACCAAACAACAGCATTTCAACGATAATCAAATTACCAACCTTTCTAACGAAATTCTCCTGTTAAAAGAAACAGAATGTACGTGACCTTATTCAGAGGCGGTATTCTTATCATGTTCTATTGGGATCCGACAGGATACCGTACACGAGGCCTCTGGGTGGATACTTGGTCGGTACAGACTTTGTGGTCGACTTAATTATAATAATTTATCAAATCCTACACGTCCGAGAACCTCCAATGAAAGATAAGATTCATTTTGACTCCTTGACCCGTCTTCTTGAAGAAAAAAATCAACCGCGAATAAAAATGGTCCCACCATTTTGATCAGAACTGATTGATGTTTAGAAATAATACATTAAGGAGATTTCGATTCTCTTCATTTCAATGACTAAAATGTTTTATTTGAACCAGGGTTCATGATCCTAATGAAAGAACAACAGAACTTACCGCTCAAGCACATTTAAATTAAGCTTTCTGATCATTACTAAGTGATAATAACAGCATAGCGGACGGTATTACAAGAAAAAAAGCTCTAGCAGCTTTTTCCGCTTTTACGAAAACAAGTAGTTAAAATAGAAATAACACTAAGAATTCAGACACAAGGCGCGATCCTTTAACATCAGAGGAAAAACTTTTGTTTGGAAATTCTTTTTTGCAGATTTTTTATATCCCGCACGGTTTCCTAGAGCTACCCATGTTTGAAATTCCGAAATTGATTTTCACCTGAGTGAAATAACGCTCTTCAACGCAAACAGTGTAACAGGAGTACAACAAAACTTGCACAACTGACTAAGTTTTATTGAATATTGTTCGTTCTGTCGGGAAAAAAATAATAAATTCGACTTGGGTTGCACGATTCCAACCGACCGAAAACAATAAAACAAACATGTACCATTCCGTTTTCTTCAATCTCTAAGCTTCGACGCTAATTGCTTAAAACACGAATACACGCCGCTAAAAGAGATCTTAAGATCTGAACACAAGATAGCGATCACTAAGTCAATTAACCTTCAGAGAAAAGTTTTAAAGTTCACCAGCAGAATATTCGATGAAGCAGACCTTGCTGAGGGACACCGCGCTACAAAAACTACTTGGCAAGAAAAGTGTCAACTCTCAAACAAAAATTACCACAAATAAACGAAAAACTAAATAAACATTTGAAAAACGAGGAAGTTTGTAACCCTCTCTCACTAACTAAACACTTTTTTAATGTTTTTAAAGGTCAATAAGAATATTTAATCCGTCAAAGAATTCATTTTAAGGCATACCATAAACACTATGAGCAAAAAAAACTGAGGTGGTTTTATAAAGTATTCAAGTTTACCTTTTCGTCGTATTTTTCAAGGGCGAAAAAAATGACACAAAGTTTATCTCTACTGACGAATATATCTCTGCTTTGTGCAGTTCATCTATAATGCAACATATCACATAACCGGGAAATCCGAATAAATTTTGTTATTTATTGAACAGAAAATGAGTTACAAGAACACACAAACACATATTCGCCTTTCAGAATTTCGATAACCGAGTTCCGGACCTAAACTTTGACCACTAGATCATTATTTTCTTTTCTTTTTTTTCTTCAATTGATTGATTAGTGAAGCAACATTTTGTTCAATTTTCGAATTTCACGTTAAGGAATTCCCAAGATCTGACACAACCAAGCGTATTTATAAAATGCTGCATGAAAGAAAGTGAGCCGCCAGTTAAATCTATTTCAAAGTTCCACTCGACGAGGATACAAACAAACTATTGTTATGTTAACACTCCTAAACCATCATTTAAGTTATATTTACGTCGTCTGTCATAGCAGTTTTTCACCTTATGGTAAATTCCTTTCTTCTCCAAAACCGTGATTTTACTTCAAAAAGACCTCAATGGATTTACTGAAATCAGCGACAGAGTTTTGTGAGTTAACTGATTCACATTTCAAGGAAAAACCTCAATGTTTTCGCTTTCGATTGTAAGTGTTGTTTTACAACCAAATTGTCATGCTGAACATAATTTGTAAACCGGGTGAATTGCCCCTTAAAGACAAAAGTGCATACAGTACAGAAAAGTCCATCTTCAATTAAGTTAAAGCTTGAAATGAACCTAACTAGGCAGAGAGAAATCTCATGGTCGGTTTACTCCAAGAACGCGGACACCAAACCAATATCACTCGTGATGGGAAAGCGACCTTTTTGATAACTCTTGGATAATCTTCCCCAAGCTAGGTAGGGCCTCAGCGAAAAAACAAAACTTTTACCTATGTTAACTTTCTTTTCCGACGAATGACTTAACGAATTTCTGTTGTAAGTTCCAAAAGAAAGCATACATCGATCGCATTTTTGCTCTCTCAGTAAACCTAACTCGTTGATGACTTTCATTTGCTTTTGTCGCCCGCCGTATGTGACAAAAATTTCAAAGGGCAACTAACTAAACAGAACAATTAACTATTGTGTTGGATATTAAATCTACACTTGATTTAATTGCAAGGTTTGTAATGAGCCTAAAAGAGATCAAAGATGCGATATTTCGCTTTCACAAAAGAGACTGATGGTGGTCCTCTAAATTTAGCCGTATCGAAACAGATAAACAGCAAACAATATGGCTTGACATCTCTCGTCAACTACAAGCCCTTTTCCAAAAGCCGAGACAGCACCCAGGGAAATCATTGACCTCATTTGCATGGTGTTTGAATGAAAATGAACGTGGTTGGGTTTGAAAGAAACCCTGTTATCGAAACAATGAACACGAACAATGCCTTCTACCGCGGCGATTTCTCGAACAAAGAACTTCTGTGTCAAACCATCTGACAAACGTGAATCATGAAAGATAGCCAACCCCTTGAGCCGTGCTCAGCACAATTCGTTAAAGCACTTGAAGGCGAAATCACGAAACGCAGATGCGATGCAGAATATGTTGAAGTTGAAACAAAAAATTCACTTTAACCATCCCTATTTTAAACGCACTCGCAGTTTGGTTTGATCGCCAGAAAATAATGATCGCCTCCTTACGAGATACCGTCAATTCGTAGGCCATACTGTCTGGTTTAAAATTACCAACACTAAATTCCCTCCGCTGTACGGAAGCCAAAAATTGTTGTTGATAAATGAAGTTCTGCGAAATTTAGTATTCGTCAGCGATCAGACTTGCCCATTGAATACACTCACCTGGAATTTCTTTCCCGCTTTCTGGATCGTGAATCTCTTCTTCCATACTGCCTCGCTAGAGCTGTCAGTGAATTGAAAATAATCAGCATAAACACGGACGTATTCAGTTTCTAATGGCAGACACATGAAGAACACATGCAAGCACAAAGGGAAAACTTATTTGCCGCACAAAATACAACTTTAACTAACGATCAAAGGTTCTGGAAGCAGACAGCTTTGACATAATTGCAAGTAACTTGGCCACAGAGTTGATATCCAGCAAATTGATATAATTCTGGAGCACAGTGACAAATAAGTACAAAAGCGAACAGACAAATATCTTGTGCCTACTGTGGATTTAAGATTGTCTTTAAATGCTTCTACGAGATCCAAATTACGTTTAGATATGTTCAGAGATGCAGATCGGCGAAAGTTTAGTTATTTCGATCTTCGAACATGTTATGTCACTTAAAACCATCTTTCATGTTATAAGTAAACACAGTCAACAGACAACATGACCATATCAAACCCTAGAGGCCACAAGCGAGTCGAGAACACCGTACATTTTCACTTACCAAAGCCACAATTCCAACCGATCACCAAAATTCCACACAGCAATAACACCGCTAACTTCATTGATTCTCCTGGTTGAACCTGGGAGAAAGCAGATGTCGCGTTATTTCGGCCTCGCTAAACAATCGCATCTCATCATTGTCAAAGTACAACGGCTTGTGTACTTGTCTCTCATAGAAAGAGCATTTGGGCTGCATGGCGTGACGTCACAAGCGACTGCCCCTTTGCGCCTATCGTTTGTCTCTCTAATTTCTACTTCAAATTAACTACCCCAAATCGTCTAATTACATTGGTTCAGAAATAATTAAGTTAGATCGTATTTCATGGATTATACCAAAGGTATTTAGACTATGCCACAAACCCCACGGCTTTCATTCAACACTAGCATTATTAAGCATCACCTAAAAGCTCAAAAATTTATGATTTTTAATAAAAAGTTTATAAAAACTCAAACAAGTGCTATATGGGAGTTTTGTTAAATTCGGGGTTGAGTGAGGCTCGGGCGTTATACAAACATACATACTGGCTGCCTTGGCGACAATCTTAATACGTGAATATAATGGAGATAAGAAGCTCGACATCGGAGATTGTTCTCACAAATCGTAAAACTCACTTGAAAAGTTCCTCTTAAAGGTGAAATCCTGGTTAGATTTGCTTCTCAAAACAAATACCCTGTCTATTAAGTAAGCAGCCCCTGAATAAAAACCAGCAATAATGATATCTTCTGAGAGATTAGCAAGTCAAAATGACACCTCTTTGGTCATCAGTCAGCGCCTCTATCCCTAAATAGTTTTTATTGTTTTCAAAAACGGATCGACAAACCATCACGTATGAACAAACTCTTACAGCAGGGAGTTTTCGTTCACGAATCATTAATCATCTTTTGCACCATATGCAAAAGGCACTGGCTAATATAGTACAATCTTTGTGGTTACAACTGAAATTTTCAAGGAAGGAAGAAAACCTCAACTTGATGGTCTTGCTTGTATCATGAGTCCATGCCTATTACACTGTGAAAAATAACAGTCCGCCTTCGGCCTTGGGAAACAATTTAGGAAACATTAAAATGTCCCAAATGCCGAGCCAACAAATGAGTCCCAGAGGGTTGTCTACGCGGAATTCACACTTCTGAAATTTCATCCGAACTCAGTGGTTTTCCCGGCTACGCACGTAGGGGTTAGGTATTTTTAAAACTGAAATATGGGCTCCTTAAAAAAAAAAACATTTTTTTAACTTTTATTTAAAATATTTCCTGCTTGATTAACTGGACACCTGCTAACTTCTTTGAACTGCAAAGGTAGCTGAGAGCCTTTTTGAACGTATGCGAGAGCGAAACTCGATCTACAGATGTTAATGTGAACAATGTTGGAGATTTAAATAAAGGAAGGAAATGCAGCGAAGTACTTTAATTGTTTAGCTCTTTACAGTTTTTATTGCTTAAGGAGGTTTTTCGGCCTTGTACCGTATCTTAATGACCAAGTTTATAAACAAACAATCTAACACTTAACCATCTGTCATAATTTGCTCGCATGACACGAGGCTTACCAACTTTTTCCTCTCCTACAGATATTACACAATAATACACAATGTGGATGCTATAATCTACAACAAGAACTATGACGTCGGAGAATCTCTTAACGCAAAAGATATCTGAAAAGCTCTGGGACATGCGTCCCCGGTTCTCTGGCTAAGTTAACTATCTTTTCCGGTTCAAGAGCGATCGAACAAGCACAGCTAAATCAAAGGCTGAAAATAATAGCTAAAAACCGGCAGAATTCGGAACCTTTGAGGACACAAAGGGGCGGTTAGAACATAGTTGGGAGCTAATTAAAAACTACGGAGCGCTCAAAAATAATATAATATTCATTAAAGGTTGGGTGCGGACATTTAATCACGTTAATTAAAAATTTTCAATAAAAAATGAACACGTCACGAATTTGTTGACCAACACAGAGTGCTTTTGTAAATCGTTTTCCTACCAATTTATCACTTCTTGAGACGAGAACAAGAACACAAGAGCCACATTTTTAGATATTAATTTGCCAATGGAGTGATAAGAGACGATGGCGAAAGGCGAGCCTTCTAGAACGGTCCTCAGTTACTCAGTCTGTATAATTTGTTCCACATTTAATCTGTGTGGGAGAGTTTGTTTCCTTTTATGGTCTGTTGCATCTTTAATCAGTACCTTATGGGAAGAGCGTTTAGGAAGGTGGTTCTAAAACTTGTACGTTCTAATCCTTAACCTTCAGCCCTCAACTACCAGTAATGACCAACATGTATCTTCTCCTTGCGATATCAATACAATAGCCAGCAAACAAGTAATAAGAAAGAACAAGCTTATCAAGTAGAAGGGGCGTTGTTGATAGAACACCATATTCTCTATACAAGTTCTTAGGGATGAAAATGAAGGACAGTTGAAAGGGAGAACTTCTTTATCGGCTCTTGAGATTTAAAGGATTTTCAGTTAGAGAAAATATCGCCCAGTCAGGGTAGAGGGTTTGCGTTTAGTTGAATTTTGTGGCATATCATAAGAGCGTCGACCCGCTCGCAGATGAACACTTTCACTCCCATGAGTGACCAAGACAGAATTTCTCCTCACAATATCAATATAATATCAAGCAGACAAGAGATGAGAATAAAGAAAAATTACAGTAAGGGAATCAAAGGTTGATCTAATACCAAATTCTCCAGGCTAACATCACATGAATTGTATGGCAGACAGTAAGAAGAATTACTAATGAGATCTTGGGAGTTAAAGGATTCACAAGATGACAAAGATATCGCAGCTAACTGTGGTTTCCTTTCTGAGAGTTGTAAAGTTTTTCGGCAAGAAATCCTTAAGAGCTTTCTAGATTTTTCTATCCAACCATCCATACTTAGCATAGAAACATTTATCTAAAAGGTGTAAGAACAATCTTGAAACAATCACAGAGCAATACGTAAGTTGAATGCCGTAAAAATTTTGTGGATATTTACAAATTTTGTAGGCAGCTTTCGTGTTAAACTTCACTCTCAGCTTGTTGCTTCACTAAAATGAATGAATAATCAAATAAATGAAAATTCTCGGTTGGCTTTTTAAAATTATTCTTACTTTTCCTGAGTCAGATTCAACATTCTGGGCGGAGAAACTGAAAGACGACGTTTTTCATCAATTAGAATCATCAGGAAAATTAAATGCTAACAAACCAATCAGAAAACGAACAGCGCAGTTAATTTGAATTTTTCAGTAAAAGAAAAATTGCATTTGATTGTCCACCAATGAAGGCATCAGTCCACCCCTTCTAGCTTTTTAGTTCCCTTTCATCAGATGTGATACCAGAAGTGGAAAAACGCGCTAAAAGAAATGCTTATCTTGCCAGAAAAAAACAATGGAATGTTTGGAACGAAAGTTTTCAGTAATTTTGTCATCAATGAATTGCAATGTGGATTGATGTGTGACCAATATCTTTCTTTTTTATGCATTTTTCCAAAAGATAATCATGTGATATATTTGGTCTAAAATCCAGAAATAGTAGCTCTAATTAACACCATCTTCGCGAGTTATCGCTGTTAATTTAATTTAACTTAATCATTTCATGGCATACATTCTTAGATCTTAGTTTTAAGTAAAACCAGTGGCTGTAAATTAGTCCGCAATGTACTTGTTAAACTTTCAAGTCCTGAACAAGTTTTTTGAAGAAGAAGTTTCTTTCCTTTGAAATATCATTCAAAACTTAAGTACGCCGAGCGTGAGTTTCTCCGGAATGATATTAACATCTAAAAACGATTAGACGACCTTGATTGCTCTAGAGGCCAGGATTTTAATTATTTCGCTCCATAATCTGGTTTTAGCACTAACAAGGTATACGCAGTTTATGTCAGCTTTTTTTCTTATTTCCTCCTTTCTTAAGCCCTTTAATTTGGTGACCTTCATTGTTTGCTTTGCTCTGACGTTCAAATTTATCTCAGTTTAACGAGATTCCGTGAAATAATTCTTTTCCTCTTTAGAGTGAAGTGAACCTGATCTAAAGGCGCTCTTTGCTGCTTCTTGTCAAAGTCCTGACCATTTATCTACGAATGCAGTTTATGCTCCAACTGGACAGAGTCGGTTTCCCAAGAATGAAGTGTTTTGTAGAGTAGATCACTTTTGACACAACCCCTTCGTTATCAATATACTCTATGCGACTCGGATTTTTAATGATCATAGTTTTTTAACTCACCAAACAGTAACGAGAAGGCAATAAACCCTTTTTAATCTAACGAACGGACCAACTGTGAGAAAAAAATTGGTAGTAGTTGACCTGCCGTGTGGAAATGAAAAATGTTCTCAGCTATCAGGCTACCATGGGAGATTTAAATGGCTCTTTTCCGAGAGATTTGAGGGACTGATCTAACAAGCTAACAAGGTGATTTGTGATTTTGTATTGAAAAGCGGAAAAACGAAAACCAACTTAAGGGTAATTTGAAACTAGTGTTTCCGGAGCACAGTCAAAGGGAAATTCCATACTAATTAATCAGCATTCTTGGTGGAGACAAAACGAGACAACTGCGCGCGTTGCTTAGCAAAGAGAACTCAGCATGATTTTCCTTACCGCTTCTCTGTGGTTAAAAAACAAAATCAAACTACGCACGGGGGAAGCTCCGGCTTAAACAACGGAAACCAACTTCGGCTAGTCCCGCCCAGCTCTTAAAGGAAGAAATAAAGATCCTTTAAGGGTAAGCTACACTGGAGTGAGGGAGAGAAAAACGATAACCGAAAGTGAAGCTGACCAATACTAAAACATTGTGAGGTTATTTTGCACTGAGATATTTTACGATTGCTTTAACTGCCATTCAAAATGACCCAAAGAAGGTTGAAAAGAAAAAACATTGAATCCAATTTGTTTATTCATTCAAGGCGCTTAAACAAACGTCCTGCACACCATGAATTTATTGCTTCATTCAGTGGAGCTCTAGAAATATCATAGGCCACAGGCCTTCTGACCATAAACTGTTTATTTAATATAGGAAAGGCCTGTTATTATTATCATTTTTCCTTCCAATCACTGATTTACTCTCAGGCACAGGAAATATATCGTTTTTCGTCGAGATCCGATTAAGACCCCCTTTTGGTATAACACTTTGGCTCGAGCACGAATTTCATTTTCTCTTGAGAACTAGAGGTGAAAAAATGTCAAAACTCTCAAGAAAAAAAATGGTGTAAGTAGAAGTGTAGGACATGCGCTCT